TTGACCATAGTTGGGAGAGGTCAAATTAAAGAGCAGGACAGGGTGAGATAACGTGATAGCCAAGTTGACTGGTTGACGACGCATCCTAACGTATCCAAACTCGTCAGAAACGCGGTTAGCGTGTAATCTGAGGTAGTTTATTAACTAACCGTCTGGGCAAACTACCCAGTGCTTTAAAACCTAGAGGTGTACAACAGCTGATGATGAGCCACAATATAAGAGACCGTTGTATGACCACATGGCAGACCCGGATCTGAGCAGCCGCATCCTAGCCACAACCTATTTAGTACACAATCTGGTACGCAGACGGCGGCAGGTATCAGGTATCTCATTAGCAGCCCTATCTTAAGATGGGAGCGGACTAGCAGTTATCACAGCGCATCCGTATATGAAAAGAAGGCTAATACTGGATACTACTCGCCTATTCTATTACGAAAAAGAAGACAGATATTATAAGGCCCTTGGTATATAATACATAATTGCCATGTGTTATGCGTTAGCATGGTAGGGAACTACCGCAATAGTCGTCGTTAGCGGGATCACACCGTCACATTTGGTACCTATTTCTAGACGGATTTGTATTGATTACCTTAGGTACCTACCTACCTACTTTGTATACGACTGGGAGCTTTGAAAGATACTAGCCCCCTCTACCATACTACGTAGTAACTAGGGTAAGATTCTGCCCTAGCCGTGTTTTCGAGAAATGAGGTCTGTCGTCAAGCCCGTCGAACACGTCGTGGGATGTGTTTACTATAGTATGTTACTATATAGTATGTTGTATACAGCGCGGGCTCTGCCGGATTGCGTAATGCGGAATAGTCTGGAGAAAAAGCCACCCATACCTACTATGTACATAATTCCTGGTAGTGCTAGGTACTTCCAAGGTTATTACTAGGTATTAGCGACAAGCTCAGAGCTTAGGAAAAGTCACCCGTAACTATCTACATACCTAGTAGTAAGATAATTAGATAAACCTACACTCCGTCCAGTCTACTACATCTACTTTCCCGCTAGAAGTAAGTACCAGGTCGCCGATGGAGCCCGTATCCTTTACCCTTTCGGGATCATGCGTCGACACGCTTACCCGGTTCTATCTAGCACGCGCATCTGGGTACAATAGAACTAATCCCAAATTGATGTGACCTCGCACATAACCCCACGCCGATCACCGCAGGTCTTGAATCCTTTTTCAAGGCTACGCTTTCTTAGTTTGAATGCTTAGCTCTCTTCTTCATCCGAGTCTCTTCTGGGGAAATGAGGCGTCATGTTGGCATCTAACATCATACGTATCAGTATTATACTAAGGCATTGAGAGCTCAGACGATGTGACTGTCGATCCTCGCATCGCGCCGTACATACCTAGCATATGTACCGTGATCGATAGTTAGTCCTTTTTTTTTTCTTATATCCCTGCTCTGATGTTCGTCATTGCTGGGCAGGGGTGGAGGGGGGGACAGCTCTAGAAAGTTGAGATAAGAAGTTAACAGACGATATTATGGTCGACGTGGATGAGGAGCAGCAATCTCGAACCAAGGGTCCGGCTGGGCATACCCAGTATTAGACATCTAATAGTATGGTATTATGGCATATTCGTAGTATGTACGTCTTGTCATCTCACTCTATTAAGGCCCAGTCGTATTCAGTGTAGGATGAACAATAACATCACCATGCAAGGCTAAGTAGGTATAAATGGAGCATCATCGTATGTACTGTACTGCGTCAGATATGCAGGTATGTATGTACAAACTTTTTTTCTCTCTTTCTTTTCAATACTTTGAAATGTCGATGCATGAACTCGGCAGGCCTTCCTTGTCCCTTTCGACCAATCCCGGCTTGGTCCATGCAGAATTGATCGAAACCCAGAATTGGGCATGTAGTACCTGCAAGATGTCCCCCATGTCGATTGCTAGTTGATTATCTAGAAGAAATGCCTCCAAGGTATACGAGGTGAAATGAGTTACAATAAAATTTTTTGGCTTCATCACATCTCTCAAATAAGATTCATCCACCTCAGATGCGACAATCATCGTAGAGCCGCTGCTAAGGAACTGCCGTCGGCTAGGCACGCGGCCAAGTCCCTTCAAAGTCCGGTTCCGCTCAAGCCTCCCCTATTATTCGGACCCATGTTGCCATGCTACTGTACACTGCTCACGGGGGGAGTTTTTATTCTGCGGCCGTAGATTATCCACCATTAAAAATTCAACACTCGTCTATCTCCGTACGGAACAGGAGGAAGTGATGTTGTATATACTATCGCACACCGTAATTCCTGTCTCGTCACGCACTTTTCAAACCCAGTAGATAGACGGGAGGCGGGAGGCGGGAGACGGGAGAATCGAGGTCGGTGAGGTTCAGGTTGATAGGGAAATATATTTACGAATCTGACTTTTTTTCTCATCTACTTTCTTCTAGCTAGTGTAGCTCCACGACGGTCAAGTCTTAGTTGGCGACGGTTACGTACTAAAAGTTCGGGATACCACCTCTTTACGTTATGGCTTCTTTCTCGGGAACAATTGCTAGTTTATTCCTAAAAGTAGAGCCTCATAGAAGAGCGTTAAAGGTAATACCTACTGTATTATAAGACGTAGGGTGTGGTCTATCAGTAAAATGGGATGGATACCTACTGCTTGGTTGCGATACGTCACGTATTGTATTGTTATAATTGTCGATGTATTGTTGGTACACGCCCTAATATTACCACACATAAAAAGACCTACCTAACCTAACCTAAACCGTAAACTATTTGGAGATAGGTTGTCGTTACAGTCTACCTCATACGTACCTAAATCTGCCTAGACAAGGCACGCTATGAGAAATGAGAAGCCGAAGATGGTATGCTGTTCACGCGGGCCCAAGTAAAATTTAAACCTCCTCGGTGTCTTCGAGTAAGAATAACTGATGTCGAATCTTCCGCTGATCTTATTTATTATTATCCTCTTTCAAGTATTACATCATCTTCATATAATGCACGTGTAAGATGCTACTCGTCAATCTATTTGATTGAGCTGAGGGCCTGGACGTTGGACCTTTTGGACTCGTCTTCCTCCAATCAGAATTAACGTCCGACCAATAGTTAACTGGCCATTTGACGCCGGGAGCCGATTTGGTCAGTAGTATTATTTTTTATTTATTTAATTTTGACCTTCTTTTACTGGTTGGCCGCCGTATAATTTTCCCACCCATTCATACGTTGGCCTTCAATTGGTAGCAATTGGGAGTAATAGTGGGAGTTAAGTAACATGTAACTAACTATTGTATTATACATCAGGTTAGGTTAGGTCAGGTACTTTCTCTCTCAACTGCTTTCAGAGGTAACTTTTGTTACTCTGTTTGATCTACGACTTAGACATCCCCCCCCCCCCATCTTGTCTTATTCAACTTACATGATCCACAGCAAAATAAAAACAACAACCCTACGATAACTTCTCGATATGGTGCAAAGAGTCCCTTGCAGTATATTAAAGTTACGTGCATACCAACTTACATATTTGCGCAATACTGCATAACCGGGCATTTTTCTTAAACTGCTTCTCTTGCATCCCGCTCCCACCCTCATATAAGCACAGAAGCAGACTTAGCGAGACTTTAACGTACTGTTCGTTTCCCCTTGTTAGGGGCCATATGAGGTCAGAGATAGTAGCAATTAGAAGAACTTAGGTTAGGTAGGTAGGCTTGCCAGGTCGTGTGGGTTGGCAATCAGACAACGCACACCCCCCTCCTAAAAGCCGTTGAACAATACACCCCTCCCCCTTCAGGTACTTACTTCAAGTACTCTATGTAGAAATTATACCCCTTCGTCTCCTGGCCCTTCGAATCTCGATAAATCCTAGCCAATTGAATGCTCATGTTTGGAAAATCTGTCTCATTATTTCCGTTGCGCATTTCTTAGCAATCTCAAGGCGCTCAGACGGAGTCACATCATGGCATTTCGCGCGGGGAATTCTTAGATCGCCAGGGTTAAGACAAAAAGAAAAAAAGAAAAAAAAGGAAAAGGCGGAAGACGCGCAGGGGAAGGTAAAGCACAATAAATTGTACTGTATCGCATGGTCTGTGGTATAGCATCGTGGGATGTTACAAGATGAGAACATAGGGGATTTCCTTCATGGCCGTTGCTAGCCTGGCTAGTACCTCTCCGCTACCCTTGGAAAATCCCTGATCAATGATTAGCAGCCAATGCTTCCCCGTTGTCGCCAGGGGTCTACCCTGACAGGTCCACAGCGCCCATGGGACCCTGGACAAGTACTGGGAATTTACCATCATGGCCAGGTCCACCTCTATCTAGCACTACTACCCATCCTCATCCTTACTCTCAGCACATTTATTAGCCGGCTAGTACTTGTACAATACAGTGACTGGTACTTCCGTAAACCGTACATGTGCCCCTTCTCGTTGTCATCGTTATTCTGTAGAGAACATGAGAACATATCTTATTATTAGCCTCTTGCATACTCGCCTCGTCACATCGACACGCTCCAGGGATCTCTCAACAGTGTCTCTGCTACCCTCTCTCTCTCTCTTTCTCCATACCCACTCCCTGTCATAGGTCATAGAAAATACACCCCTAGTACAGTACAGTACAGCCCAGCCAAAACCCAGCGCCCGTGCCAGCGCATTGCCAGTGTTTCTTAACGAAGAACCGCCAAGCAGGCCTGGTGCGTGTGCAGCTACTGGCCTTGTACTTGCGTATGCCGCCCCAAAAGAGCTTGTACCCTGGTTCGTACCTAAATTGTCCCAATCTCTAATATTAAAGTCGCACAAAAGCCTCCCGCGACCTTATCCAGACCCAAAAGTCGTCGAGCTTCTCCATCTCGAGACGACAAGTTGGCATCATCAAGCTCTGCCCGTCGCAGCTACCGCCGGCACGTTGCCTCCCAGGCCTCCAAGACCCAAGAGCTATCTCACCGTGCTACAAGGAGACCGGTCGTGTGTCTTGTGCTGCAGCTCCCCGTCATCCCATCTCCCAGGTTTCCACCAACTTCGCAGCGCGCCGTATCACTGGATTCTCTAACCTTGACTTAGCCAGTACCACAGGCGATTTTGCTTGTCCAACGCTGTCTTTTAACTTGCGCCATCGAGTCAGGACGAGTCAGGACTGAGTCGCTATTACTAACTGGCCTTCGACTTGCCTTGGTCGTATAACTTCTCAACTAATAAACCCCTTGAGGAAGTGGAAAGATTTAAGCCAGGGACCACTCTTCTAACCCTTGAAAGATTTCGAACCTGGGTTGCCATTTACGGACTTGAAAAAAAAAGCGTTGCTTACCATCTGGTGCGGTTCCCGGACCAAGAAGTGATTTTTTGAAAATCTCCTCGAATTTGCAAGTGAGACTGAACATATTACCTCTCGAGAATCGCCGAAACTATATCTAAACGGTATTTTCCATACTCCCAGCGAAGGTGCCGGACCGCCGCTTGGAAGGAGAGAGATAGACGTTCGGGCTCACGGTCCTATCGTATATCTCCCCCCCGGCTGCATCCATGCAAACTCTTATTTATCCTACTGAGCAGTCAAACCATCCGCTCGGCCAGCGCCGAGGCTTCTTGAACCTGGCGAACTTCTCTCTAGACCTGTCCTGGGCCAGAGCAGAGACGGATTGTGCTCTTAGCAGCACAAGGGCGTATCCCTCTCCGCCCATGTCAGGGTCTCCACCACCACTCCCGCCCAAACCATACCCGGAGGTCGGTGATCGAGGTCAGGGAAGCTTCCAGCCCGTTAGCCATGATGCGTATCGTCCAAGCTCAACGGTTTCAGCAGGCGAGTATCGAGCAGCACCGCCACAGCCGTCCTTATTACCCCATACAACCAGTGCCACCAGACCATACCCTCCAGAGGGTCCGGAGCGAATGCAATATCCATATCACCGTCCCGAGGACACGATGGGAAGACCGATTTCCTACACGCAGCAGCCAGGCCCGATGGTTCCCCAGCCGCAGTATTCGCTTCCTCCTGTAGTTGGACCAAACATAGGACCATCATCCTATACGATGCCGAGCAACCCGCAAGGCGCCGAAAATCCTCCTTACACCTCTCCGAAATCCCAGCGGAAAACTAAGGGGCACGTGGCTTCAGCTTGCGTGCCCTGCAAAAGAGCACATTTGAGGTACTGTTGAGAATTTAAATCCCAATGTTTTTGATAGGCTTTTATATACTAACTTTTATTAGGTGCGATGGTACGTATAAAACTCCATTTTTCTCGTTATTTCTTTCTGTTGTGAGTTTTACGCTCGAGGCCGCCCTAGAGGGCCTAGAGGGGAAAGTATGAGAAGGAACAGTCCGAGCACGGTATGAATCAGTTAAAATCGTCATCTGAATGATGATGATGATGATCTATGAGGGATTCCTTGCAACCAAGGTATCTATGGCAGCAGACAGACGGTTTCTAATCGGAAGGGGAGGAGGGGACGAATCCTGCTTTCAGATACGGATTCTCGCTTTTTCAAACGGACGCGGTTTTGAGGCGTCGACGGAACGACCAGACATCCCAACTTCACACACCTAGGCTATCAAAGCTTCGGCAATGAAGCCACAATAGATAGCGAAGTCAAGACGGCCAGGATTAGCAAAAATGGCACGATATAATTCTTACAATAGGATTATATAGCGCCATCGCCAATCCCGATATTACGATATTAACCGCCATGACGATGAAACCTCTGAGTCGACCTTCCCACCCGATTAGGTGTTACGACACATCCCTCTTGGATCATGTCCCGATCTTTAGTTAGAAAGGGACAGTGGATTATTGATAAGGGGCATATTTCCCATGCCCCAGTTCGGGTCCACGGGGAATCTCATTTCTTTGTTTCATATGCGTTTGATTGTCGTGGAATCGGGTATAAAGCTGACCATACGTGCTTGTAAATAGCCCAGCGGCCATGTTCGCGGTGTTTGAGTAACGGTAAAGAAGACTCATGTGTCGACGTCCAACATAAGAAGCGCGGCCGACCTCGATTACGCGATGACAACCAACCCCGATTTGAGACGGGGAGATTCCCTCACCCAGGTGATCCAGCAATACGACGACCACTTTCCCTCTATTCGCCGATTAGCGCAGTCTCTGCCTCATACGAAGACCCCCTCCGAAGAAACCACTCATATAGAGTATTAAAATCTCAACCGAGTGATCCTGTTCCACCTAGGTTTATCGAGCGTGGGTCAGCTTCAGATGCAAATATCTTCCCCGCGCCCATTTCCATACCCCCTCGTGCCCAGGAGCCAGTGGCATTTTTGACGACAGATCTAGAGATTATGGGGGCGTCGGGAGCTTTTATGGAAGCCCTAGGTGTTCGATCAGTCATGGGCCGCAGGTTGCTAGATGTCGTCAGTCCAGGAGAGCGCGATAGGGTCTTTGCACTTCAACGGTCTCTGCAGGACGAACAGGGGAAAAAGGAACCGAATTATCTCCCGCCAATTTTCGGAAAAGAAGAGGCCGCGAGGGTGATACAGGCATTGCCGTTTAGTCCAGAGTCGATATCGAGGTTCCAGCTAGATCGCCAGGATTTCTTCAACTTCGTCGGGGGAGACAGACAGTTACGATACTATCCCATCCGTGTCGGACTAGCGAAGGAGGACTCGATATACTTCGTCGTACTGCTTCTGTTAAACCGCCCAACCCAGTCGTTCCCTCACCCATCACCTTCTCCCCATGCCCGAGAGTTCCAATACTCATTTCAACAGCCATATGCTCAGTTGACTCCGGTTTCAAGTTCCTTCGACTCTGGACGGCCTCGATACGGGGAATCGTCTCGCGAGGGTGCTTATACGCCACGGCAACCACCGACACCAACACCCGCCCCTATAATATCCGGCCTTACACCTGGCATCAACCCGAACGTTTCCCCTTATTCCGCCTCTGGACCCTCGCGAATCGAACCGCCCGCGGGTCCTTCGCATCAAATCCCTAGGAGCGAGCTCCCTGGTGTCAGACCTCCACAGCAAGTCGAATATCAACTACCTCCTATCCGTGGCCAGAGTCAAGCTGGTCCCCCAGGGGAACTGTCTAGTTGGCAGCGGGATGATCGTTCGAGCCGCGTCGACATCGGCGGATTAATAGAAAAGCCTGACCCTTCGCGACGAGGTCGGTAGTGGTTGATTCATACTAGGACGCCACAAATCCTCTTCATGATATCGTCTCTGAGTAGCTCCGGGCTCCCTTATAGGCTTGAACGCCTTTGACAACCTGTCCGCTAGGTTAATGTTTGATACTACCACAACCTATTCGCAGTCGAATTGTAAAACTATACCCTTTATCGCGCATTCCTCGTTTTCAGTCGCGCAGGAGATACCATGTACAACATAATGCATCTTTCCATCTTAGGTACATATCATACTCCCGTTATTGTACGGCATCTACTTTCCGAAAAAAAAATCGTTTTTAATATCAGCATGAATTCCGCCTGGCCTTTCTGGCGCCTTAATCGAGCCGTCCGGGTTTTAAAATTCGTTCTTACTTTACCGACGCCCCGCCGGTTTGGTTGAGCTGGAGAAATCCCTGCTTATCCCTGCTTCTAATTATGTCGAACCGTTTTTAAAATTTTTTTTTTTCCTCATGTACGGCGTTTGCGGCTCTTGTTTTCGCCACAATCCGGGAACTTGTGTGACGCCGGGAGGCGGCAGCACGAGGGGAGAGAAGAGGAGAGCGCAACATAATGAGAGGAATCGCTTTTTCGGAAGGTCAGCTGCATCTTCATGTACTATATATTAGGTCGAACTTTGGGGCTCTTTTTCTTTTTTGGTGACGTGAATGGGGGGAGGCGGTGGCCTAGTGATAAGGCCAGGCTCGTCCAGATCGCCCGTGCCAGACTATTTGTTTGATGGCAAACCTAGTGGTACCAGATAGGGAGGGGCGGGGTCTTTCGAGTCCGGGATTTCTCGCCGTTGTTGTTTTAATCTTGTGTATATTTCTTCTTCCCAATTTCTGATCTCTATCCTGTCGTGTATCTAGCCAGCAGTATTGGCCAAGGGAGATGAGAGGATGAGGCTCGATGGAACGAGATCGTGTAATAAGATGATAATCCTGAGGAGGGGGAGGATATTGTATAGGTTGGAAGTGACAGGAAGGAGGGTAGCGAGCAGAAGAAGGTTGTAGGTTATTCTAGCCAAACACGAGATAAGGGTGGGGGAGAGCAGAGTAAAAAGGTAGAATTCACAGAAATTGGGATGGATATATCAATGAAACGAAACATTTTCCGTCGGGACAAAATGGAAAATTGGGTCGAGAAATTGAAACAAGCGCGAGAAAACAAGAAACGGGCATGTTTACCGCGACGTTCATCATAAATTTCCGCTTCGGAGACGGACTGATCAGATCCCATCCAAGCCCGCCAATACAACCCAGGAAGCAAGCTTATATTCCGCCTCAACTAATCGTAAGGATTCGGCCCGTCCTACCCGCCAACCCCCGTCTTGCTCTTGTCCGGATCTTTCTTTTAGCATCCTCCTCTTAAATCTACAATTATGTTGTCGGGTTGGCGTTAGCGGCAACCAGTAAGAGGCCAGTGCTGGGTTGGTTGCTGGGTTCATTGTTGCGGTTTGTGTGGTTTGATATAATATCGAGGTCTATAATATAATGCTTGATGCCGGGAAAGCTGTTCTCATTTCCGAATATTACGACAGTACACATCAAAAAAGGGCACCACTAGGTATGGCCTAGCATCACTCTCATCATTTTATATGAAGGTACCTTGCCTTGCTCATATACTTGCCGTCCACATAGACGCAGAATAGAATTCGCGGGACGAAGACACCGCTCGCATAACCTCCTAGCGCTCGCGTATATACACCGACTTACACGCATAACGGCACACCTGAAACGAACCAATTCTTACTTGCTGTTGCTCGGATGCCTCTTGTTCTCTTCCCCTCTTTTCCATACCACAATACCCTGCCGATCTGGGTGTTCCTTGCTAAAAATCCTCGATCTTCCTAGCTCCGATCTCTGCACCTAAAGTTACCGTGACGCCCTGGCAAACATGCATCTTGCATCACCTCAAGCCTGCCGAAGCACACCGCAAGATAAATAAGGAAAGCATGCACGTATCACCCCTGTAAGAAGGGTCTATATGTCTGTGCGGACCAAAAAAAAAATGCAGGCAAGTTTAACTTTGACAGAGGCGGGAATCAATGCTGTGGTTGGCTCGCTAGCGTCCAGTCATCAAACAGTGAAAAGGGGCGGTGTTTGTCTGTGTGCGTTGCCTGTGTCTGTCTGCACTTCCACTCATATCCATTTTGGAGCGGCAACGCAGTCGAGATTACCTACCTACCAATGGCCTACTACGTGCATACATGAGATTATCTTATGTGGCCTGTCTACAGGGGTAAGTCAATGGGTAAAATTGTCCGAGCCGTTGCAGCGCGTGTGTGTGTGCGCGCAGTGATACGGGACTGCGGTACCGTACGAGCCTACGAGATGCAACCTATCCATCTGCGCATCTAGCACGGGTAGGGTAGCAGTCTCTAATAAACCGACGCTAATGAGAGAGAGGGAGGAAATAAAAACTCCCGACTGGCCATCTCTTCTTGGTCTTTGGAAACAACCCTTGTCCGAGAGGCAATGATGCTTGTCATTGCGGAAAAAGCGATCACTTTTATACAACACGCATCACATATACATGCACGCCAGTACTAACACCCGACTTCCAGGCTGTTGGCGCTATGAAGTTCGGGTTTCCGCTTGGTGTTAGTAATAATTCCTCCGACCCAAAATTGAGATATCGCAAATGCCTCTCTTCACATCATGATATGTTAAGAAAATGTGAAATTACTACCGATAAAAGAGTCCCCCTTACTTTGGTAAACTACTTGTGTTTTCCAGTGTGTTGTGCCGTAAGAGTCGTGCCCGTGCCACACATTATAGTGCTGAGCAGGCGGTTAAAGTCGCTGGGGGGGATGGATTTAGATACTGTTCGATTCCTAGAGGGATGCGTGATCCTGGCAGCCTGGATGCTTGAACGAACATAATCATAAAATTGAAAGTGACGTCGAGATGATGTATAAAGGGGGAAAACCGAGAGGCCGCTAACACACGGATCTCTTTACAACTCCGAGGGAATACCAATAATTAGAGAGTCATATCGTCAATAACAGCAATTCGAAGTTCGAACTGACCGAACGGCCTTCTGACTTGTCTTTCAGAAATAAGACCGGGATCGTTCTTCTTATGGCTATCTTGAACATGCCTAGTGCCACTCTAGCCTCAACAGGGATATAATTGCCGGCTTGTATTGTACTAGGTTAAATCCTTACCGATAGAACAGAGAGATAAGGTAATAAGTCTAAAATTTTCTACTTGTCGTTCACTGTAACCCAAACTTCCTCAACAAAACTAGTAACTAGCATATAACCAAAGTCTACCTAGGTAATTTGATATAACCTTTACTTTCCCCATTTAATTGCTACCTAAGGTAGTCTCTCTTCGATTATACCATTCCTATCATACATGCCGTCAAGCGTTTTCTCATCAAGCATACGACAAAAGCCGATCAGCTGTGGTGAGCATTACATTGACGAGACACGGGATATGTCTTGGCCTTCAAGCAATAACCTAGAGGCGGAAATCTTAGACTACTCGTCCAGCCGGTGATCGCCTCAGCTCCCAACTCGGAAATCCGCTGCCGAGCGCGAGCTGGAATCGGGTTGCTTGCCTCTGAACTAATTTGTACATAGTAAGTTGTCTAATACCGAAATCACAGTAGCATGCAAGGAGAGGACCCAATATTACATTACTGATTGGGGAAAGCCATCAATATCCGGCTAGACATCCATACTACTTATATAAACTTCGGCCTTCCTTCCACATTTCGATAAGGTGATATTTATATTTTCGTGACGCCCGGAACAGTCCCAATCTTCGAGTTTACCGCACTTCGACCTGTTATGGAACCTTATTTTACCATTGGAACAACTTGCTCGGGGGCAGTCTGACGTGACCTCAGCTCAACGTGAGTTTACAATTATGCCTCGAATAGGTAAACAATATAGAACAACTATATAATGTACGTAAGCCGCCAAATTCACGCTAATGCTTCTCATCACACATGATATTTTGGTAGTCTTTGAACGTAGTAATTCTTAGCAATCCAATCGTCTCGTTTAGGTTTGCGAAACGGACGGGGCATAATTACCTTAGGTACCTAGGTATTGCAAACCCCAAGTTCGGGTTCTTCAACCGAGAAGAAGACAACCAACAATATTTTTATTATTATTGCCAACTAGCAACCTGGTAATCTTAAAAACAACGAGTGCTGCTTGCCATGTTGACATGAGCCAATAACCGTTTGTTATCTTATTCGGCAGCTTTGAGATCTAAAAAAGGAGGTCCAAGCGCATGGACGAACACAGTACATGACACAGTGCAGTTTTGCTATCGATACGTTTCTGTGGGTATGACCGCCTTCGATTGGGCTACGCGATTGCATATGTTTGAACTTCAAGTTGCCGCTTCCGAGCACGCGTAACCTTGGCTGTCCTATTCAGAAGGCACAATCCAGTTTCAGTTCCAATGAAATAAGAAACCGCAACATTACCTAACTGCATCGTTTTCTCCTCCCCTAAGGTAATTTCGAGAAAACGTAATCTTTACAACAATTCAATTAACTATCTAAGCGATGAAGTAAATAAGGATTTAGCTCATCTCACATCAACACTTGTTCATTGATTGTGATAGGCCTTCAAAAAGCCTAACAGGTACCTAAACTAAAAGGCTAAAAGAGAGCCGAAAAATGCATATCTATCACAAAACTTAATAGGCAGCTTTCGTCATACGAAACAACCGAACAAGTAATATCATAAGTGATAATATATCAAAATGGCCGATCCTATGGAGATTGACGAGCCAAGAGGCACCAAACGAAAGGAGCCATCGCCTCCAGTTGAATATGCTCCTCGCCGAATCAAGGCTAGTGCTCCCTTTTCAATCTTCAATCAAGTAAAATAATGTAGGGCTAATTATCGACCCAATGCATTTAGGCTTTAGATCCGGACGTTGTGAACAAGATTGCTGCCGGCGAGATCATTGTAGCCCCGGTGCACGCTCTAAAAGAGTTAATAGAAAACGCGGTTGATGCAGGTTCTACCTCTTTGGAGGTGCTTGTCAGAGATGGCGGCCTGAAGTTGTTGCAGATTACCGATAATGGCCACGGGATTAATGTAAGCTCTTCTCCATCACAATCCTTTCGTGTACATTATATCTCACCATGCCCGACAGAAAGAGGACTTGCCAATCTTATGTGAGAGGTTCACCACATCTAAACTCCAGAAATTCGAGGACTTAAGTAGTATTGCCACTTATGGCTTCCGAGGCGAAGCCCTTGCTAGCATTAGCCACATTGCTCACTTGACAGTAACCACGAGGACTAAGGACTCAGATTGTTCATGGCGAGCACATTTCGACGGGGGCAAGCTATCACCCGCGAAGCCTGGACAGTCACCTGATCCTAAACCTATCGCCGGGCGTATTGGCACACAGATATCAGTTGAAGACTTATTTTACAATGTCCCAACGAGGCGGAAAGCCTTTAGGTCCGCTTCGGATGAGTATAACAAGATAATTGACATGGTAGGGCGTTACGCCATTCACTGCGCTGGTGTCGCCTTCTCCTGTAAGAAACATGGCGATTCGGGTACGTCTATTACGGTGCAGCAACAAGCTTCTACAATAGACCGCATTCGTCAGATTCATGGCAGCGCCGTCGCAAATGAGCTCATAGAATTCACCGCGTCTGATGATCGCTGGGGTTTCAAGGCTTCGGGATGGGCAACGAATGCGAACTACCATATCAAGAAGACAACCTTCCTGCTTTTTATCAACCATCGCAGTGTTGATTCATCTAACATCAAGAAGGCGCTGGAACAGACTTACTCCGCCTTCCTTCCTAAAAATGGACATCCATTCGTATATCTCAGTCTTGAAATTGACCCTCAACGAGTTGACGTCAACGTCCATCCAACAAAAAAGGAAGTTAACTTTCTGAATGAAGATGAGATCATTCAATCCATCTGCAAGAATATCCGGGATAGACTAGCAGCGGTAGATACGAGCCGCACTTTCTTCACACAGACTTTACTTCCCGGTTCTACGCTTTCCGATACGTCTCAACCAGACCCGAATGGGTCCACTCTCAAAACCCCTAGTGGTACGCGAAAAGCGCCTGTGCGGGACGATCGCAACATGGTTAGAACGGATGCTTCGTTACGCAAGATCACCAGCATGTTCCCTGTTGCTTCGGCAGCGCCAGCAACCCGTACGTCGAGTAATGCCGCGCTCGACGCAGCTCAAGAACCAGTTTACGAAACAACTGACCGTGAGCCAATCCTGTGTAGACTGACGAGTGTGCGCGAACTTCGCTCTGTTGTTAGAGATGATATGCACCACGAGCTCACCGAGGTATTTGCTAATCACACTTTTGTCGGCATCGTGGACGAGAGACGGCGACTAGCTGCCATTCAAGGGGGTGTCAAACTCTTTCTTGTCGATTATGGTAGAGCATGTTTTGAGTACTTCTACCAGGTAGGACTTACCGATTTTGGCAATTTCGGTGTTATAAAATTCCAGCCTGCGCTTGACCTACGTGAAGTTCTCAAAATTGCAGCCGAACAAGAAAAGGCTGCTACCACGGATGATGACGGATTTGAGGTGGACGAAGTTGTGGACACGGTCGCAGAGCAACTGATCGAGAGGAGGGAAATGTTGCTGGAGTACTTCAGCCTTGAGATATCTCCAGCAGGAGAATTGTTAAGCATACCGCTTCTCCTCAAAGGTTATACGCCGTCAATGGCAAAGTTGCCGCAATTTATTCTTCGGCTTGGTCCCTATGTAGATTGGACGGACGAGAAGTTGTGCTTCGAAACGTTCCTTAAGGAGCTGGCAACATTCTACGTTCCAGAACAACTTCCAGCGCTCCCAAGCAACGACGAGACGGAGGAAGATGTTCCCGACGAGATCAAAGCGAGAAGAGAACAGATTCGTCACGCAATAGAGCATGTATTTTTCCCGGCGTTCAAGGCAAGATTGGTAGCGACGAAGTCGTTCATGAAGGGTGGTATGCTTGAGTTGGCGAGCCTGAAGGGGCTTTACAGGGTCTTTGAACGTTGCTAATGTTGCGCGTGGATCATCTTATACCCATTTGCATTGTGAATATAAATCAAGGTTGCTGATAATAGGAAGGTTGACCCTGGTCTATCTCACTTCTATAGGTCTTTACGCGAAATCAAAACCGAAGCATGCTCATGGTCAATGTCTCATATAATTCTACGTCTTCAATACATAAACCAACCATGCTCCACTAGAGCGCTCGCTGGAGGGCGGTCCTCAGGAGTGTACCTGAGCAACTTCAGAAGGAGGTCGGAAAAAACCTCGATTTCCTCCTGAGAAATGTCTCGCTGAATACCTCCTGGGCCGTGACTATTCTCATAAAATAGACCTTCAGCCAGACTTTCCTGTAAAGACCTCGGCTCCGGCTTTTGAGAGACTAAAGCGCCTATGACTCCAGGGCCGGGACTCTTGTCATTAGAGCCAACATACACGGGCACGACGCGGCCATCCGCATCGACCTCGTTCTCGAAGTAATGCTTGCGCTGCTCCCAAGTTTCCGACCACCACGGCTCGGGAAACTTACCAAGAACCTTGGCTACTTTGCACAAATGCCCGTCAACGTCGTCATCGAACGTGTCAAATAACTTCCTTCCAGTGCGGATCTCGAATAAAGTACAGCCGAGAGCCCATAAATCACATCCGATACCGACTTTGCCTTCCAGTGCGTACTCTGGAGAGCAGTAAATCTGCGGTATCCCCAGCTCTGTGACAGGGGACGTTATGTCGTAGCTCTCGCCAAAATCAACGATACAAGCCTTTCCGGAGATGAGATGTAGTAGGGCTGTATTCTTCGTCACTGCGTTCCAATCTACGGGATACACCAGGTACCGAGGGGCCGATGGCAAGTCGTGGTCGTCGCCGGAATACGTGACCACTTTCGCCGTGTCGGGTTTCCCGAGAATAGCCAGCACTTCGCCCTCCGAGAGCCCGTCTAAACCGGAGATGTGTGCCAGGATATTGGCCGGCCGGAAGTCTTTTCATAGGAAGTTTGTTAGAAATGAAATTATCGAAAATGTAAAGTACTGGGCAGGGTTAGGTTAGGTATACATACCACCATGGCAAATACCCCGCCTGTGGAGATCGGCCATCGCTTGGGTCATCTGCAAACAGATCTTTCTCAAGGGGGCCCCCGGGTCTTCGGACTCGACGAGGCTGAGCAGTCTTGATACCCGGGGCCCTAAAACCGGATAGACAAACACAAGATGTGTACCGTTAGGACCCTGGATCTCAAACTGGTCCAACGGGAGGCAGAAATAATCTGCAGTTTCAAGGTTTTCAAAGCCGCTTTCCAGGAGTCGGTTTATCCGAAGTTCAGGACAGTCTTTCGTGGAACCTTCTCCCATGATAATCTTAAGCGCCACATATTTATGTTTGAGTGTATCGCTATCGCTATCGCCATCGCTAGAGATATCACGGCAAAGCCAGACATTCGAGTAACCGCCGCTTCCCAGTTTATGGATTATTTTATAGCGGGAATGAAGAACATCGCCTAGATGGACAGGGTGATGACCTCCTTGTTCGTAATCGTAGATTTTCTCAAGGCCAAATGGGGACCGCTCGAGTATTAAGCCGTTTCCCGCGACCTCCTCTTCGTCGGCCGATAGACGTACTGAGGTAGTCTCAGACATGTTGAGAGCAATGAGCTAACAAGAAGTTAAGTTAATGAGGATGTGAAGAGGGAGTTGAAAGAAGCTTTTTGCATAGAGTCGGTATTTCAAAATGGAGGTTGCACCTCAACTAACTACCTCCGGCATGTTTGCTCAACAACGTAAATCATTACTTTCCATTAGACTTAAGGGGGGTAGGATATAAGGCTGCTTATAGGGTTTCATTCAAAGCATAGCCGTACGGAAAATGCAACTAAACCATAACTTGTTCGCTGGTTGGCCCAGAGATATTAATTTGGAGTCAACCAGGTTAATATACATTACTATTTTGGAAATGGGGCTGAGAAGTGATCCAATCAATTGAGTCTTCGTAGGCAAAGTAAGAACCAACTGATATCTCATTGCACAGATCCCAATGTAAGTCTAGCATATATGAAGCAAATTTATGTTTATATATACCATTATTATCAATTAGTCTTCTATCCCTAGGAAAGACGCTGATTTCATGGTCACTTCTTCTTATCCAACACCTTCAATGGTTTATTATTTCACTTCTAGTTCTTAGGGCCCGAACCTTGACCGGCAATATATTTTCTAGTCCCATGCACACCTCGAATCTCAACCAGATTAAGACGAGAGGCCTTTCAACTTCATACTATCTACTGCGAGTCGGGAGTGGAGTCGGAGGAAGGAGTTAGACCGGCGTCATCGACACATTGGTATTAATGGTTCAAGGAGTACCCGGAGAGGACGGGTGTATCATCCTTATTGGATACGAAGATAAGATCAAGGATATGTTCCATAACGTCAATCCAGGCCTCTCACGACGTTTCCCCGTCGAGCGGTGTTTCCGCTTTGAGAATTTTGATATCCCCTAACTGGAGCAGATCTTACGGTCGAAGATGCGCGAGCAAGAGCTTACTTCCTCAGGCCATGCTATCAAGGTGGCTCTCGAAATTCTTGAAAGGTCGCTGATGCATCCGAATTTCACGAATGCCGGCGAGGTCGACAGTCTCCTATACACGACGAAGACAAATTATGAAAGGAGACTACCAGCGATGCCTATAGCCAATTTAGATACCAATGTAGACATGGAAGCAGTGGATTTCGACCCGGACCACGATAGAGGATCTCGAGTTGACTGACGCAAGTTGATGGATGGCCTAGTACATAGCGCCGTCACCGACAAGCTTGCCGGTTACCAAAAGCGAGGCTTTGGGGCAAGGAGACATAGATTAAACCCCAGAGAACAAGTCCCTACGAGTTTCATATTTAAAGGACCGTGAGGTGTGTCACCGAAATGATCAATGAGTACACCGATCTAAATGCAATATTAACCCTTTCTCCTACAGGTACTGGGAAAGGGCTCTGGCGAGTCTGTTTCCCAGGAGATCAACTTCGATAACACCTCCCTTGACGATTGCATCGCGTTGCTCGCCAAGGAGCTTGAATTCAGCAGATTTATAAGCGAGGCGGGTTTCCTCACGAACCCGAGCCTCGCCGAATACAGCAAAATGACGAGGCTCTTCCATTCGATGCAGGCGATCCCTAGCTGGAGCAACGCCCGCGACGTGAGGAACCTGTCGAAGAGGATAATAGGCGGGTTCCTCGAATCTACCGATTACGACTGCGCCCGCCAGGCCCGGCTCATCCCCGCAGCCCACATCACAACCTGCATGCGGGAGATGATCACGTAGCAGCAAGATCGCTACAGCGCCACGGCGCCAAAGGACGGAGCTTCTTCCTCCCCGCCGCCACCACTGCAACCATCGTCATCTTCCAGGGGCATGGAGTGTCATCCCATGATGTTCAACCCGCTACTAGCAACGCCACCTCCCCGCCACGGCTACCACTACCAGCGTACCTACCTAGAGCTGAGAGCAGCTTCTTTGCCACGAACAACAACAGTAGCTAGCGCCTCGGTGAGAACCCGCGGCCAGGCTCTAAACAGCTTCCTAGCATCCCATGCTACCGCCGCCGCCGCCGCCGTTCGCACAACGCTCGCAGCGTGCAAGGGGAGAACTTAGCAAGCTCCAGCATCCGAGAAGAGGACGGGATGCATTTTATGACGGATGAGAAGGTCCAGGCGAAGTTAATATAAAATAAGGGGCCTCTGGTCTCTGGTAATAACCACCTCCTACTTGCACCATTATATAATATACCGACCCCCCCTACATTACGCGCATCTTAGCCACGAGGTAACTATCAGAATGTATATAGGTAGGTACCTAGGTAGTTGGAACCGGGACAGCCATAATATAATAACACCAAAAAAATACCACAAAGATGCAAAACGTACAACACCGAGGATTCGCCGGTCGTCACCGACCCGACTACTAGTTCGGCGGTATCCAGTTTATCTATGGGAGAGCGGACGGGATCCCGAGTTTTCTAGATCCTATGGTCGTACGTGATGATTTTTGGTGTTTGTTGAGTATATGTGCTCCTCGATGTGTCCGTGATGCGCGTTGGGGAGGAGGGCGGGATGCGAGAGGGACGGGGCCCCACCCCCCCTTTTCTTTGAATCTTCATTGATCTGGACTATTGAACACTTGGTTATTGATGTTTCCCTATAGAATCCAATTCATTTTATTTGAAGACTGATTTATTAGTTGCTTCGAGTACGATATAGTAAGGCGTGTTTACGGTGTTACCTACCTGGTAGGAGGTAGGTAGCCTACGTTTTATAGACCGCATACACTCTAGGTTAGGCCTTATTTGCGGACGCAATGTGTAAAAGGGGGAAAGTCCTTCGGATAAGATGACAGCCAAGTAGGACCGGTCACTGACAGTAAAAAAAATTTATGAGTAAATTCATGTTTAAAATCCACGCATAAATGTTCAGTGGCTTAACTAGACGGACTATTCTACCTGCGCGTATGACTGCCGAAACTAGACCTCTGTTATTACCTGCGACTATGCCTCCCCCAAGCATAAGACAACGCGAAAACCGAAACCTCATGGGAAACTTTTGCTCATTAGAAGCCCTATTATGAAGAACATGCGCATATCTGTTTCGATGTATGAAATGAGTGGAGTGCGCAACGCAAAGCACGCAAGGGAATACTGCAAAGGACCGACGATCAGTTTGCGTTGGCTATTCTAAAGCGAAAGAGGCAATGTGTTTGGCCCTAAGACTTGGAACCGACAGCCGAATTCATTTCCGAAGTGAAGCATGCACCTGCCGGGCCGAGATAGGAATTCACAGAATAGCATAGACCAGCGTCGATCTTTGCGTATAAGATAGCGGATTTATGCCTCCGAAGCATCAACCTCGACACCGTCATCGCTGTCGGCAGGATCTTCAAGTTTGACCTCGGGCACTCCCTTCTTGGAGCGCTTAGCGGAACGAACGGGCTTTTTCTTAGCAATGATGACTGTGTAGTGAGTGTATGTGTGTAAGCAAGTACCTACGTAGGTAATAGAGGAATATAAGAAGGAGATAGGGAAAGCGGTAAGTCACATACCAGCATTGTCGTCTTCGGAATCTTCTACTTTCTCGTCCTCGTCAGACGAGAGGCAGCTCCTCTTGGCCGAGACCTTGTCCTCCTCTAGCGTGGAAATATTAGTACTTGGGGAGTAAGAGGAAAGAATAAGAGGTAGGTTAGGTATGAATGAAGGAAGCGAGGATAAGTTTAGATTGGAATACGTACCGTCGTCACTAGCCCACTCGAAGTAAGATCTCTTCTGGGTTCTCTGTCGGGAACCACGGCGAGGGGTTTCCGCTGTGTATAGTGTCAGTATCTAGGTATGTCTGGTGTAATTACCTAAGGTAGGTACCTAAGGTAGATAGGGATGAGGTGCTATGGGATGAAGAGAGATCACGAAGGTGTGTCCATACATGTCGCAGACTTCTTGGAGTCCGGGCGGGTTGATACGGTCAACGACCTGCATGAGGAGGTTAAGCTAATAGGTATATATCGTCAGTGATCGTTACTTATATAATGGATCTTGCTATCCAGGCAGGCTAGTAAGACTGAAAGTTATGGTCTACATACATTTTCCTGTGGGGTCCAGGCTTTACCACCTTTGCCGCCCGACATGATTTTAGATGAGGTGTTGACTTGTTTAAAGAGTGCTTGAGTAAGTGGAGTGGGAGAGGAGAGGTCGACCCTTGAGGTTTTGGTTAGTAGGGTACGTTGGGTAGAGTGACAAAGTGAGGAAAAGAAAGGTTGTAGAAGACGTGAATTTTCCGGGAGGTGAGAGTGAGTAGACAGATGGTCTATAGAAAGTTGGTAAAGGTTAGGTAGGTACGAGATATAGGAATTCACGGGCAGTAACGTCGTGCTGTGAAGTGAAGGGCACGCGGATACCTTATGAAGGTAGTAGAGTGTATCTGGTGCGAAGCAGTTGCATTAGGTAGCAACGTGAAAAGGGAATAACTTGGAAAAGAGAATATTATTCGAAAGGGTAGATGAGAGAATACTGAGAGATTCCCACGTACTTGGAAATTAGGATCTTTAGTATGTTGATGTGGATTGCAAACTATGGGTATGGAAAAGTGCTTGAAATAGGGAAGCCAGCAGCACGCATATAGAAAGCAGTTTCGACGGAGGAAATAGTAGAAAATTTATAGGGAAAATGTTTGGAATCCTGCCAGCCAGGTTAATCAGTTGGACATACTTTAGAAAATAGCTACCATTACCAGACCACCAGACCTACACCTATTTTATCGGTTTCCTTCCGCATCTCTTCGGTGTGAAGACACCAACTTCTTCATGAGTCAACAGTTACGCAATATATTCAAACTTCACGGTGCATAATGCAGCAGGCACATCACATTTTTGATGACGGATCATATTTTCTCGTATCTTACCGTCGGGGGTATAAGGCAGTATGTTGTGAATGAGGTCAGGTGCGGAAGTAAAAGAGGTTGGATGGCGTTGACCCATGGAAAAAAAGCAGCAAAGCAAAAGTAGTATGCCAGGTAAGTATTGCCGTCCTTCAGCCCTAAGGACTGAGCGGCTGTAATAGGATTGCGATACTCGACGAATAAAACGGTAAGTATGACACCGAGGAATACGGTCTTTGAACGATAGGCCACACTTATTAGCTATTGGTACAAGAGAAACAGAAAGAAACAGAAAGCTTGGAAGGGAAGATAGGTGTAAAAGCTATTGGAAGATTCGTAACGAAGACACCTTTCAGAATAAGCCATGATGTTTCACTACTATGTAGGTGCCCAGGTGTCCAGGCATCTAGGTGTGTAGGCAGGTGTGAATTCACCATGCAGCTCCAAGAGCAGGCCCAAGCAACAAAAACCTGGACAATGCATGGAACGTGGGATATAGGACATAGGACATAGGACATGAGGGGTCAAGGACATTGATCTGGTCTAAAGATTAAGGTAGTGAACTATGCCATATAGGGGTCGACAATAAGAAGGAAACCCGGTTACTGTTTGCACAAGCACAAGCACAAGCACAAGCCACTGTTTTTCTACTCTTCTTTCTTTCCAAACATTCTTTTTATGCAAAGTTCATACCTTAGAATGTACCCCACTCCTATCAATGAATTTTGATCCAAGTTGCTATTAGGCAACTATTTGTAATGGTATGGTTCTTAATATTTAAAGATAGAAGTATGGAATGAAATATGTACTTCTTATACCTTTATGAAAGTCTGTTCTATTATTCACGTGTAAAACAACCCGCATACAACACTACCAGGTAGGTACCATTCTGATTAGTTAATCCCACCTGGCCACCCGCATTTCGTGGACCCGACGCTAAGATAACAAAACTTTATCGCGCCTTGCCCCTTGCTGTCCATTATCATCCAGCAAAACTTAATCTGTAAGTAGGGAACTGGAAGTTACCTACAGGCTATTCACCTACAGGCCAAACTTACCTACGTATTTACCAACCGGCCGGGAAGGGACGTAGGATAAAAAAAAAAAAAAGGTCATCACGAAGTTTCCTTCTTTCGGGTTCGTCACGGTTGGTTTTTTACTGTAATTATATCGAACTCCACATTGTTGATACAAAATCAACAGGGATCGTGGGAAAATACGTATATGTATAATCAGACTCAACTCTGATAATTACTGACCTAGAGTTTTCGGTGATACCATCCGCGTCACCTTCTCTCTGTCTCTGTCTCTCTCTCACTCTCTCATCATTGTCCTCATCCCCATAATCATCAGCAGTAGCACAGTTGGTGCCTCGATGCGAATATTATCCATTGAGATTGCTTAAATAGATGATTGAGACGATAAATTCGGGAGGTATTGGCGCTGGATGAGGCATCTATCGCCTTTGCGCATTGCTGAGTCAGGCCTCGCTCGACTTTTTCGATCGTCATCAGGGTTCTCTTCAGGAATCTCTACAGGAATCTCTACAGGAATCCCTCCAGGAATCCCTTCGGCATCCTCACAACCTTCATTGTCGTCGCCACGGTGCGCATCAACTTCCAATAGCCAACCCGGACACACCATCTGTCTCACACGTCCATTCACTACGGAGACACGTCCACGTTACCAATCGACTTCCACAGTCATGAATGGAACCAGTCCAACCTCGCGCTCTAAGCGCAAAGCTCCCTTCTCCCCCGAGGAGCACGGCCGCCCTCATAAATACCTCCGACCCGTAAACCGAAAACACTCCCCGAGCGAAAATACGCCAGACACCGAATTGCCCAGTTTTATCGAGAACGATATGGCTACAGAGGAAGATTTAGCGCTGCTCTTTCCCCCCCAAGCTGCACCCGATACCGCAGAATGGCAGGCTACCATAGAGAAGGTTGTTAGAAACGTTGTCTCTATCCGCTTTTGTCAAACTTGTTCTTTCGACACCGATGCTGCCTGCGCCAGCGAGGCCACCGGATTTGTCGTCGATGCTGAGAAAGGGTAATGTCATGTCCTGCCTAATCAATCAAAAACTCGGGTGGTTTTACGTCCGCTAACAACTCGCTAACAACTCGGTAGATATATCCTTACAAATAGACACGTTGTCGGCGCGGGGCCTTTTTGGGGTTATGTTGTATTCGACAACCACGAAGAAGTTGATGCGTATCCTGTCTACCGGGACCCCGTCCACGACTTCGGTATTCTACGCTTCAACCCCAAAGCCATCAAATACATGCCTGTTTCGGCTCTCCCTATCCGTCCAGATCTAGCAAAAGGTATGCTAGTTCATGTTATATCCCCCGAAACCTGGTTAAGCGAGGATTGCTAACCCTTAGTTTTGTTAGTTGGCGTGGAAATAAGAGTTGTCGGAAACGATGCCGGCGAAAAGCTTAGTATCCTCTCTGGTGTCATCAGTCGGTTAGATCGCAATGCCCCTGAATACGGCGAGGGGTACAGCGATTTCAATACAAATTACTATCAAGCCAATGCCGCTGCTAGCGGTGGTAGCTCTGGCAGTCCGGTCGTCAATATCGACGGGTTTGCCATAGCACTACAAGCCGGTGGGAGGTCCGATGGTGCATCCACTGATTATTTTCTACCTCTCGATAGACCGTTGAGGGCTCTCCGCTGTATACAGGAAGGTCGACCGGTCGAGCGAGGCACTATTCAGTGCCAGTTCATTATGAAGCCGTTTGACGAGTGTCGTAGGCTTGGGCTGACACCGAATTGGGAGAAGGCTATTCGGGAAGCATTTCCTAAGGAGACCAATATGCTTGTGGCCGAGATTGTCCTCCCCGAAGGCCCCTCGCACAATAAGATCGAGGAAGGAGATGTGCTTCTAAAGGTGAATGGTGAAATGATCACCCAATTTATTCGCCTGGACGACATCTTAGACTCCAATGTTGGCAAAACCATCCGGGTGACCCTGCAACGAGGTGGTGAAGATGTCGATATTGATATCCAAGTTGGAGATCTTCATGCGATTACACCGGACCGTTTTGTAACTGTCTCCGGTGCGAGCGTTCATAACCTATCCTACCAACAGGCACGTCTCTACGGAGTTGCCATCGAGGGTGGCGGTGTCTTCGTTTGTGAATCGACTGGTTCTTTCCGTTTCGACAGTGCAGATAACGGGTGGATGATCCAGAGCATTGACCAGAAGAAGACACCTAACTTGGAGACTTTTATCGACGTCGTGAAGCAAATTCCTGACAAGAAGCGTGTTGTAGTTACGTACAAACACCTCAGGGACCTACACACGCTTAACACCACAATCATCAACGTCGACCGGCACTGGTCCGCTAAGATGCGGCAGGCGACACGGAACGACGTAACTGGCTTATGGGACTTTGAAGATATTGCCGATGCCCTACCCCCTGTACCCCCAGTACGACGCAAGGGCGCTTTCATCCAGCTGGAGCACACATCGCACCCAGCTGTAGCTGATTTAGTCCGCAGCTTTGTACGTGTAGGTTGCACGATGCCTCTGAAACTAGATGGGTTCCCTAGGAATAGAAAATGGGGAATGGGTTTAGTGATCGATGCTGAGAAGGGGTTGGTGATCATCTCGAGAGCAGTCATTCCTTACGACCTGTGCGATATCTGGATCACCATCGCCGACTCTATCGTTGTCGAAGGAAAAGTTGTTTTTATGCATCCACTTCAGAACTACGCAATTATTAAGTATGACCCGGAACTCGTCGACGCACCGGTGTTAAGTGCGCGGCTTAGCAAAGAAAGCATCACCCAGGGAGCGTCGACAACTTTCATCGGATATAATAGGAGTGGTCGAATCGTGCATGCTGCCACCACAGTCACTGAAATAACTACGGTAGCCATTCCTGCCAACTCGGGCGCGCCGAGATATCGGGCCACAAATGTTGATGCCATTACCGTAGACACTAATCTTAGCGGTCAGTGTGGAAGCGGAGTGCTTGTTGACAAGGACGGGACTGTACAAGCCTTGTGGCTGACTTACCTAGGCGAAAGATCTTCTGGGTCGAGAGACGAAGAGTATCACTTGGGGCTTGCTACGCCGACTCTACTACATGTCGTATCACAAATTCAGCAAGGTCAGGACCCGAAATTACGTATGCTACCCATGGAGTTCCGACCCGTTGCCATGTCCCAAGCTCGTGTCATGGGCGTTTCCGAGGAGTGGATACACAAAGTCTTCTCGGCCAACAAGCACAACCATCAGCTTTTCATGGTTTCTAAATGTACCTTTGAGCGCGATAACCGTCCCGCTGTCTTGCTCGAGGGTGACATAATTCTGACCCTCAACGGGAAGATCATAACCCGCGTATCGGAGTTGGATGTCATGTATTCTCACGAGGTTCTCGAAGCTGTTATTGTCCGAGAGAGTCGAGAGATGTGTCTCCAAGTCCCAACTTCACCGGCCGACAACCTAGAAACGAACCACGCCATTTCATTCTGTGGAGCCATCCTTCACGTCCCTCATCTTGCTGTTAGACAGCAGATCAGCAAGCTCGCAAGCGAGGTATACGTTTCAGCAAGAAGTAGAGGCTCGCCTGCATACCAATACGGGCTTGCACCAACCAACTTCATCACACACGTCAACGGCAAGCCGACACCGGATCTCAAGACTTTCCTGGATAACGTAGTTAAGATCCCAGACAATACCTGTAAGATCTTTTTCTCTCCTGTCACTTGCCTAACCGTACAGTGTTAACTAACATACTCTCAGATTTCCGATTGAAGGCCATGACGTTTGACAACCAACCATGGGTTATCACCATGAAGAAGAACGAACATTACTTCCCTACAGTGGAGTGGATCAAGGACGGTTTGGAACCTTGCGGCTGGCGACGCATTACGTACGAGAGCGGTAAGCCGGTGGAGGGCGAGCCGACGGATGGAATCCTCTCCGTGCAGGACGGTGAAGATGTTGACGATATGGATGACGGTGGAATTTAGACGTTCTCGCCTGTTTGTGGGATCACCAAACAACATCACTAGGTTCTACGACTAGGCATAATATTTGTTCTCTACTAGAGTTCGCTGTACATAATTAACTGCCGTACATAACCAAGTTATATAGCATCGCCTCCTGTGGCGGCTTGGTTATCATACCTAGGCCAAATGTCTTGATTACGTACCTTTTATAGTTTCTGTGGTCAAGCCTGGGTTCCTTACAATAAACACAGTATTGATTTCATATTACATGTCTACCTACCTACCTAAGGTAATTATAACTGCCTGTGAAAAGCTTCGTCATTAGAGTTCTCGGTTTAATCACAGCTCATATATCATCGCAAATTAAAAAGGCAATTGGATATGTGAATCAAAGCGGTATTTATATTTTCGTAGGTTCTGATGTCAAGAATAGAATGTCATCCTACCGGATCTGTACCTAGGTAGGTGATAGCTAAGGCGGGAATATTATCTCTCTAGGAGCAGCATGTTGAGGCGATCTACCAACCCACTAATCTAACAGACCATCCGCCTCCAGAAACGGTTGCCTTTTATGTAAATTCCGTCGTTGCGGCCCGAGGGCAACGAAACTTCTAAACGACTCCCCAAGCCCTAATTATATGCAAGCAGCGAAGACGCAAGACGCAACCGGTCAACGATCCAAGACGCGAAAAAGAAAGAACTCCTGTAACCTCAACAGCTTAACGCACCAAAACCTACGCCGGCCGACCTTAACGGTCCGGACGACATTATGGGGCGCCAAAGGGTATCGATAGTGTAGCGGAAGAAAAGTAAGGCGATCCAGATTCCAGTTAATAATCATCCAAGGCCGGCCGTTTAAAAAAGAAAAAAAAGAGTTCGATGATCATAGCTCATCCCGTCGTATAACCCCACTCTTGCCAATCCATTTCCATCATCCCGTCACGAGCTGATTTAGAGGAGAGCAGCAAAAGCGGCCGCACCGAGAAGTACTATGCCGTTTATGGAACCGTAACTACCATCAGTTCCCGCTGTAGCAATTCCATTCACAGGGGCCGTAGGAGAAGGAGTCGCCGGCGGAGCTGGTGTTTCGGGGCCAGCAGGAGCGCTACTCTCAGGGGTGGCCGAAGTAGAATTCTCGTTGGCCTGAGACGTAGTGGTGCTCGTAGAAGTCGCAGTACTTGTGGTACTTGTGGTACTTGTTGTGGCACTTGTCGTAGTACTTGTTGGAATACTTAAGGTGCTTGTAGCGGCCTTAGCTGTCGTACTAGCATCCTTAGTCGTAGTAGTAGTAGAAGCATGGGTCGTAGATGTCTGCAACGACTTAGGTTTAGTGGTGGAAGTGCTAGTTTGCGACACAAGGGAACCAGGCAGGTTATAGGCGTCTGCGCATTGCTCCAACGTCATACTGTCGGGGCAGCACCAAGTGGCGCCCTTCTCATCTGCCGTGCAGAAGTAACCTTTGTCGCAAGATTCTATATGCCGGTTAGCGCAGTCCGATGTATTAGGTATTGATCTTTGCATCAGATCCTACCTCCAGTCTTTCCGGGGCAGCAAGTCTGCTGGGCGGCTTTGTTGAAGCAGTGTACAATGCCGTCCTTAGAAGAGCATTGTTCGAAACCTTTACCACAGGCTTCAGCACAAGTATTACCATCATCGCAAAACTGCTGCTCGGGCGCGTATCCACCATTCGCACGACGATCGAGACCGAATATGGCCCTAGGCGACATATGAGCGAGCTTTGGCTTATACGGTTGGCGTATAGGTTCAGCAATAGCCTGGCCAGCAAGGGCCACAATAGCGAGCGAAGATATTGTGCCGAACAACATTTTTATTTTCCGTAAAGTAATACTTAAGGCCTTTAATTAGGTAGATTTGTTAGGTTGTATGAAGCGAGAAGGTATAAATAAAGGTATAAATAAATAAGGCTGCAGGTTTTCCTAGTTGCTAATGATAGACTCCGGCTAGGGTAAAAAAAAAAAAAATTAGTGAATGTAGGGCTCGTCGGAGTTATAATGAATGGATGGTGAAATGATAGAATGAATGGAAGACTGTTTGAACAAGAAAGGTATCAAACAAACAAGCAAGCAAGCAAGCAACGAAGGCCCGGGCCGTTAGAATATAGAAGTCGGAGAATGAAAGAAAGAATAACCCCAAAAAGGAAGTGACGGAGAAGCAGTAAATATAATAGGGAAATATATAATGGGGAAATAAAGAAAAAAAAATACTTTAGTGTGTTACCCTCCTGTATCATCAAAATGTAAAATGCCAGGGCAATCACCCTTGGTTATCTAAACCGGTAGCCATTGCTAGCTGCATAGGTGCATCTAGGTAGCATCCAGCTACCCCTTCCAAGCTATTATGGTACCTACCCAAACCTCGATCCATGTCGTGGTGATACCGTACCAGGTAATGTATTGTGCAGTGGTCCTTGCTGCCACGGCTGTCAGGTTAGCGCAAAATGCGTGATTAGGCGCGCCGGGCGCGGGCGCATAAATGATCGTAGCAAGGTTACCTACTTGGGACGAACCACACGGATCATGCTCATATCCTATCCTCCTTTTCGATTTGATAAGAGACTTGGCTCATAACATTTTAACCCACTTCAAGATCTGAAAAACGCTAACCTCCGTACGTTTGCATGCGGGCCACTACCTATGCGGTCTTGAATTGGTTCATACGTGATTACAGGATGAAAATTTTCCGAATAGCCGCGTTCGGCTTCCCACGTAGCTACCTAGGTAGGTAGCTAAACCCAGCTAACTTGGGGCACACCCGACGTTGTCTGGTCTAATAATAGACGAATAGGCGGTAGCCAGTAGTCGTCAAGGTGTCTGGCTGAGGTGAAGGTAGCCAAGCTTTTCTCTCCGGGCTTAGCATTGTAGTGAATTAAGTAGGCGAACAAAATTTATACAACCTAGGCGCAACTCCTACTCGAGAGGGCAGAAAAGGGAAGCAAGAAATCGGGAAGCGGGGGGAAAGATGTTAAGGGAAGAGATACTTAGGTACCTCATATCCGACGGTACCTTGCATCAAAGGCAAATTGACGATTACCTAAGCAGATCGTCAGGGACAGCTCCCGATTTTGGAACAACCCTGGAATATAATTGGCTGGCTGCATGCGACGCTGTCCCTGTTGCCTTTGTTTCATCTCGGAGCTATGCACACCATCTATTTATCCATTCATCTCATCTATCGCACGTGTTGCTGCTGCTGCAACCACCACTCCACTCTCTCTTTTTGCCTTTAAGCCATTGTGTAAATAAGATGCATCACACTTGACAGGTAAATATTTTTTGATGAAATTGTATCATCGTTGTACGAGCTGAATAAGGTGTGGATATTACCTAACGTATAGGCATATCAGCTTCCCTCATTCATGAGGATTGGTCGCCTCTTTTTAAGCTCGTAGCCGCTGGGTTAGGGCATTTGTCTTAGTTCTCACCCCCATCTATGTAATCCTAAGAGATCACAGTTTCTTCCTTCGGGTTGTCTAAAACAATCTTCCCTGCTCAGAATTTCGTCTTAAGCAAACTTAGTTGCGCGTTCTGATAATATATTTATTTTGTTCTTCGTTTCTCGCATATTTTGCTACTCTATGCTCAGGAACAGAGGTGGCTCTTTTTCATTGCTTTGAGTAAAAGAGAGTGAGCGAGGGGGGAGGAGAGAATCAGATTTATCTCTTAGGTCACGATGGACATCGAGCTGTCTATATTGATGTATTAGCGTAGGTACCTAAGGCAAGCTTTTGATGATAGCCCTGTGACACCGGCTGATGCAAGACCTGCAGCTTTTGCGACTACTATAACGGGGACTAAACAAGCAGAGTTTATAGCGGCCTCTTAGAGAGTTCGCTCTATCCTTCACTTTGTCCAGAGTTGAATGAGTTTGGGCTGTTGAACATGAGCATCTATATATCAATCTGCCTTAGGTACTCATGAAGCCATCCCTCTTCGAATGGCAAAGGTGGGCGTCTAGTCAAGCAGCTGGCTATTCTTGAAATAATCAAGCGTAGCATAGGCCACCGTGGTCTGTAATCGCATAATGTCGCGTATTAGCAGCCTTCAGAGGTCTTAGAGTATACGTCAAGTGGCTAAAATTGTACGCATGACCAGTAAATAGCACGGATAATGTTAAAGAGCAAATCGTGTGTCCGTAGTTGAAGTTTATCCCCTCCAAGTTTTCATTTTGCTCCTCTTCTTACGCGTATAACCTATGACCATCCGATGAACACAGACCATTAGCAGTTCAAATCCCATTTCTGAGAAATGTTCATCACCAGCTGACTTACGCTCGCTCAATTACGACCCTACATAACATTTTCGTGCCTATAAAGCGTTATTATCTCACCATAGCCGATGACGTAACTTGAACTCGACTTCAACTTGAATTCCATTTGGACATCATGCGGTTTCTAGTATTCGCTCTCGCATTTACTGCCTGCAGCGCAGCCACGCTATCTCTCGAGGCCCGAGATTCCGCGATCACCCCGCCGACTACCAATGTGTCCGTCTCGGGTACTAACGACACTTCGTTATCAGAGTTTTGTGGTGAGTTGCAACTTATTTTTTAGTGCTAGATACCGCGTAGTTTTCAGGGACTGCCCAAGCACCCGATTTGCTAACGTTTTGCTTGCAGGACCCTCTGGAAACAGTATCGAAGAGGACACACATGCACTTAAAATAGCCCCTAAACACACAAATCAGCCTACGGGGCACAGACACTTGCCCAGATGCGTTCATGTCACCATGCCGAACGGCGGCTTTCACACGGCGGCAGATGGTAAATCGTCAACTCTAGGAACCGGGCACGTTTCGACCGCCGCGCTCGCTGTAGCCATCGCGGCTCTTGTCATATTGCCGTCAAGGGGTAGTCAGCCGGAGAGAAGGGAAGTTCAGTCTGACGTTTCGGCAAACAAGCTCCCTATCCGATCCACGAGTAGTGGACGGACTTTGCTCTCTGCTTTGGGGATATCTTCAAACCTCTGTGAACAGCGCAATCGGTTAGGGGACGACGGGTATAATAGCCACGGCTAGTGTTGCCATCCGATAGGTGATTTATTCGAAGGGGGAATTATATCCCGCGGGCTGGTTCGTGGGCCTATATTGAACAAGGCTTAATACAATGATACACGGCATTGCGGTTCTCCCATTATCGCCTGGTGTTGATGATATTAGTACCTAGCTGCTGTGACGTTTCAACGCGCGTATTCGCCCAGCTGGTATCGTGACCTTTGGTGAGAAATTAATCATCCGGCGAGAACACTCGCTAGACGGCAAGACATACTCAATGAGGCAAAACGGTTCGAGGGGCCACGAGGGTTCAGTGGCAATATGTTGTCGTTTCCTGTCGGTATGGGGCCGAGCTCGATATTAGGTGATTACACACATATATCCCAACAGTTCTAATGCAAGGTAAGATGCTAGGCCATGCATGTTAGCTAGTCGACGCGGTCAGCAGGCGCGTGTGGCGATGGCCTTTCAGTTTAGGGCTGAGAGGGTAAGGGTCAGACTGCGTGGGAGCAGGGTCCTGCCGCTGCTCCACCCGTCGCGTGGGTGAGAAGGCGAAAAGTAGTCAGCATGTGGTGGAAGCCGCCGTTGCCGTCGCTGCCTACGACGAGCTTCAGGTTAGGTATTCTTCGAGTATCGTGTACAAGAACAAGAATACATAAGGTACCTATTAATGACTCCCGTCAGGCGGTGAGGACGGAGATGGGGGAAACAATGGGATTAGCACTTGGCTGCATTTCCGAGTTACATTCGGTATGACTAGGCTGGAATGCAAACGAACATGAAAGACATAGATGTAGGTAGTAGGCTGTAGGTAGATATTTTTGGCATTAGGCGTTAGGCATCTCGAACCTGGGTTCTTGGTGTTTCGATCCGGAGACCCCGAGTAGCCGGAGCCAGACGCCGGGTTGCAGGTGAGATCATGCGTCGTCGGAAAGCTCGCGTTGGCGACGTCAATAACAAGTCACACGCCCCGCTTCTGGGGTTATGGCGATATCGGATTGATGCCGTCTTTCGGCGTCCGGGCCTATCTAATTTTGGAAGTTGTTTTAGGTGCGTTAGGTAGAAGTGAAGAAAAATAAAAGATTGCTTCACACTAAAATGCTACCTTCGTTGCGAAGTTGCACCGTACCTGCCTTTTTGCACATACATACCTAGTAATATCGCGGTCGATCCCGAATCCTTTCCGTTTATTGCATTAATGTTTTTCTTTTGATGTCGGCATGGGTTCGGAGATAGCATTGAATAAGCCGGATAGAACCCAGGAAGATAATTAATGTACCTTATGCACCCACCTAATGCACCTAATGCAAGTAGACTTTTAGCGTGGTCCCGGGACTATGGTATAGGGACCTATCGGGCGAGCGGGGATGATGTCATCCTGATTAATAGGAGTTTTGGAGGAGTTTTTATGTCTTGCTGACAATTGTTAGGTGTTATTAGGTGATATTACCAAATCAGCCAAGGTATAAGGCTTCCTCCATGGGGAAATATTCTTGCTAAATTCCATGCATTACCGCATGTACATGCGTTACATTGTTTGGTCTGCTGGTGCATCAGTAACCATCACACCTCAGCATTAAGAGGTACCTTAGGTACATAAGGTAGCTACGGGATCCAATAAGAAAGAAGGTGATTGGATTTTTCTATCTACAACTCTAATACTGTTTCCATCTATTTTCTGACCTCACTGCTATGTTTCTGAGTATCGCCTATCAGTATTATGCTTAAACTTTTCCATCATGTTCCTTGCTAAGCCTCCATCAAGGCCAACATTTTAATGCCTTGCCGAGCTTAGCTTCTAGTAGCCAATATAGCTCCCAAGCTTCTCTGGTAAATCCAAACTTAACTACCTAACTATTATAGAGAAGTTATAAAACTTGTAAAAGCGTACCAGGGGTACCGCCTCAAGCTTCCATCGAATCAGAAAAGACTAGCTGTTCTATGATTTGAGCCTCGGCAGCTAGGCTAGAATCCTCAGGTGCCCATTTGCGCAATTTCGTGAGTACCATATCCTGGATTGCTTGCATGTGGGGAACGTAACTATGCAACGCGGGTGAATTGTCTGCCAGCCATAGCATAATGAGACATGCCAGACAACTCTGAGAAACCGTCCAGAGATATGGAGAGCGTTTATCGATCATATCCAGCGCGTTGTATAGGTAGGTGACGCAAGAATCAATGCAGGCCTCGCACTTTTCCAGAAAGACAGGCGATTCGCTAAAGGGGTCGGGACTAAGAGTAGACGAGCCACTTGGGGATTGGACTTCCTGTTGTCGGCAGGTCATCAAGAGTAGGAATGGTTGATGAATTATGTGCCTTGCCGCGCAATACCGAAGCCTGAGGACTCGCGCACGATCATTCGGCAGTGGAACCGTCCCTTTCTGAGGTCTCAAGTAGTCCGGTATCGAGATGTACCATTCTTCTAACTGTCTGTTGAGTTCAGTACTAAGCGCTAGAAGTTTTTGAAGGCCCAGACTCTGCCATGCTTGATTTGGACCCGTGAAACTCGCCTCCGCTATTTCCGGGCCGTAAAGCGAGTTATGTATACGGTTTAAAAGCCGACGAATAGCATGCTCGGCGATGAAATAAATGATATTCTCATTATCGGAGGGGTCCGTATTGTGGGGAAGCCTCATACGGTCTCCCAGGGGTTCTATTCCGCTCCGAGGAACGTCAAGTTCAGCAATTCGGTCACTAAATAATACAAGTAAGCATATAATATAAAGTACATTTATGTTCAATTGTTACCATACCATTCGACTGTAAAACACTGCCAAAATGTTCTTAATTCTGCCTCTTCAAAGACTGCGGTTGACAAATGATGTTTTCGACTTCGATAAGTTAGCCCATGCCATCATAATCGTTTAAAGGGGGGCGCTCATTACCTTTCAACGAGATTTAGAAATAACCGAGATGCAAATTGTGCCATTCTCCAACTGTGAAGGGGTCTTCCTAAGTGAGAAAAATATGAGGCGGCGAGCAATAAGGCTTGACAGAGTCCTATGTCTGGCCGAAAATCCCACACTAATTTATGTAGCATGATTCGTAATGCAGGTTGGAAAAATCGAAGGCCCAGCGCTTCATCATCCTCGGAATTTCCTTCTCGATCTAAGCTTATCGTACCCAAAGCATAGACACAAAAGCATATCGATGTCCCAATGTCTTCCATATTCCTGTCCTGAATAAGCTGGTCCTGCCAGGACTTGAACGCATTTCGCGTGAATAACGGGTGATGGGGGTGGACATTTCGAAAATAATTATCGGCTAGCACGTTAAGGCCGTCAAGATCAAGAGACGGCCAGACTAGCGAGCCATCATAGAGACTTCCAAGTAGTCCTGGCAAGGGGAATTTTTCTTCGATTTCAGAGAAATATTCCCTCGGGTAATCCCCGATTAGGTCACGCACCTGGGGTAGCGAAAGAAGAGTCGTCGTCAGAGTAGCGTGGCCCTTGGGAATTAAAAATTGCGGCGAATCCAATTGGGGGTCTATTCCGGCAGATGTGGAGGGCAAGTAGTCTGAGTGCTGTTGATAGGCAGTGAAGTAATCGGCCTGGCTTGGAGTGTGTGAAAGGGGGCTTGAACGAGTGCTAAGCTCGTTAATCTGTTGGCCTTGGTGTTCGAGAAGCGATTCTATTCGGGCAAGTCGATCGATGACTGCAGTAGGACTTGAGTCTTCCACTCTATGATTTAGGGTTAGCATGGGCGCTGCTTTGGGCCAAAGCAAAGTTAGTGAGAGAATACCTATCGAATGGTAGCTCCTTGTATACACAGTCGGCATTTGAATCCTTACAGGTAGAACACGGTCTCTTCCCATCGCATCTCCGCTTACGATACCTGCTCTTTGTTAGGTGAAAAGGGATTTGAATAGCCGGAGGGGGTAAGTACCTGCAAAAGTCGCAAGCAAGGAGTGCGCCTGATTCTCGGCAAGTTAGTAAGTAACCCAACTACCTAATATATCGGGGAATGGATGTGTAGCATACGCTTCCTTGTGTAATTCATGTGGCAAATCCGACGAGCTTGTTAAAATGAAGATACCCTTAACTCAACTCTTATCCTCTAGTTGAGGGTAAGCATTAACTAAGATAACGAGGCCCAGCAGTTGAGCGCGTAAAGGCGGCTTCTTTCCGTTGAAATACCCTGGACCTAAGAGAGTGACCGGGTTTTCCTCTGCTGTAGTCGACCTAATTATTGGGAACGTAGTATAAAACTCTTGGACCTTTCTGGGGTTGAAGACTTGATATTGGGTAGCTAATGTCACACTGCAACTCGTCGACTTTATTCATTAATGAGTAGCAACGAGTTTCTCTGACCGCCACGGGGGCTAATGCAGACCAATAATGCTGATGGCCTAGTCGCTGATCCTGACCAACAAGACGGTCCTATACCCAGATATCGTCCGGGTGTTTCTAGCACAGCACCTCAAAGCATATCAAGCACTTCCGCAGGCGTAACAGGCGTATTATAGCTGTCACGCAGACAGAGGCTTGCATAACAACTACTTGGGAAGGGCCGTATGTTATCAAAAATGGTTAAGCCCCCCTTATGGGGCAAATGGAACATTGGAAAAATATCCACTATACCTACGCCTCACCTTCGTCTTGCAGTTTTAACTAGCTACTACCGGGTTGTAATAATAATAGAAATAAGGAAAGTCTTATTAACGGCCGGGAAAGACGACCGATACCCTAAATAGGAAACTGGTGGTTACAGAAAGACTCATAAAGACTCATAGCTGGCGAGCTTACTTGAACGATACGTCATTAAAGGCGGTTAGTCGTATTATAAATACGCCAAATTATTGGGATATTTCCTGATCAATATCGATGTATGTAGGGCTGAATAGGGTGAAAAGTTACCCCTTGTGGTTATTCTACCAAAGGTAAGGTAAGGTAAAGTAAGGTATACGGATCCGTAGGCGTGGCTGTGTCTTGCGTCTTGTGTCTTGTATTGTACAGAAAAAGTACCCAAGACCTTAGGTACCTGGTATTGAACTTGTGATGTGAGCGCATGTGAGTCTTACATAGTAGGTACCTAAGGTAGCAGCGGGTAACAGCGGGGCGCGGGGGTGTTAGTTAGGTAGGGTTAGGGGGGTTCTGGAATATAAAGTTACTGGCCTGGGGAAAAACAAACGTCGAGATGTTGTTCCATCTTAACCGCAAAGCCCAAGTTTACACCGAGTCTGTGCCTAACCTATATTCCAAATAATATCAAGTGACCTATCGACAATGCATCTTCGGCCTATGTCTGACCTACTATTCAGGCCCCATCACCGGGACTTGAACGAAGACAACGGATGGTCTTCGGCAGGTGGACCGATTTGAGAGTTCCATGATAGATATAAGCTTGGCCTGCGTGGTAGCTCTGACTGGGATATGCGAAAGGTATTCATGTCGATTGGTTCGTCATTTCTGACATACATATCCCGTAGCCTCGGGTACACGATAAAATTTCATTGAATTACGTGAATGCATAGCCAAGGTATGGTACGCGTTTGTGGCTGCGAATGATAGACGCCGTTTGGACAGAAAGGGATGTGATAGTACCCGAATGTGAAGGCTCATAATCAACATCATGTGTCCTGCAAAAACCACGTAGATCGCAAATGATTACCCAGGTACCTATCAGATAATGTCCTATACGTCAGTGATTGTTTTAAAATAGACTTAAAGGATACCTTAGGAGGTACCTAGGTAATCAATGTGAAAAAAAGAAGGAGAAAAAAAGTCTCGAAAGTTCGGGAAGAAGAAGAGAATCAACATCAGGTAATAGGTACCGCTGTGTCAGCTGGATTGTAACTGGAAGTGCCACAGACCACCTAACCCGACTCCTAACCCAGCTAGGTAACCTAATATATTGTTACGCCTGCAGGTTATACAGGTATGTACTTCTGCAGCAGGTAACATCGACCGAGCTGATGGGAATCATGGGATATGACCTATAATGTACCTATACGGACCTAGCCTAGGCAACCTCGCATTAGCTGCATGTACCTTAAGTAAATGTTGACACTTGAAATGTCTAATAACCCGGCACCTTGGAAGCTGCTACTCACAGCTACGCAAGTAGTACCTGGTCACAAACCCCGAAACCGACCCACTTTTTCATGAACCTAATCCTTCCGAACTTGTTTTTTTCTATGCATTTTTAAACCGTACAGCATCCAGAATTTCAATCGCCGGCAGCTCCGGTGTCATTCGGCATCGCTAACGCCGCAAGTCGCTATGTAATATCTCTATCCAGCCGGCTGTTATATCTAAGGAACATCGGAATAATAAATTCCACTTACTCTGACTCTGATAGCCGGCGTTACCGGAAGACCGACAGCGTTCCTTTAAATAGGGCGCTGTTATTCCTCTGGGCTTCAAATGTTATCTCATCTACGCTTCACAGCTTTCCTTGCAAACTGCAATTATTTAATAACTTTTTCCCATTCTTATCAGGTATATATAGAAGTATCCACTCGTCTGGCAAGCTTCTATCTCGATTCCTTCCGCCTAAAACTTCTCTAGACAACCACCCGCAATATATGCTGTTGTCCTTGGCATAAAGAGTTGGGCTTTAGAAGTTAAACAGCGTATTCGAAGTTAGGTGGACAAATTGAATTCCATGTATATGTTATATTGTCCAACCTTAAACTGGTTCAATTATGTCTACCCGTATCTCTAATTAGTAGCTTAGCTGACTGCGTCCGGTTAATCTACTATCATTACCAAGCTTTTTTTCCCATCAGAGCTATCACGGGAACGTGCAGAGGAATGAAAAAGGTATATCGTACTTACTCTCATGGATAGAGAATTTACCTCTAATCTACTGGCCTTAGGCACAACAGTAGTTCTTAACGCCGTTGGTCCTGGCTGTTGAGATCATACCTAAACCGCTCGTGATGGGCCCCTGAGTTTAGGTGATAGAGCTTTTACTGCAGCGGTGACGTTATAGTGGCATAACTGGGACGACTGAAAACTACCTAAGCCACTAGGTTGACCCTGGTGGAACTGTATTCGTCTCACTGTCGGAAGAGCCGCCTCGTGTCGGGTTCGCCATACAAAGCTGGAGTACAAGCAGTGGAATGCTTTATAGGATGGATAGGCGTGCCCCTGATTCTATTGGATCGTTTAGATATTGAATTTGTGAGTATACTACCCTACTCCGATGAAAACAGTCTGACTTGGCTAGTGGCTAGATGTATAAGAAGCTACTTGTTCATTACGATGACTGCTAATATAAGGCGATTGCTAACAGACCTTTCCAGGGATGCCTAGAGCCAGGGCCCCATTGACGGCCACTTCAAAATTCTGGGAAGGGACGATCCTATGATACATTGTCGACTAGAATACAGTGGCTAATTCGCTCCCTTAGCTTTACTGCCGTGTTCCATTTACATCGAAACTTCGGATAGGTATCCTCTTGGGGTAGTCTTACGTTAACCTTCACGCCTAGATTCAACAATATTGGTTATTGGACCTTATCAAGCGGAAAGTGGCAGCTCACTTGCTTGACAGGACCTACTCTGGTAACTACTACTCACCGCTATGTTGCTGATACGACCAGGCCGTTACCATCCGTTGTTCCCCGTACTTGACGATTAGCTCACAACCAGTCTCCGGGAGCCTTTGCCGGTGCCATCATATAAGCGGAGGTTATTAAGGCGTCTCCAGAAACCAATGATCCAGCTATCTCGGGTATTACGTCTAAGTATTTCTTTGTGGGTCGTGATGCCCGGCATAGCTAATCACGAATGCTGACTGCTGCATGAGCTCGGTGCTTTCTTCGGCTGTCTCATATCATTCCAACTTGGCAATAGGCTGGGAAAGAAGAAGTCGACCTACATTGGGCTCGCGGTCAACGTTATTGGAGTAGTTTTGCAGCTTGCAGCTTGCCATCTGCCTCAGATGACCGTAGGCCGCATCATCAACGTATTTGGCAGTAGGTTAACCCCTGAACACTCGAGAGCTGCCACCTCCTAAGTTTGCTTACTTGTAAATGTCCCATTTGCTCAAGAATATGCTTGAAACCCTACCCCGTTGCATACAACCCCTTCCACCCACTTGCTATATCCACTTGCTATATCGTATACGCTAACCCCTAATCCAAGTGGATATTACCTCTCCAACATGTGCTGTATTCGTCACGGAGGCCTCACCACTATGGGTATTACTACGAGGAATATTCGAGGAGGCTCGAGTAGCCTTTGTTCAACTTCGAGGGGGCATTACATGATCTCGACGAAGAGAACTTAAAGGAAGACCTCAGCTCCATCCAGAATACTCTCAATAAAGAACGCAAGGTTCGTGTGTCTATTGTGAATGCTGTACTCGGTAGAGATCTACTCCAACATATTCGCCGTTTAGTGCTGAGGAAAGTCGCCTTACAGGTACGAAGGGATAGCTCACTGTGACGCTGACACTTGAAAGCCGCGGGATGTAGTTAATGCAACAGCTCGGTGGCGTTCATGCGCTGGGCTACTACCTTCCCGCCCTCTGGATTAAGCCGGTAGGGATTTCTAGTTCATATGTAAGATTACTGGTCGGAGTAAATACCAGCCTCTACTTGACTGCGGCTTTGATATGTCTAGTACTAGTCGACCTAATTGGAAGAGACGAATAAAATGCATACTCTGAAGCTGTCTCCGCCTCACTGGTAAGCAGATATGCTTACGGTTCCATAGACTCACGATGTCCGGTTCTACTACGACTGTATATCGTTATTTCGTTACCTTCATGACACCAAGAGAGGCAAGTATTCACACTCGGTAAGGATTAGTTCGACCTTGGTAAGGTGACAGTTGGTATGTTCTTTTTTTAACCGCTTCTTATTGTGCCAACTTTACGAAGGTCCTTTGCGTCTATGAATCCGATCTTGTCTGGGGTGACGGACTAGAGGAGCTTCTATTGCCAAACGAATGAGATAAGCTGTTTTACTATAATATAGTTCACAGAGGCCGCTATGAATAACCTCGGATGTGGTTCCTACCTTGGTAAGGGCTGACCGCCTACCGGAAAATATATCACGATTTCACTCTTCACCCCATATAGTCTTGGCCGAATTCTGCTGCTAGTTCCTACCTAAACCTATAGTATTTGTCTTCCATCTAGAAACCTCTTTTCCAACACTGGAGGATATAGACGAAATATCCGAGCCCGTTCGTCCTTTGGGACGAGATGCTTTAGGTACCCAACGAACCCATCTGCAAGGATTTACCGAGGCCGAACGGAGACGTATTACGGGAACCTCCCCTCTCGTCGAGGCCGTCGATAGGGGAATTGGTATAGTACATTACATCATCTATCCTTAAGGTGACTCGACTAGATTTTCAAGTCAGCATGACGATATATATAATAGGAATAAGACGGCATAGATATACCAGCAAGTACCGTTATGTCACGAATTATGAGCTAGATACCTAGATGTATATATAGATACAAATAGCCTACTAATAAAGCAAGACAGTACCGCACAGCCCGACCGCTTGCGTAGCTCCATCACCTATGTAAGCTTGCTCATTTAGCCTACTCGAAATAACGGCTCGGAACTACAAAAGATACGAATATTTGCACCTCTCATCTTTGTTACGCGTTGCTAGCTTGTAGTTGAGCAAGATCAGCCCAGGCTGTAACATGATAGACAGCAGTACTTAGACTCAAGCTTTGTCGTATTGCTATGTATAATAAGGATGAAGCTTTGATATAATCATGTCCTCAATAGTACCTAAGATTAGAAAGTTGTATAACTTTATAAATATGTTCAATTATGCATGGATACCAAGTATACAAGAGCACCTAGGTATTGACTCTCATCAAGTCCTTTACGTTACATATGACCTAAAGTCATAAGGGGAATACGCTCTGAATCGAGTATTGAATAGGACCCGATATTTTATATATATATAGTACTTCTCTCTAGATTATTATAGCTTCTAGCGAACCAGTAGCCGGATTGATTCCGCCCTGGTATACCCTGACATAGTTTGGCAGTTGGCAGGCGCCAGCTCAGTCTACTCAAGGCCCTAGCCTCTCGCGGAGTTTCGTGTGGGGGGGGGGGGTCTATTCCAGTAGCTCCCCCGGATGAACTGTGATCGCGCCCAGTTGTCATAATAGTACATACAATTAGTTCACAAAAAGGGCAAACCCGTGATTATCCCCAATTTGAAACCGTCTTTCCGAACGCCAACAATCCTTGATCGATTGTGAATGCATCTCTTCTTACACTATATCCCGTCAACACATAACCAAGATTAGGCCTCGCCGAAGTCGTTTGCCTTGCTGGACATGAGAAGACCGACGATCAAACCGAAGAGACCTAGGACGGAGCTAAAGATTTCGATGACAAGAATCTTGACGAAACTGACAGCTCTTGTTAGTTTTGGTACACGGCCAAGGATAATAAAATTTGGGGGCATACAGAGAAGGGTCGGCAGCATCGGCTAGAGCCGCTCCACTGCCGTTAATGCCAACAGCAACACCGCAAATCAGGTTGCAACCTCCCACCGTGATACCAGCCCAAAACAAGGCGAAACCGGTATAGTAGCTGTTGGAATCGAATACTTCGTCGGGGCCGGCGTATTTGATCTTCGCGGAGAAGACGATGGCCATGATGACGCCGTAGATGGCTACGACTTCGCAGAAGATGATGGAGATCAAGTTCTTGGTTCGGATTCGAGGCGCCTTAACACCAGCACCGAGGATAGAAGAGCCCGTGATGAAAATACCCCTGGTTATTTTTTTTTGTCAATGGTGGCATGTTCGATTTTGGGTGAATTGATTGCTTGGAGCTGGGAATGTTTCGTACCATGCCGCGCCGACGACTGATAGACCAATGCAAAGCCCAACACCTAAATCCGCCCATACGTACGGCGATACTGTCTCGAGGAAAGCTCCGACCTGGATAATAAGGAGAAGAATAATTAGGATATAATGTAATTTATTAGTTGGATATTATCGAGACAAACATTAAAGGATTCACCGCTACCGGTAAACAGCATGTCTATAACAAAGTCAGCCTTTCAATCTCACGCTCCCCAGCGCGAACGGGTTTCACATACACAATCCAACAACAGCTAGGAAAGAGGATAAACCTCCAGCGCTATATGTTAGAGCGCCCATAATTGCGGGAATTCGGGAATTCGGATGCGAGGAATAATTTGTTATTTCTGAGGGGGGAGCTGGAGCTGATGAATGAAATGTTAAGGAAAGTCGCGATTGACCGATTGACGTTTATTAGCAGTTTATTAGTAGTAGGCTGCTCTTTTCTGCGAGCTTGGAGAGCTTTGGGGTTGCAGCTGCCAGCCGCGCAGCCCGTTCCTTACATCCCTGGAAGTTGTCCTAGTTCCATCCACCAACGGGCTGTCAGATGGATCTCGGTCCGACTTGTCTTCCGAAACTTGGGGGCTTTCATTTCACTCACCGAGGTATGCAATTAAAAGTTAAATCATTTCGAATTCAGTTAACAGCTATCTTACGTGATCACCTCCGAGTATCACCCCTTAGGTAATGAGTCAATTCGATGGAGGGGCAACACCTAAAAATTCAATCGGACCCCTCCATTGCCTACCTCATTATCACTTGACGCCAACAAAAAACAAACAAAAAAACACCACCAAGCTGTCACTACTCCGTTTTTTCCGTCCTCTTTCAAGAGGCATATCTTTCCGGACTTTCACCATGGCCGCCCTCGATTCCCAGAAGCTCACCCCCACCGAGGAGACTGAGGTCCAGCAATGGATCACCACCTCGGAGCGGCTCAAGAGCTCGCCCTCCGATACCTCCATCCTCGACAAGCTCAACTCCCACCTGACTTCCCGAACCACTCTGCTCGGCACCAAGCCCTCCAAGGCTGACGTCGCCATCTACGAGTCTCTGGCTCCTACCGTTAAGTCGTGGACCCCTGAGCAGCGGACGGGTGAGAAGGGTCACCCTCACATCCTCCGACACCTCGACTTCGTCCAGAACTCCGGCGTCTTCGGTCTGAGCGTGAGCGATGCGGATAAGATTAAGGTCGACCTCGACGAGGTCCTCTACGTCAAGCCGCCTGTCGACGCCAAGGCCGAGAAGGAGCGCTTGAAGAAGGAGAAGGCTGCCGCTGCCGCTGCCGCCGCTGCCACCGGCAGTGAAGGTGGTGCTGCCACGACGCTTGTTGACCGAACGAAAGCGGCGGCTGAGGCTGTCAAGGACGCGGCCGTTGAAGCCGGAAGCAAGGCCGCCGCCGCGGTGGGCGCTGCTACCGAGAAGCCCAAGAAGGAGAAGAAGGAGAAGGCGCCCAAACCTCAGAAGGCCCCCGCCGTTACCACGCCTCCGTCACCCCATCTGATCGATCTCCGAGTGGGCCACATCCTGAAAGCCATCAAGCACCCGGAAGCCGACAGCCTGTACGTTTCCACGATCGCCATGGGCGACAAGCCCGGCACCGAGGATACCACCGAGTACGAAGGCCAGGTCTGCCGAACCGTCTGCTCCGGCCTGAACGGGCTGGTGCCTCTGGAAGAGATGCAGAACCGCAAGGTGGTCGTGGTGGCTAACCTGAAGCCCGTCAAGATGCGGGGAATCAAGTCGTGCGCCATGGTCCTGGCCGCGTCCCCGAAGCTAAAGGAGGGCGAGGCGGACGACCACAAGGGGCCCGTCGAGCTGGTTGCCCCGCCCCCGGACGCGCAGGCCGGCGAGCGCGTGTACTTCGAGGGGTGGAGGGGCGAGCCCGAGGGCGTGCTCAACCCCAAGAAGAAGATCTGGGAGACCTTCCAGCCGGGATTCACCACGACGGAAAGCTTGGAAGTCGTGTTCGACGGCCACCTGGTCAAGGAGGCCGGCAAGGAGGAGATCGGCAAGCTGACTACGGCTAGCGGAGGCGTGTGCACGGTCCCGAGCTTAAAGGGGGCCACAGTACGATAAATCGCTTCAAGTTTTTACGCAAGCGGTCTAACTGAGATAAAAGAATAAAAAAACAAAAATTTAAGCTACAATTAAATAGGTGGCTACAGATTACATGTCTCCCTTTTTTTTTTTTCCCCTTTCGTCCCTGTCATTTTCCTTAGATCTTCCTCGCGTATTAATTCTCAACGGTGTCGGGAGTATTCCACGGCGGGGTCTCAATGGTCACGGACGTAATAGTAGGCGTGCCAGGACACCCAGTCGTGTAAGTGATCCACTCGGTGGGAATAGGGCAAGGGTCGCAAGTCGGGCACGCGCCGTTGGCTACATACGACGTCGACGTCGTCGGGCAGCAGTCGGTAGAGCACGGCACGGTCACGCTTGAGACCTTGATGTAGAGCGGGCAGACTGCATCTGTTGGTTTGGATGCGCATGACAACGTCGGGCAAGCAGCTAGGAGGTATGCAATCAGTACTCAAACTTGTGCCTTAGGGACCTTAGGTACCTAAGTGAAATGATAAAGGGGTAAAGTAATGTAAAGAGGGATATTTACATGACTGGACAGTCCTGGTGTAAGTGTAACATTCGTGAGTCTTGACCCAAGCCGTGGTGTGTTCGAAGTCGTCAATTGTAGTCGAACAGTGTCCGGGGACCGTGGGGCTAGGTGCTTCTACTACAGGAGAAGCCATAGCTGCGTTGCTGCGAATGATTAGTTACGTGTTGCCGTCTACCTAAGGTGGGGCAGTAGAACAGATGCTGTCTTCGAAGCTATAACTTACCAGAGAGCCAGCAGCGCGGCGGTCCCGGAGAAAAGAGTGCGAGTTGAGAATAACATTGTGAATTATTACGGGACTGTGTATGTAGGTATGTATGTAGATTGGATCTTGCTTGAGGAGATAGGAGTTCAACTTTGATCGAACATGTACTGTTGATATCGACGAAGGGAAGAGTCGATCTTCCTCTTTATATAAGCGTGTCTACCTAAGGTAGCTTACATGCTTACATACCTTTTACATTATTTACATCGGATAATGCACACGGGCCTCGCGAGACGTCACTCTCTTCCCCTATCCGTTCCTATCCGTTCTGCCATGTTGCCAAGAGTAATCAGATGGAAGCAAAGAAGAGGCAAGGAAGAAGAAGAAAAAAAAAAGTAAATCACAAGATCCAAGCCAAGGAGGCTTGGGAGGGGGCTGACATCAAATAAAAAGGGAGTCAGGACTCAGATAGTCCTTTCTCGCTCTCTCTCGAATGAGAAGGGGGAAAGCTGGTGCCGGCTTGTAACCTCCGTTCATCTCCCGCTCGCACGGAGAGATCCTGCTTTGCTGCTACCGTGGTTCGTTGTTTTACGTAACTATCCACATCCACATACCGGTACCTATACTTACCTACCTAAGGTAGGTATACACTCGATACATTGTATCCATGATTTATGTACGTCTACCTAATACTTCGTATTGCTTGGATAAATATACATAAGCATGAGCATACGTATAATTACGTTACGTACATATCTAATACACAAGATCTGGTGATGTATAACTATATGTACCTAGGTACCTTGTATGTAGATCTAGTGGGAAAATAAAAGCAAATTAACGACGATGGAAAAAGCAGGAATAAAACCAAAAAAAAAAAAAAAAAAAAACCGAATGTCATCACTCTGACAAACTACCCCAGAAGGAGCGTGATTCCCCGATGGCTGAACCGCCAGACCGCCTCACCTCAGCCCTACCCTCGTATAAGCTCAGCGTATCTCAGTCCGGCCTAAATTGCGCCAGCGAATAAGACGGCGAAGATGACTTTCCACTTTGCCCAGCTCTCCTCATGTCTTGGTCCGGGCCATCGAAGAGAATCGAGACCTCCTGGATACTACCTACCTACCTACGTAGCTACACTTCGCTGAGAGCGGGGATGCAGGAAGGACTGCTGACTTCAAGGGCTACCAATTCGTGTGTGTAACTATTTACCTTAGGTAGGTACCTTATGTATGTGCTATAGGTGTATCCTTGATATTTACATACATAGGTACTTAGACAATTCCATCTTTACAATTTCTAAGAATCTCCGAATTGGCTACTACTAGATTTGTACATCGTTGGAGCCGATAACTCTTCTTTTGGCTCCCATCCTCGCCTGATTCGTTCCGTGGTCTAGGATAATACCTACCTCCTAACCTAGACCACCCCCCTCCCACGTACTATACAGGTTGGTACAAGTGTCTCGTATGTACACTGCAATGCCTTTATATTCCTAGGTACCTATCATCCGTCGTGCGCCATTAAACACACTTTTTCTTCGCCAAACGCCCCGTGATGCACTCGCTCCCTAAAAGCAATGGTAAAATATGATCGTAACGCCGTCAACCCTCGCGAGCTCGCCCAAGCTCACGAGAAAAAGTACTGACTATCCCTGAGCCGTGCGACGTCGAAATCACCCTAAATTTATTGTTTAGCCTAATGTTAACAGGTTGGAGTCGATGCTGGAGTGGCTTACCTTTTCGGGAACCTCAGGAAAGGTAAGCGGAAGCCAGACGTTGACTGCCTTGTAGGCTTTAACTTTTTCTTTGGACCTTTTGACTGGTTTGGTAGTCCCCGTGAGTTCAGACTCGAAAAGGCTGACGCCCATCCCAGCTTTGAAGTTGTCCAACAAATCTTTTATCTCATCAGGCACGTCCGTGCCTACAGGTGAGTCAAAATCTGTAGCTGGTGCTGGTGTCAAATCGTCCTCGTCATTTTCGTCGATTGAATGCATTGCATCGTCCATCGAAATTTTGTCAGGGATGTTGCCTAACCCTACTGCCTCCATTTCTTCCGTACTCGAAAAGGGCTGAGCGACCGACATCTCCGCAAAGATGCTGCCGGGCGTCTTCATTGCCTGACCCTTTTTGACTTCCTCAGGGTCCGATGACGCCAGTAGCCGAAGCCTCTCTCGCTCCTCCACAAGTTCATCTTTTAGAGCCATTTTTCTCGTCTTGCGAAGTGCGGTTATAGCCTTTTCAGCCTGGCTGCCCTTCTCGACCTTAGCTAAATAAAGTGACCCTTTGTATCGGGCCTCAAATTCGGATGCCAGACGCCTGATGACGTCTTCGCTGTGTATACGAATGAAACAATCCCGAAGCACCGTGTTCATAACATCAACGTCAGAAGCATGCGTCCAGAAAGAATCGTGCACGGCCGCAAACGAGAGGCCAAGCTCGTCACATTGGAGTGCGGACAACAACATGTGACTAGCATCTAGGGAATGGATGAAGTTGGGGGGAAATGCCTGCAGCTGCTTCCGTCGATTTACGGGGTCAGAACTGTCTGGAACCTGTAGGTTGAGATCCTGCAACGACGTAGCGATATTTCTGGTCCCAACTTTGCGGTATGGTTGGACGATAGGCATGCGAAGAGGAGTGGTCCAGATAACCGTCGACCTAAATTGATTGACAATATCATCAGCCGCCTTCGCCTTCGACTTAGCCTTCGCCTTTGTCGTCTTTATACTTGGCATCCTTGGTTGTTTCTTGGACTTAGTCCCATCTTCTCCATTGGCAATTCGATCCATCTGCTCTGGGGTGAGCGCACGACAGATTCTACCAGCACACTCTCCAAGCCAGTACTGAATATCGTGGGCTCCGCGAAACATAGTAGACAGAGCCCCAAACACCTTGGTAGCGACGTAAGAAGCGACTATGCCTACCGGGATGCCTGACTCTTTTTGAATGTCGGGATAAGCTGCATTGAGTTGTTTCTGTACTTGAGCCTTGGCACCGATAAATGTAACACCGTACACGTTGGTCATGACGGTTTGCTTCACCACTTTCCTCGATATCTTGCCGTCAACTGCCTTGGCGATGATATTGCCGGTAGCCTCTATATCCTTCGCAATACCCTCCTTTACCAGCTCAGCCACGGCCGAGTACACATCTGCGGGGCGGTCTCCGGGTTCGAGATTCACTTGTTGAGCACCCCACTTATCACCTCCCAGAGCCGCATAATGCTGTAGCCCGTTGCACGTACCATCTTGGTGAACCGGAAGGTGGGAGACGTATTTGGTAGGATCAGGAGACTCGAGCGCCGCCTTTAGCTCGAAACAGGTTGCCAGGCATTGCCAGGCATCCTCAGCCTTGAGCCACCACCGCTTCCCCGTTAGAGGATTGTTAGCAGAATCGTATATCTCGTCAAGGTGATCCGTCACGAACGATTCTCGTTCCTCCAAGCTTGCCTTGTCGTAGCCAAACACATTTGCTAGATGAATCTTGAGCCACCGCAATCCACTCTCACCAAGCTCCTTCCCCTTGGCAAAGTAAAGCAATCCTCGCATGTGGTCTGCGCCCATATGGTTGAGGTAGGTCGGGATCGGATAAGCTCGCCCTCGGAAGTCCATATTGTGCGGGAAGTAAAAAGTCTGGTCTTTGAAAGCCCTGGCAATCTCGAGTTGAAAATTCATGAAACAACGTTCCGAGTGCAGACCCGATTTTTCGTTCTCTACAGCTTTCACGGCGTTCAGCCACTGTCGACGAACTATGGGATTATCCGACGCTTCTGGTTCCGGGGGTGTGGTAAGTTGGGGGTTTAAAGGAGGGATGTTCGCTATCGCCTCGCCACTGTTCCATGCTTCAAGTATCACGTCGAAGACAGGCTTGTTGATTCGCCATCCTGTCCTACCGAGAACATCCAAGCCCTTGCTAACTTGCTCCATGTCTCCCCTCCGCACAGCTGCTTCGGCATACACCCTCTGATCCTTCTCGCCGTTCTTGATTCGCAAAAGTTGGGCAGGGTACTCAACGAAGCCCCCCTTGTCAAATTTCGTCCAGGGTTCCGGCTCGACAAGCATAGGTAGGTGTCTGGCTAGAAAGTCCGCAGGAGGTTCTCGTTTCATCATCTCAACCAGGAATTTATTCGGCATGACTATCCCGATCTTTTTTCCCTTTTTATATATCGTGGTATGAGCTAGGGCAGGTTGTATTTGACTGACAATATCCTTGGTTTCGGGATGCTCTCGAACGACGTTTACTTTTGCAGTATCTATCATAGCAGATAGCAAAGCAACACTGACCTTGGTTCTAATCAGCGTAGGCCATGACTTGACTTCGTACATAGATGTTGCGTCGCCATATTGCTGCGCCTGTGACTCGGCTGACTCGGCTGGTGTCTCAGCTGTTGATGGGTCCATTTCACGCTTCAGTTTCAAACTCAGTCTGTGAGCCTTGGCTTTACGCTTAGCTTCCTCGAAGCGTTGCTCCCGTATGAGGTGTTTAATATCATCCTCAACTATCTTGGCAACATGACTGAGCAAACTGGACAACTGAATACCCCCATCAATGCCCACGGACGACATGGCATTTAAGACACTTATGATGGTGACTGCCGCTAGCCTTGCTGGTGTTGATTGTCTTAGAAATGGGGCGTATAAACAGCGATCCTGATCTTCGTCCGTCTTTTTTTCGCCGGTTTCCGACACTTCAAATAATGCGAACTCCTCCTCTAACCTGGCTTCTAGAGCGTTCTGCCATTCATATAGCTGGGCATTTAAGCTCTTCGTAGATACTGCTGTGTTCAAGCCCAGTTTCTTGAGAGCCTCGTTTTCTTCTCTCCATCGTTTCAAGGCAGAATCGACGCAATCATGTTCTAACCGAGCCTGTATTTCCCGGCGCTCTGCGTAAGAGAGCTTGGAAAGATCTCGGCCCTCAATGGTGCCAAAGAAAGACAAGACCTCGCGTAATGACTTAAGACCTAATCCTTTCTGAGGCACGGCTAGAACTTCAGGTATGACGTTTGTCTTCTCCTTTGCTTCGGAAGGTTCGGCCGGTTTACTTGAGTCGACTTCCGTGTCTGCCAGCTCGGCTTCTTCGTCCTCTAGCGAGGGCTCCCAGTCTTCCAAGAGGTCGGAGGCGGGTTGGTAAATGCTAGCGATGATACCGATATCTTGCTGGGTTAAAATATCCTCTTGGGACAAAACATGATAAATAGCATCCCCAGGCATCAATTCCATGTATCGTGTCACAAGTCGTTCTAGCCGTGGTCCCTTGGTCGATAAGAGCGAAATCTTTAACATGCAAGCGACGATTTCGGGCGTCTGGGGGATATTTTTGCCTCTCATTTGTAGCTCGTACCATTGGTGTAAAGATTGCGCCCATGCCGAGTCTGACTGTTCAAAGGCTCTTTTAATAGACGCGCGAAGGTATTTGGCATGAAGCGCGGTCAAGGCAAAACCTTCCAAGAGACTGTTATCAGTAAGACGAGTAATGACAAGAGCGGCTCTATCTAGCTTGCCGACCTGTATGCAAGCATCAAAGACTGAGATCAACTCGTCGACACCACCAGGCAGACCATGACTGAGCCTAGTGCGTGGGAAAGAATCCTCTACGGTATTGATGAGTAATGGTGAAGAAGCATCAAAGGGTCGTAGTTCGTATAAACGAGGTGCTGGCGGGTGATGCGGTTGATAATGGTCGAAAGAAATTTCGTCCTTCTGTATCGGGTCGCCTATAGCTGTTGCCAAAGATCTCTGGAAGATTGGTCCGCAAACATCTTGCGAGTTCTTTCTCCTCCTCGGTAGTTGTTCGACTCGGGTGGTTAAAAGTCTGTGATTTGATGTACGGAAAGAATGGAGGGAATCGAGGATTGAAGATCTGGCAACTAGTTGTCGTCGCCTCACTGCATTAAGTCTAGGGAGTGGAAGGCTCTGACGAGCTGGAAGTGATCGCACAAACATTGCGACACGAGTTTGGATTTAGATATAGGTATAGGTATAGGGGGGTATCTCGAAGGAGGGAATAAGGGAAATAGACCTCACGTATTCCCAACAGGCTCTTTTCCTTTTTTTTTCTTTTTTTCTTAATAAAAAGGAAAAAAAAAAGAACGCCGTCGAGAGGAATTATTACAGCATGAGGTCCCAAGGAATAGGTTGAAACCTGCCGAAATGATCCTACACGTACCAATCCAGCCTTAGGTATGTATATAGGAAGAAGAAAAGACCTGTTTTCAAGGTTGAATTTGAACAGGGTGATTAAGTAGTAGGTATTTGGGAGGCAAAGCTTTTCATGAGGGTCTAGCTCCAAAATTTTTGCCATCGCAAAGGTTTTTTTTTTGGTTTTTTGGTTTTTTTCCTCTTTAGTCCCCCTCACTTAGCTTAGTTAGGCTTACTCACATAGGTTGATAGGAAGACGATAAGAAAATTGATACCGATATCGATAGATATCTGAATTGACAACTGCCAATTGGTCCAAAGCTTATTGATGTCCCACTTAATGAACTCCGCCTCTCGTCGAAATCAGGTACCCCCTGGAGGTACCTCTAGTGGACGTTATATAGAGGCGGACTTAGTTTTATTCCGGATTTTTATACGGTGGGCATCTTCCATACCTTTAATACCCTAGGAGGTAGGTATCAATCAAGATTCAAGACATTACCAATCAAAAGTAAGAGAGAGAGAAGAAGAAAAAAGAAAAGAGAGAGAAAAAAAAATAATCATAAAAAATAAGAAGATGGTTACTCGACATGCAGTAACTACAGTAGCTTGCTCTCAATGCCGTCTGGCTGCTCTGAAGTTATTTGTTTGTTCTACGAACACCTTACCCACCATAAGACCTAATCCTTTTCAGTATCGACAGCGACTGGTCTCTAGGATACCAATCCGGTCGTTCTCATCTCTACCGTCTCAAAATGAGTCCTCAAGTAGCACGGCATCGACTGAAACAAGTCATGAAAAGGATGATATCCTCGATGACCGGCATGACCGGCATGATCAGCATGATCAGCATGATCAGACTCACGAAACTACCACAGGAGACACAAGTCTAACCGCTACTCCTTGGTATCTTCAAGTTGAGCCCCCAAGACAAATAGCTACCATTGAGCCCCCACCGTTACCAGAGGTTCCTTCGGACTCTCCAGAAATTATCGGCTCATTATTAAAATACGCCTCTGAGGAGTTGGGCCTTGATGATCTTTCGCTGTTAGATCTTAGGGAGCTAGATCCTCCAGCAGCCCTAGGTCCGAACCTCTTCATGCTGTTCGGCACCGCGCGAAGCGAGCGCCATCTCAACGTGTCTTCTGGACGGTTGTTACGATGGCTACGAGCCAAGCATCATATTTGGGCTAACGCTGACGGCTTGCTTGGGCCAAACGAGCGCAAGACAAAGCTGCGCCGGAAGGCTAAGCGGGCGAAACTCCTAGGAGGTGTTGAGGATACTGATGACGGAATTAAAACCGGATGGATATGTGTTAATTTAGGTACCATTGGTTACGGCAAGGAAGAGTCTGCCGTTTTTGCGGGCGATGGGCGTGTTGCTGGTTTCGGTGCTGCTCAAAATGGGTCCACGATTGTCGTTCAGATCATGACAGAATCCCGGAGAGTCGAGATGGATCTTGAATCTTTGTGGAAGAGAAGTCTCAGCCGATCAGTCGGCACCATCGTCGAGTCTGAGCATAAGCCGGTAGAATCGACGAAGAGGCCCGTAAAGCCGCAGACTAGGCGGCCAAAGCCAGAGGTGGAAAACATGGAAGATCTCCATCCTCTAGAGAAGGCTATCCTAGCGAGTTCGCGCCGCCATACAACTTCTGGAAACAGCCACTTCAACGATACATCGAGGAGAACACCTTTTGAACAGGCACGGTTTTATTCGACAGTACAAACGGCCCATAATAAGACGCCAATGGAAAATCCGTTATTGCATATCACATCGAAAGATGCTCTTGAGCAGAGTCTCAAGTTTGATTTCCATCAGAAAAACCGGATTCTATCCCTATTAGAAGCCGGCCTTGACAATCCATCTGTCGTTTCTACTTCGGAGTATAAGACAAGCTTTTCGAACTCTTTTCTTACGCTATCTCAGCTTGCGTGTCAAAGTCTCCGTCCATCTCAAACTTGGGGATTTCGTCTTGCAGTTCACGCAAAGGCCTGCGAGCTTCGCATGGCTGATTTTACTGGGTTGCCTACTAACGCGCAGCAGTTAGTTGAAGAGATGTGTCTCTATGGCATCCCTTTCACACGACAGCAATGCTTACAGCTCTTGGCATGCATTTATAGCTCAGATATCAACGGATTAAACGAGCGGACCCGACTTGCCCTGAATCTCTTGAAAACGGTCCAGCAACGTGGGCAGCCGGTCCTTGCTAGTGACATTATTGTTACTATCATCGAAGCAACAGCTCGCTATTATAAGAAAACCGCCTCCCAGGATTGCTTAAAGCTTATCGAGCGACTGGAGGATGCTTTAGTGCAAGCAGATTTATCTCAATTAGAGGAGCCGCAAATCATGAGACTCATGGAGGCATACGCCGACATACGCGATTGGAAAGGTTTCCAGAACGCATGGCGCATACCTGCGAGGCACCTACGCCCGCGCTCAGCAGCCATGTATATCCATGCTTATAATTTGGCGTCTTCGACGGGTTCGCCGTTGGTCTGTAAGATGATGCTAAGGTTGTGCTTTCAGGAGATGCTCTCGGAGGATCCGCCTGTGCTACCTAGGGATAAAGTCCTCACTGCTGTCCACAAGTGCATTCATATAGCCGACAGAACTGCTCATCAAAACTTTGGGCAGATGCTAAAAAATCCCGGCGTTCATGGAAGTAGGGGGGTGGTAAAAGAATTCGTGAGGCTCCTGTGGAGCATTCATGTGATAAATCTCAACAGTGGGCAAGGAGCGTAAGGATGGATAATATTCGCATATTCTTCTAGCATTAGACCAGCTGCAAGGTCTCAATGTTGATGTTGGCATATGAATTTGCCAGTCTCTTCGCCTCCAGATGAGGCATTCAAGGCGGTTTGCATACGTTCCAGTGTAACGAAATCAATGTCTTTTTTTCATGTAAATTACCTATCCAGCTAAATACCTACCTATAACCTAACCTAACCTACTTATGTACAACTTCCGACCTCTCTTGCTCTACGTGACTTTATATAGTTCTCTTATCTGATCTAACTATAAGGTATGTCAATCCTCACAACTTTTCCTTTTCCCAGAGCTCACTAGATGATAAGTGTGCAATGAAGATTATCTAAAGCTTGAAGGTCCACGCCAAAAATGAAATTATTTCCCGAGATATTTCGAAGCCGGATTTCCTCAGCCGACTACCAACGCGCCGCACCCTCACCGAGGTGCCAATCAAGGCAGGTCAACAACGGCGGATCTAGAACTAAAAAGGCAAGCTCTCTGTGACGCCGGGGCCAACCACCATCGCGGAGAAAGCCTTCTCCAGTAAAATGCCAAGGAGAACCGGTTCCTGGCTCAGCGTGCCTTGGTTGATTGGATTGCGGCGCCCCGAGATAAGGGTTGCGCACGATCCCGGCCCTTCGATGCTACCCTGAATTTCCAATTCCTTAGCTACGACGCAGCCGAGTGGTGATCAGAATAAACCACCTTCTACATAGTATAAGCTTCCCGTTGGTTGTCGACGCTAGATTCGCGTCCCGCTTTCTCGATGTATATAATATCTCCGTTATCTCGTCTTAGACTGGGGGGCATAGGGATAGGGTTCAGAGAGCGCCTGAAAAAAATAACCAATTGGTTCGCTTGATATGGTTTTCATCAAATCGAATTGATAATGATTGCTCCACGTGCCTACCTTAATACCCCGGTGTATATACATACCTGGGTCTGCGTTGAGTAAATAAATGAAGCCGTGGGTTGAAATTGCGTAGGTACCTAACCTAAGATAATATATAACTAATATCTTCGCATCGTATATCAGTGTCCTGAGTTCTTGTCGCTGCCTTTCCTATTCCCATACTTCGTATTGTCCTCAAGTTGCAAGAAGGAAACATCCACCAACCATGGCGCGCATCGCATCTTTCGCTCTCCTATCCGCGGCGGCAGCGCTCCCCGGCGCCCTGGCCTGGGGCGCCATGGGCCACGAGGCGGTCGCCTACGTCGCGAGCAACTACGTGAGCGCGTCGACGAGGACCTTCTTCCAGGCCTTGCTGGACGACACGTCGGCGGACTACCTGGCGAGCGTGGCGGCGTGGGCCGACAGCTACCGGTACACGAGCGCGGGCAAGTTCACGGCGCCGTTCCACTACATCGACGCCAACGACAACCCGCCGGCTAGCTGCGGCGTCGACCTGGACCGCGACTGCGGCGCCGAGGGCTGCGTCGTGCGCGCGCTCCAGAATTACACTACGATCCTGATCGGCCAGAAGGCGAGCACTGCTAACCTGCAGATCGCAGCCAAGGTGAGCATAAATGGATACCTACCTACCTTAGGTACCTATACAGAACACAGACGGATTGGTACTAACGAGCGAAATTGCAGATGGTCATCCACGTAAGCAAAATATCCCAAGGGGACGTCCGAAGAAGAAGAAGACGTAGTATTAGCAGCAGAGCACACTCAAGACAAACTCGACGAACGAGCAAAAGGAAAAGGAAACCCAAATTAACGTACCAGAACAGTTTGCGGGCGACATAGGACAGCCGCTACACTGCGAAGCCTTAGAGATCGGCGGCAACGACATCGACGTGCAGTACGACGGCGAGGACACCAACCTGCACGCGGTCTGGGACAGCAACATCCCCGAGTCCATCTCCGGCGGGTCCTCGCTGTCGTCTGCGAAGTCGTGGGCCCAGGAGTTGATCAAGGGTACGTAACGAACCAACGTGCCCCCCCCCCCTTTTTTTTTTTTTTTTTCTAACGCGCATTCCCTCCAGAAATCGACTCGGGCGCGTACAAATCACAAGCATCCAAATGGGTCTCGGGCCTCAGCGTGGCCTCAGCGGCGAAGCAGACGGCGACGGCGCTGGGCTGGGCGACGGACAGCAACGCGTACGTGTGCTCGACGGTGCTGGCAGGCGGCGTGAGCGCCGTCGAGAAACAGGACCTCAGCGGGAAGTACACGACGGCCGCGCAGCCCGTCGTCGACTTGCAGATAGCGAAGCAGGGGTACCGGCTCGCCAAGTGGCTCGACGCTATCGTTGCTGCGATTCAATGAAGTTTTGTTCGTGTATGCGTGAGATTTTGATGATTATGGCGGTGGGAGTTTGGTGCAGGTGGAGAGGGCGCGAAGAGGAAAAGGAAAGGAAAGTAAGAGACGATGAAGTCACAATGGTTAAAATAGCTAATCTAGATAGGTACCTAAGGTATAAAATGCCAATGCTAACTCATACGTCCCCAATGATTAATCTTTCTAATACATGTCTTTTTCGAGACTTCTACCCCCTCCTTCTTAACACGCCATTATCTCTCTACTCTATCCCTTCTTAACCCCCTTCAACGCTTCTCTCAACATAGGCGCGATCTGCTTCCGACTATACTCGACCTTCGCCTGCGTCCAGCAGCGCCTCCAGCCATCTTTGTCATCCTCCAAATCTAACTTCCCCTCTCCCCACGTGTCCAAACCCAACTTCTCCTTCCCGCCATTCTCCACAAACGCCTTCACGGCACCCACAACCCGCTCCCCACCCCTCGCCCATACCAGCAGCTCCCGTCTGAACTCCCCGCTGCCGCCGTCGTCGTCGCCGTCCTTCGACGTCGTCAGCAGCACCATGACGTCCATGTCCTTCTCTTCGCACCACCTCCGCAGCTCCTCGGCGAACTTCCCCTCGTCGCCCGCCTTGCGCGCCAGGGACGCGAACGATATCGGCGCCGACGACGTGCCCAGCTTCAGGCCGCTGCCGCCTTCGCCCCCTACGTCCCACTCCTTGTAGTCCTTGCGGAAGATGTCCCGGAACGACATGTAGGAGACGTCCTCCTTAAGGGCCTCCACCTCGGCGAAGAACGCCCCGCGGTCGTATCCGCCACCATCACCACCCTCATCGGACCCCGCCCGCACATGGGCTTCCGCGATTTCCACGGCCCGCTCGTCGTGCGCCGTCGTCTTGTCCTTGTTACCCAGGTTCAGGGTGTCGACGAGGATCGGCGCGAGGGCGAGATACGCCAGCTGCGAATTTACCCGGAGAGCGTCTTGACTGCCATTGACATTGCCATTACTATTGACATTGCCGCTGCTGCTGCTACTGCTGTCGTCCTCACGCTTCGCCAGCGCCTCCCACGCCTCGCCGCATTGCTCCACGATCAAGCTCATGCAGCTACCGCACTTTTCGATAACGCGGGGCGTGGCATCAGCCGGCACCTTCCCCTCGTCGTCGTGGTGGTCGATGCACCCGACAACCCTATTCCCGAATCTCCGGCCGAGCTCGCCCGTCATGACGTTGTGGTCGACAAGCAGCCAGTGGGTGTCCTCGGGCTCCAAGCCATTGGCCCCGGTGGGCGGCAGCTCGGACAGCGTCAGCAGGTCGTCGGGCGTGACGGCGGCGTATTTCAGCACGGCGGCGAATTCCGGCCGCAGCGAGAGGTCGTCGCGGGGGAGGTGGCAGAGCGGGATGTGCAGAGTATGCGGCGGAGAGTGCGTTCTAATGTAAGCCAGGAAGAGCGCCGAGCATAGTGAGTCGAGATCTAGTTACATTTCATTTGATGTTGGTCGGTCTTCTAAGAGGTATGTACCTTCTCAAAACATATAGGTAGGTATCGAAGGGGAGAAATGTAATAAAATTGCGAATACAAATAGATTTAGATATACTTGAGAGATATGAGGTAGACGACTAACGAACATGGAGAAATGTCAAAAAAAAAAAAAAAAAAAAAAAAAAAAAAAAAAGAGCCGTAGGCACAAATAGTAAAATTACATACCAGCTGATTCGTTGCCCACGACGAAGTGCAACGGCTTCGGGCCTTTGGATGGAGGAGCCGTTAAAGCAGCTCGAGCTGTAGCCAAAAAAGCCTGTAACGTTTTTGGAGGTGGCATTTTCCAAGAAGAAGAAGAAAAAAACTACCTTAGGTACCTCTTTATATGTTATCAATCAATTACCTAGGTACCTGCCCCTGGTTGTCTGCTTCCTGCATATTTAAATTTCCGTTTGCTTTCAGGAACAGGCGAAGTAGTATTTATATGCAGGAGCGTAACGTCATACTTCTAATTTATCTTCCCGTCCCCCGCAGTTTTTTTCCTATCGGTAGTGTAACCATAGGTATCTTGCATTAGTTCCCGATAGGTTATGCCTTAAGTTTTAACTTAAGGATATGTGTCGGAAAAAAAATAAAATAAAAAAAAAGGTAGGGGGGGGAGAGGTGCTTTGCTCTGATTGGTCCAAATGTGTTGTGGCTAGGTTGTGGCTGGAGGGGGTACTAAGTGGCTGGGGGGCGAAAAGAATATGTACATATGTACCTATGGGAGGGGGAGGCGTGCTTTGCTCTGGTTGGCCGAAAGGTGATGTGGCTAGTGTGCAGCTAACGTAGCGCTAATGTAGGTTTGAGCCACAGCGCCACTAGGTACGTACCTTCCCAGCCATCTGCAATACGCTTTAAAAGCCACTAAACGTGTAAAAGTTGCAAGGGGTCTTAAGATAACTATATCCAATCAAAAACATCGTAGGACTATGGCTAGAGGCCGGGTAATGTGGCAAGGTGTGGCTCGGCAGGCGGCGGCTTACCATAGTAAGAGTCAGAAGCATTGACCACTTGCAACTTAACTTAAAACTTAAGGATGTAAGTCGGCGCTTGCGGTGACCTCCAGTAATATAATTGTGTCTACGAAGTATATGATTGGTCAAAGATTTATTATAGGTGCCTAGGATAAGTCCTAGAGACAGACATGCGCACTATATATTGCTAAGCTGGAAAAACAAAGTACACATAAGGCTTATCCTTTCCAGAGCATTTCATGTCGTGATTACTCTCCCTCCTATCCTTCGTGATTCAATCAACCTTGGGCACCTAAGTTGGTAAGTACCTTAGGTACATATAGGTTGTTCTGTTTCAATCGAAGCCGTCCCTAGAACGTAGCCCCTAGAACGCCAGCCTGTAACAAACAACATCTACCTTTTTTTTTTTTTACTGGAATACAAAAATGACCCCTGACCTGTCTACGCTAACAGCCATCGTATAAGGCAATTCCAATACTGCCACGTCCAAGATCGAATCTAAATGACTTCTGAGCAGTTGACCCTGCTCCGCCGAGATAACCGTGTGTCTTGGTGGTTTCTCTCTGCTGCTTGTCGCCTTATTGCTCTTGCCACCCTTCTGTTCTGCGCCCGTTGTATTACCTCTTTTATGTAGTCTTTCTACGTTAAGAGTAAGGCCAGGCTGGTTCGGCGTGCTGACTACCGCGAAAACTGGTTTAGCATCTTCACTATGGAGTCCGCTGAATATGCACGAGTTCTCGATGCGCATTAGGTCCCAGAAACGTAGTTTCTTGTCTGACCCCCCTGTTATGATATATCCGTACCGCACTTCACGTTGGTCTTCCATAGCACCTGAGCCGACAACCATAGCTCGGACGCCGCGATCCCCACTGCCACTAGCGGTAGGCTCGATATTCGTCGCAAAACGGTCGAGCATGCCTTCGGGTTTGTCCTCGTCGACGTCCCATGGTTTGTAATCTTTCGGTCCGTCTTTGGATCCTCCTACCCGATAAATTTCCCTGCACTGTGTCTTTTCCAGGTCCCAGACAGTGACCTCGCCAAGACCAGTACCGCCTGCTACGCACACCCACTTCCCGCGACCTTTGGCTGGATGGAGGCAGAGGCGGTAGATGGCCGATTTACCTGGCAAACCCCAACCTTTTAGCCTCATCTTGAATCGTAGGTCCCACAAATCCAGGACTCCGTGCGAGGTGCCGAGAAGCAGCCAGTTACGCTTCCGATCCACACAGAAACAAGTGGGAGCACCGTGATGTACCGGGTTTTCGAGTACGTACAAAAGTGACATCGTACGAAGATCAATACCCAAGACCCGAGATCGGTTGGTCGCAAGTACCAGCACGGAATTCAGCTCCTGTTTGAAGTGCTCGCACCAGACAGCATACTCATCTGCTGGAAGCTGGTACTCACGAAGTAGTCGCAATCGGATGTACTTAATAGATCCGCTGGTCATAGCTGTGTCTACCTTGACGATATGAACGCTACCATCACTGGCGCAACTGACAAACGTATGTGTGTTCTCAATGAAGCAGAGGGAAGTAACCTTCGCACCCGGAGCGTGTCTATGCGTTTGGCGCGAACGATGTGTGACGTTACGCTCCAGCCTAGAGGAATCCCACACCTTAATACTACCATCGTCACTACCTGTTATAAAAAACAGGTGATCTGGAGATGGAAGAACACGGTTGATCGCCCCAGTATGTTCCGAGAAGGTGGCAACGAGACTACCATTCGGTTTCCATGCTTCCTCGCCGCTTTGTCCCGCCGCTTTACTTACTTTCCTCCTGGTGATTGGTGAAACGAGCGGTCCAAATTGGGCTATGTCGTGCGGGTAATTATCGACGTACATATTATTAAGCATTTTTAATATATTAGGGTCATTGCCCTCGTATGTATGTGAAGCACGGGATCGAGCTCTCGGCATCCCATTGTCTGCAGCGGTGCTGGGAATCATTATTTGTGGCGGCGGGTTTTGTGAGAAAGGGCCCTCGACTTGGCCAAATGCATTCGCCTCAGTCGTTCCTGTCTCTGCGATCGATCTACCGCTGTCTTTCCGATTTAGAAGATCCAGAGCGCTTGCCTGGTGTCGAATGGCTCTTCTAGTCGAGTATGGGGAATCTGAAATAGAGGCATCATCGTCCTGAGAAGTCGGCCCACGTGCTGTGGAAGAAGCACGGCGTGATTCATTAATACCCATGCCGTTGACTGGGGAAGACGCCCGAGACTCCATTGGCGATAATGCGCGGCCATCTTTCGTCCTTGGTGACATTGCTCCTCCGTGGCTGCTCAAACGTGAGCGGTGATTATTCATAGCAGCACGGCGCCGCTTCCCAACAGGCTCGTCTATCGTCATTGATGCATCCATCAGAGCATCGCTAATGGTATAAGGCCCTTTATCCGAGCTTGGCATTCGTTGCCGTTGCCACGTTGGCTCATCTTCAGGGGAAACCTCGTCAAACATGATCGTCTGCAATTTGACATTTAAACTCCTCAGAGGGATGATATTGTTCAAGGACGTAGTAATGTTGTCTTGCGAGAGCAAATCGCGGTTCCTCATTTGACTCAAGCGCCATATGAATTCCCTCAGAACAAGCAGCTTGAATTCATCTTCCGTCGTCATTCCCATGTTCCGCAGTCGGGTAAGCCATTGCTCATCCTCTTCATTCCGTTGAACTTTGTTAAGTGCTTGCGGTTGTGTCTCCCGAGATGAACGGATTGCCAATGCTGTAGAAGCAATAGTAAATGTAGACTGCTTTTGCTGTTTGACAGCTTTCCAGAACAGTCCTTTATCAGTCTTTTGCGCCCATGATAGCGCCAAGTCGAAGACTGTCCGTGATAATGGTTTCTTCAGAGAATCTAGCAAATCAAGCTCAGAAAAGTCAGGAATTATTCCCGGCTTGAGGAATGGTCTAATTAGAGGCAGGACAATGCATCTAAGATCCGCGGGAGATAGCAGCTTTGCAGCGCTGGAAATGTACTCCGCAGCAGATTCTCGTATCCATAGATTCGGATGCATCGTGAAGCGGCCAACTACATCTATAAGCTCCCACGTCTTCGCTTTGGATAGGAGACCTAAACTTGCTAGCTCGGCCAAAGAGTGTAAGGCCGCCTGTACCACATGCTCTTCCGGATCGGTTACCGCTTGTATCATCAGAGGAAGACTAAATTCCTCCAAGCTGGTGCTACCTAGAAATGCAGCAATGCCCACTATCGTGTCGAAGAAAGCACACTTCAGCATCCAGTCTCTATCGTTAAGGTACGTATTCAGGTGCGTGAGGATAATATCGTTGGACTCTGCACTACCGAAGAACATGCAAAGCTCCGGGACAGAACTGAGAAACGCTCGACGCACGGAAGCATCCGAATCTTCAACTAAAGCTTTAGCATGCGCTTCGAATAGTTCGACGAGTTCGCTTTGGGCGTTATCGAAGAGTCCATCGAATGCAGCATCGGGGTCGCTGCCAGCTTCGATCTCTGGGTCAGCGGTACTGATCGATCCCTCTGCTCTCAAGATGGCCGTCAACTCTAAGAATTTCGAAGCAGTCGTCGCAAGACTACCTAAACAGGATGCGTATGTGGCTCGCACTAAGGCGCTCGGCTCCCGACGTTCCTTTCCCATAATAGGTTGCCTGGAGGCACCTGATAGAAATACCTGCATCCTGGGCATAATGTACTCGGGGAATACATGGGCATTAACCGGCGTGACCACTGTTACAAGAGCCAGAAGTTGAGTAACAGATCTGAGAGCTGCGATAGCAACCAGATCAACGTCATCATTCAACAGCGTCATGAGATATGGTAGAACCCTGTCGAGCTTAGCTTCATCGGATAGTCTCTCGGAGAAAGCTAGCAGTATGTCACAAGCTCTGATCTTTGAAGCTGCTCGAGCTGTATTCCTAAGCGAGGCGGCGACGAGGGTAAGGAATATTAAAGTCCCATCGTCAGTAGGAGGTTGCTTTCCAGCTGACGTAGAATGTTCATTATTGGGTATGTTTAATCGTACAGGAAAAAGACCTAAGCCGAGGCGAGGTGTAAAGTGAGTAAGTTGGGACGGCTCCTTGTCGTCCCGATAGCCTAGGAAATATGATATTTTATCAAAGTCGTAGAAGACTCGGTCTATCCGATCATCGGCCTCACCAAAATTCTTCACGGACCCTGAAACCCGAGCCTTGCCTGAACCCGGGTCGGTAATAAGTTCCATATACTGATGAAGGAAGTTATAGAAGTACTCTGGGAAGACCTTTGATTTATAGAAATCCAGGTATTGCTCTGCGGAGTATCGCTTCTCGGGGTCAAGCTGGATCATACTAGAGAGCATCTCCCTCAAGCCCTGATCAGGTATCCTACTAAGATGCGAAATCACCGGGTCGTACTCGCCACGGCGATACTTGAACATTTGGCTAAGGCTAAATATAGAGGTCTCGAGGAATAGTTCGGCGATAACGCAGCCTGCGCTGAATATGTCCATAGACCAGGTAAGCTTATGGTCCTGGGGTTGCGCTTGGGGGTTTTCGATATGCTCGATAAACCTCTCTGGTGCGATGTAACACGTGCGCCGGCCAGACAGGTCGAAGAAGTAGGAGTAAAACATCGGGTTGTCATCGGGGAGCATCGTAGGTTTAAAGGAACCAGTGAAATCCGTCAGGTAAAGCCAGTTCCAAGATGTCACCATAATATTCTCTGTTTTTAGATCGCCATGATATATGTCACGACTGTGGCAATCTCGCAGTGCGCATAGCAGCTGGAATGCAAGCCATTTCTTTTCTATATCTTCGAGGAAGGGTCGCGTTGACATGCGGTCGTATAGGGAGCTATATATATACTGTCGTACGAGGTAGGCGTTTCCTTCGGTTTCAAAGGCACGTTCGAAGCCGAGGGCATTGGGGACATCTCTTAGTTTATCTCTCTCCTCTTGGGATCTAGTTAGCTTAAACGGTATTGCGAGTGGTGCGATATACGATATGAGGAGTAGTCATGACTAACGCAATATCTTGTCGCCATAATCCCGTAGAGATAGCGGGGTATAAGGCTTCACTGTGACTTTGGCTAAAACTACACCGTCGTTATGGCGAGCACGGATGCTCTTCATAAACCGGGCACTGCCGATCGACCTTTCGTGCACCAGGTCGGCTAGCTCTGGTATATCGATGCCGGCAGAGCCAGCGTAGGGCGTGGCGAGGGAGTAGCTGTTACCCATCACGCAAACATGTGATAGTGCTACCAGGTAGCCAAGTTTGTAAGACGAAACGAGTTAACCATCTTCGAGGGTTTTCCACAACGGTTTGTCGATGTTAATGGCAATGTTAACCGATTCGATATCTTCTCTAACGTAAAAACAAAATTGCAATGCGCATAGTATTGGCTATCCTATTAAGGATGTTGTTAATAATCCCGTCGAGGGATGTAAAAAGCACGTCAACTGCTCACGCGAAAGCTACTGAAGCTGTGTGATCTTTTGATGACGGCAATGGTTGGAAGTGGGAGCGGATAAGTTCCATAATACGTAAATCACCTGGGCACTTTAAGGGAGCTTAAGGTGGGCCCTAACTTGCCCGACGCATGGCCTAAATATAGTAGTAGGTACCTTGCATTACCTATTTCACAGTACCAGATACCTGTACCTAGGTAACCTTAGGTACCTTAGGTACCTTACGGTCCTTACCAAACCTACCTCGCATGTCATCCGCCTTGCCTTATTACCTGCAACAAAAATTCATACTTCTATACAATTACCATCATTCACATAAGCACTAATTAATACACATAGGAACTCGTAGTCGGGAAAGGGCTCCATATTCCATAATCAAGATGGTCGGCTTACGATATTGACTAAGACGAACCTCAGTAACATCATTACCCCAGGTATCTAGGCTAAGGCTCTTCGTACCATACCACTGAAAATATTATCAGAATTTCCTCCCCTCATCTGCTTGCTCGTTTAATAGCCATATAGGTAGCATCATATGCATTGTCCAGCTCAAGTCCAGTCCGGTCCAGTCTTGCACGGCTCTCCTTTAAAAGTAGTTGCATAACAATGGCCCTCCCCGATAACATCCTCCCCAAACACCTTTGCTAACACACCGGGTATATAGAATGAACAATCGAATAGAATGGGGAGGGCTCAAATGCATGTGGTCGTCATATTAGTAGAATCGCGTCTCTTCATGTCAAAAATCCCAAGGACAAACTGGTATACACCACCAGCAGAAGTCCCGCGGTCAAGTCCTTGATCCGAGGCGATGCGTCATTCGAAAAGAATTCAATGCGTGTTATAGAATCGAAAGCATTCAGCGTATCTATCGCAATAATGCAAACAGTCGTGTCTATATGCAGGATAAGGGCGAGAATATGGTGGCAAGCAGGCGGCGATTAGCCTGGACGTTGCTCGAGTACCGATCGAGGGCACGCCAGGAATTAGAATTGGTGCTAGGTATCGGTTTATGCTCAGACCGAATGTTGCGTCTAAGTCGAAAGTCCCCGAACGCCAAAGCAATGCAAACGCAAATAACTTTCATCAATCTATCAAATATAAGTGGAACGGCGTAATATATTGTTATCGGCTTCAGGTAAGTTGGCCGCCGTGATGAGCGCTAGAGCCGGTCTCCGTGGAACCGTCACCTTCGATGGTCTTCCTCCAGTGCTCAGGGAGACAGACGCAGACTAATGGGAAAGCCTTGATTTCTCCGCTGGCAGGAGGCGACGCATCTCGCCCACGACCCGAGGTGTGCGAAACACCACTGTCCCTCTGTGCCTGTCTTCGCGTCTCCCACTCGTCCGCTCGTTCGTCTAGCAGAACGCCTGTCGCCCATCCATCATCCCAGATACCAACCACCTTCAACATATCACCACGCTCTAAGGAAAATTCGTCGGCTGCGCGTGGCTGATACGCCCATAGAACGGCAACTCGGTCGCCAGGGTGGATGTCGTCTTGCGAATAATAGTCCTTGAAGAACGGTAATTGCTCGGACTGTTGGCTGTTGACGCCAGCAGGAGATGACATACCGCCGGCACTAGTTGGGGACTGAGGATCCTCGCCGGCAAGGACCGAACTACTGGAGAGCGAACCGTGTCTGCGAATGTTCATAGGGGGTGGGCGCAAGATAGCTGCGCGAGGTTCCGACCTAGGACTATCTCCAAATGAATCTGTGGATGAGTGGTTATCTCCCCTTCGTCTGCCCATCATATATCCAGCAGCGGCACCCGCCGCGGCCGCGCCCACCGAGCCCCCATGTTTTGATTCTCCACGTCTCGAGGACGGGTCTCTCGTATGGCCTTCTAATGCAGACATGCGCGCTATTCTTCCTCCGGGGAGGACTTCGTACTCCTGGGGGGGCGCTGCCACATTTGCGGGAATCTGTGCTGTCTGAGGTCCTTTTCTGGAAGGCGAAGGCTGGTTGAAAACACTTCCCTTCTGGCTACCACGCCTCCGCCGAGCAAGTCTAAGGCACATCAGGAGGAGGAAAACTAAGAGAGCCAGGCCAGCAACAGATCCGATTACAATTCCTGCTATAGCGCCACCAGAAAGGCCGCTGTTGCCCGAAACACTAGGTGCGGGACTGGCTGTCGAACTTGCAGAGGCACTTGCAGTTGGTAAAGTCATCGTCGGCGTGATCGTGGGTAAGACCACGTTAGCACATCTCGCCTTAATATCGGAATTGTAACAACAAGTGTCAGTCGAATTGATACCGCCCGAAGCGCAGTATGAGCACAATCCAACAGTGCTGTCTCCGTATCCACAGTTTTCTGGCTCATTGTCTATGCCTTGTATACAACTACCAGGTGTCAATGAGCGCGGTGGTACGGAACAATCGATAAAGTCAGCTCTTATCTGCTCCTGGCGACGATCGCTGGTGCTAGGGCAAAGGTCAGTGTCGGCCGCCAAGTAGGCCTCACTCTCAGCGAAGTCAGTGCAAGAGTCGGCACACAAGGGCAACGAGGCCCGGTCTGACAGGCCGCAGGGTTCAATGGATTTCTGAATGATAACATTGCAGATCTTGGAAGTGGTGAAGCGAGCATATAAATTAGTAGTGTTGACAAGATCTATGTCGCCGCATCCTAGAAGATTCTGATATCTGCAAATAGTGTAAGTTCGGGCCATGATGCAGATTCAATTTTACTTACTGTTCCTGAACGTAGCTCGTGCGGACGTACTGGCTTAACTGCCTGTCAAAGGAAGCCGTATCCGAGACATATTGAAGAAAGGGGCTGAAGGCGCGTTGGTTAGAAATTGGCACGAATGGAATGATAGGCAAAGTGGTGCACACGAGAATAAACACTTACAATCTTTTCCGTAGGTCATCATTCGTAGTGGAAATTGAAGCAGGCTGAAAAGCTCCGCAGGTAGTTGAACCCGATAATGAAATGCATTGGTCTTGCGCCATGGAACCTGGAACCGCAAAGAGGACCGAGAAAAGAGCTGCCTTGACCATCGTCCATCCCGCCCCGCCAGTGGTTCTTCCACGTCCTCCTAATCGGGTCTGCGACGTCGCCATGTCGCATTCGCTCTGCTTTGAGGAAGTTGAATCGAGCGATATGTGGTCGATCCTCCTGGAATTGTCGACAGTAGCGATCATTGGCGCTATGAATGCATGATGCTCTGATCCTATCATTTCTCAATACCACATGCTACGTAGACTAACTTGTTCGAGGCTGTTTGCTGATGAGGTTTATGATGTCTCGGAAGCTTTTTGAGGTGGCTTGGCGCTAACGAGCGGTAGAGCGTGAGATGCTGATAGGAAAAGTAATCTGTTTTTTGTTTCTTTTTTTTTTTTAATCGGTGAGTAAATTATGTCCTGAGGGTGGTCGCAGTAATAGTGGTAACCGTAACCAAAAATTCAGGTGAATAGTTATTAGAATCGATTGCTCTCTGAGGGGAATTATGAGGGAATGGTGATTTTTTGTCGTCAAATTCTTGTTGGAAGTAATTTGTTATGCCGATAGGATCGGGTGCGTTGGTGTTTCCGTGGTGACGAACGAATGTCTATAGTTGGATTGGAGAAAGCGAGACTGGATGGAGAGAACAAACCGGAGCCGGAAACCGTATAGTGATTAAAATTTCAGGTCGCGCTTGACATGCTGCGGTTGCCTTACGATGCACAACATCGGCTAGGACACTATTGCGGAGGCTTTAAAAAAAAACCCCAGGTGGAATTTGAGATGGCTGGGCCTTCGGTAGAAAAAAAAATAAACGAATGATTGAACAGGAATTAAAGAAGGATAACAAGGAAACAAGGAAAAAAAAATAGGCCACCGCGGTACGCCGTGAAACCGTAGATCCGAATTGAGGGAACAGAATTGAGTATGAGATCGGATGGAAAGAAGTCGAAGTTTAGGCATACGACTGACTGAATTGTCGGCAAGAAGGGGAGAGAGAAACGTGAACAGAGAAATTGTGCCCCAAAGCTGCTTTCTGCGCTTTCTGGGCTGTGGTCGTTGTTGCTTTGCTTGATGCGATGCTCCTTGACCGTGGATGAATTGTACCTGCCACCCCTACCTGCCGGGTCCTGCCCTGTCCTGTTGTTTCCTGCCCTAGTTGGGTTAGGTACACATATATCCTTGCATAATGCCGTATCTGTACTTTTAGATAACTCTAACTACCGCGGACAAACCAAGCAAATATAGATGCAGCTTGTACAGCAACAAAACCTGCTATTGACCCCCAAGTCGATATCAGGTACGCTTTACCATCCACGGGGTTCTTGGCATGGATTTCGTCCAATGGAGCTTAACTCAATCAGTTCTATCAACCCGCGATCAAGGTTACGACCCACTCTGCCACTGCAAACTTACATGCTTAATACACGGATTTACGGACTGAAGTCAACTCATAGGTACGTGCCGTAGTTCTAGACGCCTTACATCATTTTACCACTTTTTTATGTACCTATGAGACACGTCTGAGATGCATGGAGATGCATTGAGATAAATATATCGGTTCAGCAGGTGGTACATATTTTCAAAACTATCGCTAGTGATATCGATGCAAAATTTAAACATAAAGATAAGTACATAATTATGTACGAAGTACTAAGCTTAGACCATGGCGTCTTCATGCTTGAGCTATGATCCCTGTCAAGCCACGGACCTCAGACAAAATCTTAATCGAAATAGGTAAAGCCCCAGAAGCACCTTAAAATTACCTGACATGGATAATCATGTCCAACTGCGACGGCAGGACGGCCAGAGTCTCTGAAGGAAAGCAACCTTAAGACAACCTTTCGGTGATCTCTTGGAAGGTCGACATCTTCCCTGACATTACATATAGGTAGTATCATCACAGAGAACCCTATCACCTTATTTAAACAAATCGATCTGCTAATGAGACCGCTGTCATCGTAACAATGGTGGGGATCTAAACAGACTTTGTTTTAGCTTGACATTATTATTAGTACGTACGGTTTACCTTAGGTAGTGAGGGTCAAGTCACATCAATGTTTAGCGGCCGCCGATCAGAACGGGAACCTTATATGGCAACTAATAAATGTGGACAACGATATCATCTTAAACGACGACAAACACCGACGCGGCTGAACACCTAACTTAGCGGTTTATCCGGTCATCGTCGTCTACGTACGAAACATACATCAAACTTTTCGACCGTAAGGCTAAATCGGCAGATGATTTATCTATAATCCGTACACATCCAACTATCCAATGTAATGACGCCTATATCTTCGAGGCATTGCTCGTGTCTTTAATGTGCCGTGGATCACCAAAGCCGAAGTACATAGTAGGCAAAGTCATCTTGCCTTATTGTTTCTGATTCAAGCGCCGATCAGATTACCTAGCTGAAACGTCCACTTTAAAATTCTCCAAGCGTCAGGGCAGGGTTTTTTTTTTTTTTGGTTTTTTTTATGTGAGATTTATCCGTCTCATGCGCTCTCGTATCTATTGGCCGAGGCGTCTTCTCATGCCTGTTGATTCAGATTCAAATATGTTTTGTACGACATGGCAACTTCGCTTACCCGAGCCGCGGGCCAAGGGTCCCCAGCAGACGCCGGCGCGAAATGACGACGGCTTCACCAGCTAAGTTGAATAAAAGGGGCAGGCTAACTAACACACTGCGTTTTGACCCCCGGCCCTAGCTTTTTTTTTTTTTATGTCAACCTTATGTTGAGCATAAGCGACGTTATTATCAGTACTGCCATGATAACCAGATATTGGCGTCTAAACCACGGTCTTGGTTCCCCTCCCTTCCTTGTTTCATTTGCCCTACGTCCTCAATGCTTCCCCACGATACTAGGTTGGGGTTTGGGGGTAGGTAAACGTGTCCGATTTAATATGAAGGAAATAAGCACGTAACTATACTTGATCCAAATGTCGTGACTATGATTAATACTAGTTACACTGTATTTATTTAACATGCCGCAACTAGGTAGTCTTCCACAAGATATCAATTAGACACTTTGTCTAGCCGTCATCTAACCTTCACATATGACCCGCTCATTTCTAAGTACCTAGGTATGTACATAGTATGTCAGGTAGCTTTCCAGCCACATCAATGCAACTCTCGGAGCGACTAATGACACACATTTATATGCTATGTAGCCCTTTGTGTAGATCCGTTATTCATCCCTGGTGCTATTCATTTTCGTACTGGGTAAGTTTAATATATTATTGATCTCTCAACACTACATGTTGTAGAGCCTCTAGCAAGCCAGAAAACGATCTCCTTACGTTTAACAGAGGTAGACTATCACTCACAAAATGTGTCTATTACAAGACAAAGTTAGTAATGCTTCGCAGAAGTGAAGCGACGGGCTGTCATTAACTACCTAGGTACCTGACATCTGGCTACAATATTCATGGTCAGGTTAATTTATGTCGTGGATGTTGAAACGACTCCCATGTTACAAATAATATTCAGGAAAACATCAATTAGCCAACCTACCGAGCTCTACTGGTACGTAAAACATGTACGGAATATCAGCTTTTGTTGTAGTTGATGTACACCAACTGTAGCACAAGGGACACACCGATTCCGAGTCTTGATCGAATATATAGGATTTATTGGTGAGCGTTCTCGTTTGAAATACTGGTGTCATAAGCAATAAACCATATTAAGTAAATATCAATAGGGTTTTTCATCGGTCTTCACACTTATAGCATTAATAGTACCTAGTACGGATCTAAAGTGTCACGGTACCATCTGTGTGGAAGGTCCTTATAGGGGAAGATAGCAACGTCAAGCCCTTGAGTTGACATCCTTCTACTTTTTGGTATTGTAGCGGTTTGATAGCTATCTTCCAAACCCTTACATGAAGCATGTGTATCCTGCACTAACAGTTGGCCAGTTAGAAAAAATATTAATATGTTATAGACTACATTATTTAAACTAAAGTGAAGTCTCTTTCATATTAACAAGACTATCAGTAATATTTTATGAATTTCTATCTAATATCTCTTGCTGATCAAGATCACTTACCATGTTATCCCATATAACTTAATTACAGAACAGCTTATAAGCCATAGACTTTATTTCGAACCGTCATAAACTGGTATGACTTTGAAAGGGTCGGAGCCTAACTTGTTTATCTTACTATTTATTTTCATAAACTTACGAGAAATATTAAGTGATTTCATCTGAAATCACGAAAGCTAGTGGAGCTGCCTTCCGAGTTGATAATATCAGGTAGCTATAATATATAAAAGCTCCAATAACTTTGGACTTTTTTCTTAAAATAGTTCTATTTGGTACCTACCTATTTATACCGAACAAAAGATTATATATCGGTTACTGTCTTAAAGCGTATCTTGAAAGCCCTAGAGCTCGCTGATTTATTGCGTGATATGAAATCCAACCTTCCAATTTCGATCACCTAAGCATGAACGTTGCTCTAATAAGCGCTGAAATCATAGAAGTACATTTAATTATCAATAAAGTGCCACATTTTCATTTACATATATTCTACGAACCCAAGAAATATTTGAACTTTGTTATCAAGGATATTGTTTGTTGACTCAATGGAAGCTTCCAATTATATTTGAGTGTGCATGTCACTACTACGGCGAGCTTGATGAAAGGTGCTTACATATGGGTAGCTTAATGACTTTCCATTCGATGCCCCTTATTAACTTTAGACTCGTCGCCTAATTGCTTAGTTGATCTTGCTATCCTGCCGAGGTGGTGAAAATGGATATGTATAATGTAAATAAAATACAACACTCGGAGATACCAGGTTGGTTGGTACTGGCGGCAGACGTAGGGCTATGCCAGAACATGCACATTACCGGATTAAATCGAAAGATCTCAGGAAATGAATCGAATGGAAGGGTACTCAGGACAAGGACAACCCAGAGAGAAACATCCTTTCCCAAAGAAACGTCGGTAGTCGCCAGTATGATTCGAGGAATTGCATGCATCAACTGTGAAGCGTCACTTATACCCACTTCCATGTAACCCAATACCTTGTATTGCCCGTCTTTAGAATATGGTATATATACACCCCAACAACAAAAAACGTCGGCTTTATGATTCCTCTTCGGTTTTCTTTGCTTTCTGCGCCGCCTCGTACTCCCTGACCTGCTTGCTCCAGCTATAAATAAGAAAACCGAATTAGCATCGCAACAACACCGCCAACAACAATAATAACAATAACAATAACACTCCACCCGATCGCCCTCTCTGGGACATGGAATTTAGGTAGACGTACTATCGACTGGGGTAGAATCGACCCGGCTCTGGCATCTTATATCGGACCTCTCGATCGGCGCTGAGCTTCCACGTCAGGGCCGTGATGCCGAGGATCACGCCCATGAACACCGCCGTGTTCGCCTTCCAGTTGCTCGGCTGCGTGTACCAACCACCGGCCGGCGACCATACGTGCTTGGGGTAGCTTGTGGGAAGGTCAGATTTAGTCTGGCGAGGATCATGCGGTAGGTAGGAAGGTAGGTTAGGTATAGCTATAGCTTACGGAATTTTAGGACCGCCACCCTGCTAGGTATTAGTAACGCATAGTTAAGTTAGGTAAACGACAATTCGGAGGAGCACTTACCATCTTGTTCGAATATGCGACGAACAAATTGTATGTTGTATGCGGTCAATAGGTACCTAGGTGGGATAAATTGGGATTGGGGTGTTTGCGAAGGTTGCGGGTTAAATAGTAAATTGAGGTACCGCCTGCAAATCGAATACCTAGGTACCTACCTAGGTACCTAAGGTTAAGAGGTAGTAGTAAGTGCATTACCTAAACTTGGATACCTACCTTAGGTAATCGATATGGATGTGCCCGATTGGTGCTCGGGAGGGGTAATTATTAAACCGATTATCTAAGGTTCAAGTGTCGGGCATTAGCGGGGTGGCACGTGCATGGATCCTATTCATTGGTTCCCTTGTTAATCGGCCCCCAGTAGCTTCAATTTCACACAGAAACTTTTTCTTTAGCAGACAGACACGAGACCGCTTAATAGCCAATTGTCTTATTCTCCGCCAACCGTGTCGTGTTCTCAACCCGCCCAGTGCGTTGGCAGGAGGTGATCTGGGCTATCCAAAATGAAGAGAATAAGGTTGCACAGGTTATCGAGTCAATTACTCTCTACGACGCCTGCGAGGCCACCACCCAGTTCGACGAGGATATGTCGAGCCGCCCACATCTCGAGATTACAAGCCCCTCCTCTATGCTGCCAAAGGAGATGGCAGACGACGTCCTCCGAGGCCGTTCTCGAGGAACCGGACGATAGTGAAGAGATCCCCATACTGCCGCCGGGAGAGGATCATATAGCGCCGCTGCCATCCCCGCCTCCGGACCGAGCTCTATATTCCGCGAAGCTTGCCGCTCTACATGCGCGACTCTCGCTCTCTTCTAAAATCCCTTTACAGACTCTCGCTCGCGCCCTCATAGACCCCTCCGCCGACGCAGACCCCCGCTTCAACAATGCGAACCTTGCATTTGTGGGCGCATCCATCCTTCAGTACCACACCTCGGAATTCCTCATCACCCGGTACCCCCGCTTGCCCATGGCCATTCTCTTCTCCGCCATGAAGGGTTACTCCGGCGTCCCAGCCCTGCACCAGATTGCCCGCGCCTGGGGTGTAGAAGCGGCCGCCGCGCCCGGCGAGGAGGTCGATCCCGGATTGCTACAGTTTTCGCAGGACAAGCCGACCGTCATGATGAGCAAGTGGGGCTACGTGCGTGCCGAGTCCAAGGAGATCCAGAAGTACAAGTGGCGCCGGGGTCTCAGCAGTTCGGTCGTGTACGACGACGCATTCGGCGAGATGGTAACGAAGCAAAGGCAGGAGCAGCAGCAGAATGCGGAGGAAGCCTCGCCCGAGGTCAGCGCGGCGAGAAACACAAAAGATCCGGTCGTGGATGACCCGGTGGGGAATGCGCACGCGAACTTCGTGCGCGCCGTCGTGGGCGCCGTCTATCTGCACTGCGGGCGGGAAGTCACCAAGACCTTCGTCAAGGCGCACGTCCTTTCGCGGACGCTCGACCTCTCCGGCATGTTCGAATTCAAGACGCCGGCGAGAGAGCTTGTCAGGCTGTGCGGGCGAGAAGACTTCGACCCCCCCGTCGCCAGGCTGCTGAGCGAGACGGGTCGACTAAGTAGGACGCCCGTGTTCGTGGTGGGCATCTACAGCGGGCGAGACCTGCTAGGCGAGGGCGCAGCCAGCAGCCTCAACGACGCGAGAGTAGCAGCCGCCATCAATGCGCTGAAAGCGTGGTATCTATATAGCCCGGTCGACACGGCGGTGCCGAGCGACGCCTTTACGGAAAATGCCCCCCCGTATAAGCCGGCGTACGTCGATATCGGTGAGATCATATCGTAAAAAAAAAAAAAAAAGAAGATTTTTTTCTTCTTTTCCTCTACGCGCCAAGAAAGTTTGCGTACCGGATTATCCGTTCACGGAGAGATAATTTCAAAAATCGTTACTGGATAAATGGTACCGGAGGGGAAAATCATAACGCGGGGGAAAAAAAGAAAAGAAAAAAGAAAAGTATACAAAAATGGGATGATGATACCAGGTACCTAACCTAGCTGCTACGGAACTCATGAGGGTGGGATTCGAAAGGGGGAGGGGCGGCATACACACATATGTGTGTATCATTGTACTATATTCAGAAGCCGCGAGCATAGATGGCCCATGTAGAACATACGAAGACAGCACCCATAACCACTCTTCGGCCGAGTGTAAATATCTACATACTTTGCATGACCTTGATTTAAGGGTATCAAAAAAATCCCTTCTTTATTTTCCAAATCCCTGATCCGTTGAAATGTGTCTCCTATCTAATTCGTAGGTTGGGGTGGGGGGTTCTAATCTTATGTACATGGAGGCAACGGGGATATATTTCTGCTGATTATTATTAGATCAATTTCAAGCAGCGACATAGCTAACTGAAATGATCGCCTTCTCCCAGCCTATCTGCGATGCCCAAGCGCATCAATCGCCTATACGCCTCCTTCTTAGCGGCCGCCTCGCCTTCTTCGCGTAGCTTTTTCTTGCGCTCGTAAACAGCGCGCACGCAACGGCGGATACGGTCCTTGCCCTCGTCGAAGTTGGCGCGTGCGAGCGCCACCACCTTATCGACTTGCTCCGGCGTGTAGACGAAGTTCCAAGTGCTCATGTAGTCGCTCTCAGCCGGATTGACGCCTCCCACCTTCGGGTTTGCCAAGAATGGCAAATACACCACGGTAATACCAGCTTTAGGCTCCATCAGCTGCCACGACAGCGCGTCGTCCGTGAGCGCCTTTGCTATAGGCGGGGGCGGCTTCGACGATCGCTCCTCGGTTGTGCCTACCCACACCGTACAATAACCCAAGTCCGAATCTTCAGGATGGGATACGTCGTGCTTCGCCTTGGCGCTTGGTTCTTCGGGTTGATACTTGGCCGAATTGTGGCTTTGAGCCTGGTCTTGCTGCGCCTCTCGAACCTTGCTTTCTGCATCCACTGGCGAGCCTGCTTGGGCGGCGTCCAGCTGCTGTTCGATTTTCTGCGTCGAGTCTGTTTCCCTCGGCCATCCAGCGCCAATGGGCCAGCCCTGGATGCCACGTTGGCGCGCGTACCCGTCTGCTACTGACAGCCAGTTGTCCGTCTTAACATCCGCGGAGGCGTCAAATGCAACAATAATGTCGACATCTCGACCAGGTCGGAGTAGGGGGTAAATGGGCAAGTTATTCGACATGCCAGCGTCCATCAACTGTATGTATTCATTATTGTATATTGTTGTCGGTGTCGTGAATCGTAGCTTTCCTTCCATATTGTAAGTAAAATTAGGTATTTGTGCTGGATCGATCGGATGAACCTTTTCCAAGTCTTCATTATAACCATAGATCATGCCGTCAAGTGTAGAAAACCCGGTCAACTTTCTAACGAGTGGTCGGATTTCACGATAATAGTGGCTGAGAGTAGCGCAAAAAGCGCTACCGAAGATACCCATCATAATGGGCATACGGAGCTCCGGTAAGTGATAGTAATCACCCTCCGGGGGAACATCCTCCCCGTTATTAAACCGTCGACCGAGAGCCCAAGTTGGTATTCCGGCGTTGAACTCTTCACAAAAGAATTCGTAAGGGGTTAGCTCGAACCATTGAAACCATGCCTCCTGCTTCGCTATCTCCTTTGCTTGTTCCGTATTGGCGGTGCCACTTTTAGACCCTTGGTTGGTGTTGGCTATACTCGGAATCTCGTGGCGGACGGCAGTATAGATTGGCATGGGATTTTGTCCGTACTTGATGTATTCTCTTTGGTTAGAGAGTTTAAAGTCTCGCTCATTAACGCCGAGCTCGCCTTTCGGCACTAGAAGCCTTGCTGCTAATAAAATCCCATACACGTCAACGAGGCCAAAAGCTCCCTTGGGATCCCCTTTCAGCTTTTCGACTAAACTGCTTAGAAGGAGCTTGTTAGTTGGAGACGATGTCACAGATGAAAATGCAGCCGGAGGGTACGCGATATGAACTCCTAATCTTGCTTTCAAGTGGTCAACGATGCGATCGAACCGACAGTTCGTCAAAGACGAATGGTAGAGAGCCTGCATCCAGCATGATCCACTGACGCCTGAAGTATACGTTACGCAGTCGAATAGCCCATCTTCTTGAGTAGCGAGGAGAGAACCCGTGCATGCGACTAGTGCCCGCAAGCCGCCGCCAGAACCACACATGGCTATGGTAGGAACGTCGTCGGGATTAATATCCTTCTCGTCTAGTCCAAGATACTTGGCTAACGCCGCCGTGGCGATTTTCTTGCGACGAGCTAAGTACTCTTTTTCTTCATCGCAAAGCTCGTCCGAGACGCGCACCTTGGCAGAGTATTGAATTTCGGGGTGAATGAAGGGGTCATGAGCCTCCTTCCATATCTCCTTAGCCAGCGACCCGTCTGCCATGGAAAGCTCACGCTGGAGCTTACGGATCTGCACAGGTATAGCCTTGGACCAATCAGGAAGGATCATGTCGACGATGCGATCAGATAGTGAAGACCATTCAATATCGGTGACATTTACAAAGTCTTCGAGCCGGCGGGTAAAGGATGACCAAGCAGCCTCCTCTGTCTGATGTTGTTGTGAACCATCTTGGACATCCTTGGGAACCTTCTTGGCCTGTTCGGCAAGGCGAGCCTGGCGAAACTTTTGGTCTGGATAAAGCGAGTATATGAGTAAACCGGTGAGAAGGAGTAGAGTCACGGGTACAACTATAAGGGGACCTTTACCAGCTTCGGTCTCCCTTCGTCGTTGTTTTGGGGAACTAAAAAAGCCACGCAGGAATTGGCTTTGCTGCAATTGGGATGATCGACTAGATATTCTGGATGCGCCGCAGCGGATCGACGGTAGGGCTAATCGATGTGTCCCATGAAAAAATCTAGTTAATTGCCTTGCATAGCAAATTGCTATTAGTTGAGATCTCGGGATGGATCTCATAACTAAAGCTTATAGGTTAGGTACGGACCAATACACAAGCCTTGCTAGTAGTATGGCGAGTTGGAATCGGCAACATGACTTTTATAAACGGAGCTGAGCTAAAGTGAGCTAAAGTGAGCTAAAGATGGTAAAATGGTAATTTTAGAGGTTAGAAGGTAGAAATTTGGATAAAAGAGAGTTTCGTACGTACGTGCATATCTAATTTCATCGGAAAAGCAAGTTCCAAGGTTGTTTGCGACCTGGACTTGCCCATAACCTACCAAAGGTATGGTACGATATCGTGACATCATTTATCTTGACATACTAATGTACCTCCTAAATTTGGTCTAATATGCACGTAAGCGGATCTCTGAATTTTAATTACAAGCGTGCAACTCCAAGTGTGCAACTAAGCATAATAATTATCGAGCGAGGATTATAGAATCAACATCACTGTTCCTACCTAACCTTAGGTAAATACGGTCCTCACCGTAGGTAGTGGCTAGCACTTGCCGCCTAGATCTGCTACAGTGCTACGACACGCTGAAGAGATGGGCAATTGCCTTTTTAAACAGGTGTACCTAGTTCTTGCACTCCCCGAAGCATCGTCGTCATAACAGTTTCCTATACAAAGTACCTAACCTAGGTATCCTAGGTACTCCGGAGAAGGCAGCATGGGGGTTCTTAGAAAATCAGGTCATATGTAACAAGTACATTGCCCATAAAGTTACCTACCTAAGGTATACCTCATGGCGGATGACCTTGTTCTCCCCAAACCTATAGGTACACTTAGCCTAACTCTCAGCTATCATCCTATTCCTCGGAATTTGAGAATTAATAGCAGTTTAATTTCAAACACCACAGAACAGCTTAGGTAAATCAATAATACATCATAAGAGCACAGTTAGGTTCATCTTATTACTATGTCGCTACACAGGTGGTCGTTACCTAGCAGGGCTTTTCCTCGTGAGAAATCCAAGGACGTCGACCCAGACCACCATGCTAGGTTCCCAACTATACATATCGGTGACAGCATCTCCCGCCGACGAGCGAATATCTCCTCAGCATTTGCTAATTTATTCGAAAAAGACGAGAACCGACTAAGCACTGAAGAAACTAGCGGAACTCGTCTTACTGCCAGCAACTGGCGGCCCTTCTCTCGTATCGAGAATCTAACATCAAGTACTAGGTTAAAACTGGCAAAACGTAAAGATGGATCTGGCAGCATTGGCAAGACCACCCTGCAAATGTCTGGTCCTGTTAGCCAAGTTAATTCCGAACAAGTGGTGTCACTACGGGAAGCATTGGAAGAACGTGACGAGTGTGAACCGCTTGATGACCACACTCGTATCAAGTCATCGGAAGGGAAGAGTTCAGATGACGACAGTTCGCCAAGTTCACTCACAAGAGTTCGCAGTGCCTCGTCATCTTACCCCTCTGAAGGTATCCGTTCCCCGCCGAACCATTGTCATTCGCCACAGTTGAATACGTGGACAAAAGACTTCATAGCTGAAATCACTCACTTTGGCACATATCCGTCAGGAAAGTCTCAGAGGAAAACCAGTTCTTCGACTAACGATACGTCAGGACTGAGCAGTAGAGCTGGTAAGTGTCTTATGGAAGAATTAGCTGCAGCTGGCGGAACTTCAGATACCGATACCAGAACAGCGAGTAGGGATCACACCCTGAAACCACCATTTTCGGATGTTGCTTCCACTACTTATCCCCAGGACCGGCCAGCCAAGGCCCCTAAGTCCATGTACTACGGCAACTTCATTCACACGGCGGAGCAGGAAATCCAGGAGACATCCCAGAGGAATGTCCTTTCCGGACTTGATGGTCAAGGCTCGAGTACTTCAGCTATCCATGGTAGTTATCCTGAACTTGGACCTTCTCATACCAGCTCATCCGATGATGAGTTTCCGTTTCGGCCGAGCCCTACAAGTTCTGCAGGTCTTCTTCGTGGGAGCATGGACACGGGCAAGAAACGGTCTACCAGGAGAATACTTTGGAGGAGACAAGGTGGTCCCTATCATACTATGCCTGCATCTGTTGCCCGAGACAATTCCTGGAGAGGCCGAACCCCCCCGGCTTCATCTCCGCTAGAAAAACCACCGCAGTCTGGATTCCATTTTAGAGAATCTGACAGATCTTCTGTTACATTGGTAGAACGAATTTATAAGTTTAAGCTCAGAAAGTGGATTAAAAAGGTGTGTATCAGAACCAAGGTGCGATTCGATCACGCTATGAACATAGAAGCGGCTCCAAAAACACTACGTAGGCGAAAGCCCAAGTCATACAGATCGCGGAAGGCAAAAAAGTACATTGACGCTCGCAAAGCAACAGCACACTCCACAGGAAGTCATTGGAAGACATTTGAGGTCACGAAAAGAACGAAGAGGTCTAGTAAGGAGAAGGACGGAATAGCACAAAGGTTCATGAACTCGCTTAAGCCGAAGCATAGCATCCATTTCCCCGTGCAAGAGAAGGCTAGGGCAGGCAAAAGAAGAGTACAGTCATGTCCACATTGAGGGGAATGGATGGGGGATAAACATTCATTACGTCGTGGGTGCAACTTGTCGAAAGATGCTTATACCTAAGTCGTTCCAGTTAGAGTGATTGTTGGTTTGGTTTGGTATAACACTATTACGGTAGCATTACGCGCCATATCCGCCTTTTAACTAAAGGGTTCACGGTGCCAGCTGGGAATCGGGTTACGGTGTATTTTCTAGATTATCCTCTGAGTTCAGTTCAAACTCTTAGAGAGAAAATGCATCATAAAATGTGCTGAAGCGTGTTGCCCCTATCTTATATGAGTTCCGTGAAGTGAACGTATACTATTTCTTGTGTATCACCAATAAGATATTATAGCATGTTGGTAATGACAGAGCTTCATTCTGAGCCTTTTCTTTAACCCTTCAAGTTAGTTTAAGACTTCGGTAGTCGGCCTTTACCCTTCGAACTGCCGATCCCCTAGTAATACTGTACCCACTCTTTTCTCCGAAGTCAATGAAAAAAAATAGGGTAAGTAGGTAGGGTTTATCGAGGGCATTGGAACTGTCACGATATCGATATACTACAACGTGGAGACGAGTAAAAGGTGGAGAATTAGTTAACTCGATGGGTAAATTTTCAAGACGTACAATGATTCCTCTCCGGCTGAATAGGTAAGGGCCTATATGACAAGGTTAGAGACGGTCCGATCTCAGTATAAGTGCATGCCATGGAAAGCTTTCTACTCTGTATGACGAGAATACCTAGGAAGTTAAGATTTTCGTATGAAGTTGTTTTGAGAGCTGTTGTCGGAGTGAGCAATATAGTGTATGTTACCAGCGACAGGGACCATCGCACACTATAGCAACTAGTCCCCGGTGGCGCAATTGGCTAGCGCGTCTGACTGTTACTGCAACTGTTATCAGGAGGTTGAAAGTTCGAGCCTTTCCCGAGGAGACTTAACTTTTTGCTCTATTGTTTTCCTTTTCTCAAGAGAAACGAAACGGATTTAATTTTTTTTTTTCCTGCTCAATTAAGACATCCTAGGTGGTTCCGACTTTAGACTGCTATCCTCTTATATACCACGGCTGATTGTGTAATACTGATTGTGTAATACCTCTTTGAGTGTTCACTTCCGTTGAGGTCGAAGAGCTCTATCAAGTCTCATTGTTATTTTTATTTTTTTTATTTTTTTATCTTTTACAAAAAGCAATATGCTCATAATTATCCAGCCAGAAGAGTGGAAGAAAAAAAGAAACCTTTTCAAAAATTTATATAAACTGCTTAAACTAGTCCTTGCGACGAGCTTCGGTTCTCAGACTGGTATTATTCTTACCGAACGACTACGCCCAAACGAATCAGTTACCTAGGGGGAATCAGACTACCTCTTGACATCTTGGATTTCATAATATTTTTCTATTCTACTTAATTGCCTTCTCTTGCAGACTTCATTCTGGCCTAGACGAGGGTGTTTAAGGGAATAATAATGTTCCCCATCGCGTAACAAGTAGTTGATCGTTCAGCATCCCAACACTAGACACTGACTGCCTACCTGATATCAATCCTAACAATGTCAGACATGCAATATGTATATCGAAGGCCATGACATTACTTTACATACCTAAGGTATTCTTTGATTAAGTAGTGGAGAGTTGGAGTCAAGGGATGCCAGGTATCTATCTATATAATCAACAAGGCCAATCTATAGAACCACTCCATGACGACTCGTAAAGGGATACCTAAATCCCACTCTTGAAAGATATATGCCATGCGCTACCTGATCTGAGCCCCCATAAGCCTGCCTTCGAGGGAGCAGCGTGCTCCTTATAAATGCCAGGCATGCTAGTGGATCTATCTCCCAATCTGTCCTGGTGCATCATTTTTTCTGATGCTTTTTGGCCTTGCTAATTTTCTTCTGTTCATCGCGTAGCATGTTAGCACCTTAACTAAAACGACCCTTACCAAATAGATTGAGCGTGAGTATGGAAAGACAACGATAATATATATGAAACCCTATGAGGAATTCTTACCAGTTCTTTGTCGATAGCCATGACCAAATAACTTTTCTTTTCCACATTGCAGCTAATCATACCAGGCCGCAATCCGAGATTTTCTTCCAGTTCATCCCAAAACTGACTCTTATATCTCCGTTGTATCGATGCCAACCTTTCCCAATTATTATGTTCTTGAGCCATTAAAGAGAAATGACGTACACCCTCTTGGACCATCTCTTCCTTAGTAACATGCCGACTCCTTTGGGGGGGTTTTCTTCTTTCTCCCTCTTCTTCTTCTCCTTCTCCTTCTTTTTCTTCTCCTTCTCCTTCTTTCGCCTGGTTATCAGACGCTACGCTTTCGTCCGCACTGTTAGGATTTTGGTCTGCTACTGCATCTAATACTGCATCGAATGTTGCTGGTGTTGATGATTCTTTCTGCGACTTGCCCTTATTTTTACCACCTTTCTTGCCACCTTTTACCTTCGGCTCCACAATGTGCATAGGGACTTCGATGTCCACCGATGCTTCAGGAGTTTCGGACGCGCTTGTGGCCGTGATACTCTTTCCACCGTCAGCGGTTAGACGCTTTCGGATTTGAATCTTGACGTAACTGTCGTTGAGAGGCCGTATCCCTTTCGTATCATCAGAAGCCTCGTCATCAACATCCATCCGTGCGGTAGGGCAAAAGAGGAGCGCCTGTCCTGTTCGAAGGCCGACTATCGTGCGAAAGAGTGAATTGTTGTGCCCGGGATCCTGTGTATTAGCTCCGGCAAGATGTCTTTTGAGAACTTCATACCAGTTCGGGGAGAGAAAGCGGTGAACAAATGTGGCATTAACCAAGTCAATAAGCGTAGGCGACAGCGTGGGTTCCTGGGTAGCAATTACCACGCGCGTTCCAGTATGTCGCTGTTGGCGAATAACGGAGACCAACTCATTTGTAAGGACACGCGCCTCACCAGATTGGGCTAGGAACTGGTCACGATTAGTTCCCATTTATTTTCTTTCTTGGATCATCATCTTGTTTGCTTTCGACTAGGGGTGGCATTACCTTATGGGCTTCATCCATCGCCACAACGCGCCCGCATTTGTTCCGTTCCTCGAGAAATATAGAAAGACAGATCGAGAATAATGTACAAGCTTCATCAGAGCTCATGAAAGGATCACTCATGTCAACGATAGTTAATGAGCCCGGCTCAAATGCCCAGATATTCTCCGGCGACTTCGCTGGCCGAGTCGATTTTGTCATTGGCGAGGGCGCCATAAAGTTGTCAAGTAGCTGAAGACGAAGGTTCAGAGACGTCTCTTGCCCACTCATCCATTTGACTGAAGCAATACGTTCCCGAAATTTCGAATAGGTAAAAGCCGATCCTTCCATAGCTATCGTACGAACAATGTCCATTACAACTTCCATATATAACGGAGTCTTGTCAGCTGTAGGGTCAACAGCCATGAGCTTCAATATTCTCGAAGCGTCTAACTGGTGTTCGTCGAAATAAACTATAACAACGGGTCAATAAAAGTTTTTTGTAATAAGAGGTTTAGAAGTTGTGCAAGTCTCGGGAAACAACTTTCTAGACCGTTAGATAAGGAGATGCGAGCCCTTACAGCAAATTAGGTAGGAAAAGGGGAGAGAGAAAGAGAGAGAAAAGGAAGCTCTTAATTACGTACGGGGTACGACTTTCGGCTTTGGGCTACCTGGTGGTAAGCCCGGAAGATTGGTGTACAGACGCTTCATCGCCCAAATGTTGGACGGCGAAACGAGGATGGTTACGGGAATACCTGAGGAGCACAAATAAGCCGCCTCGCACACCTGAGCTGTACTGTAGTTTGCGTGATCGTCGTAATGCATAACCATGCCTGCGAGCGGATATGGGAGAGCCCCGGCATTATTGCTGGCAATAAGAGAATTCTCTAACAGGCAGCATAGCGTGTGACTCTTCCCTGCTCCTTGGGAACCGCAGATGAAGGCGGACCAAGGTACGTTGACGTTACCAATGACGAGGCCATCCTCTAGAGAGGCAGCGATCTTATTATCCCGGCGAGTGCCAATCAGTCCATACTGGGGGACCAAATCTGAGTTATGTTCACTCTGTGATAATTCAGAGTGGACAAATTTATCAACGGCAGCTGTGAAGATGGGAGAATTGCTCAGAGTTCGAGCCAGCTCTTGGTGCCGAAGACTCGAGTCCTGCTGCTCTTTAAGAAAATCATCACCGTCTATGAATGACAAGAGGTTTTGATACTTTGATGCCCTAGGACCTAGAGAAGAATCCGGGGATATAGATTCTTCCTGTGTGTTCGTAGTAGCTTTTGGGCGTGAAAGATCCCAGAAGTTTTTAGCAAGCAAGTTTTTGCTGTTGAGGGCTCTATGAACTGCTAAGGATCTATTAGCAATTCTCATATTGAAGAGCTCTCAATGTGATTAAAGATATGGTAATGTAATTGAATAAGAATTCTGCCAACTTCGAAGCCAAGCTTCCAGGGCTTCCAGGTATGTATTATCCCTGGGACTATCAGTAGAGGTAGCTATCAATCACAAGCTACAAACGAATCAAAGCCTCGCGCTTTTATAGACGATTGTTTACGATAACCAAGGTCCACGCATCTTCAAGGCACCTTATGAATTCGTTTGCATGGAGACAGACAGCTAACCTAGGTAGATTACTGATAGGTCGCTTGCATTAGGTTAGGTACCTATCTAAGGTACGAAGTGAAGTTATTTTACCAGAACTTCAATGAGTGGATTTAACAAATTTTTTTTTCTCATGGCCGCCACAGAAGCGCGCCACTTTTTTTTTTTTTCTTATCAGGTCTTTATTTGCACTCCTAATACCAAAGGTACATCCCTACCACCCATATTCAATTAATTCAATTATACCACGGTCCAACACATTAACTATTATACCTATTCAATCCCACGATGCAACGTATAAAAACTACATCGCCAGTTTTGCCTCAATTAGAACTTCCTAGTCAATTAGAGCTTTCTAATAATTCAGGTCGCGAGCGGATGCATACTGTACTTCGAAGGCTATTTGAAAATATACCAGTTGAATGTGTAGATGCGAAAAAGCCGTGCGACTGTAAAAGAGGGAGCACGACTACCTAGTAACAGTAAAAAAAATACCTACCTAAGGCAATAATCTTTTCCTTCACATAAACAATAAATATTGAACACAATCTGCCATATCTGTTTGAACTTTTTACCTGTTCCAAGATGAGTATCACGAAACAGCCAGAGCTTGTACTCTCGAACGGCTTCCCCTTTCTTGTTGACGCCCCGGTCAAGCCATCCGATATGAAACTTCACCTCGTGATGGTTAAATGCCATGCTGTAAACAACATTCTCGTCGTCCGGGATCACTGGCCAATTGATCTCCGAAGCTAAAATAGTATCAGTCATACACTGATTCTGTGCATAGTGCAAGTTACCGCCCACCGGCTTATACCATGGAAGCAACTCTTGTCTGGTATCTGAATCATAGAACAAATCCTTAACATAGTATCCAAACGTGAGATCCGGGACTGGTCGCGTCAGACGGTCGACAATATCCTTGAAGGAGTTCAGTACGTCCTTATTATTGAATAGCCGGTTGCTAGCGCAGTTCAGATTCTGTTCAATAACTGGATGGTCTGTCTTCAGATACTATAAATGAAGGGGAAGATAAAGGAATAGTGTAGTTCGCAAATCTAATTCGGAGGGCTCAGACTGAGACTGCATATTTCTTCTTTCCACGTGTAATTGTTTCAATAGCATCTCAAACTTGGCTGGGTTATCGAGTTCAGGAACCTCGTCATCTAGAATAGGTTACACCAATTCTCTGATCCAGTCCAGGGATTCTTCATCATCTGTTAATAAGAGGACCCCATTCTGCCCGAGATTCTCGCTCCTGTGGAAGCGACCTGGCTCGCCTCTTGGTTCCAGAAACTGCAGCTTTCGAACGGTCGGTATTAACCAAAGATAGACGGGAAATGGATTGAGATTTGAGGAATAACATAAACATGTTTCCAAATTCGGGCTCTTATGCTACCCGAAGGGTGGCCTTATGCTCAAGGTTAATTAAGAAAACTTTATTCTTAACTTATTTACGTTACCTTTTTTATAAAATAAAGTTTTCGCTTTTAAATTCGTATAAATAAAAGGAAAAAAAAGCTTAAAATTTAAATATATGAATTAATTAATAATAAAACTAATAAAATAAAATTTTAATTAATTAATGTAATGAATTTATATTTAAGTTTAATAAAGTGTAAATCGATCCTACCCAGCGATCTAATGCAAGTTAATGACAATAACCCTTCGTAAACTCAGGGCATTAAATGGCAAATGTCGTGATAAGTATAGTATGCGCCCGCCTTATAGGGCTTAGCGCAACTATATGCTGTTTACCTAGAATTGGGCCACGTATTACGGTGCTGTGGTCCCTGTGCCACAGGAGACACGAATTGTATAATGAACTACCTACCTGGTGCTATCAAGTCTAGACTTAATCTAACAATATCTTAACTTAGACCTTCAAATACATTCGTTTCTGTTTTTATATATGAAATTGTTTGAATGTCAGGAGCTAATTGGCACACTTCGATATAATAATGCCAACTCCTACCGTGAAGCTCTTCTCTAAACAGGAACATGGTCACCTGTTGCCGGCCATTGCTGCTCTCCATGCAGCTTGCATTGTGCATGACCATACTATCGCTACGTTTCTGCCACCTCTAGAAAACTCGAAAATCCAGACATTCTGGGAGGGCATAGCAAGAGAAGTTGATTTGGGAACGCGGTTTGTCTGCATTTTGCTCAATGAATCTGAGCCGGGCACCAGGGCCAAGGAGTCTGAACTCGTTGGGGTTGTCACACTGAGCATGCCGTTCAGCGAGACTGGGTCTTTTCGTGGATTTGTAGAGAAGCTTTTCGTCAGTCCAACTTATCGAGGGCGAGGCGGAGCTAGAGCTTTAATGTGCCACATGGAAGCAGAGGCGTTGAAGAGAGGCAAGACGTTGATGGTATTTACGAATTTACACCCCGAGAGATCTCACAGGATTCTATGATAACTAACCTGCATATAGTTACTAGACACGGAAATCGGAAGCCAGGCCGAGAGTGTATATCCGAAACTAGGGTATACGGAGGCTGGTAGAATACCTAGATACGGCATCAGCCCCGTGGGAGGACTCAAAGACGAGGTATTCTATTACAAGCATTTGCAATAAAGGGGAAGCTATACCTACCTAAGTTACTGAGTTGCGTGATTTCCAACTACGCAAGTACCTGAACTATACTCTCTAAAGACTTGTGTCTAGGGGGTTTTAATTTTACAAACTACCTAACCTAAGGTAGGTAAATAGAATATAGAGGCTGCTTAGCTGTTGGCCTGTTACGACTCTACAATGTATTTTAGGTAGGTATAACCATTGGTAGATTGGACAAGCTTATCTGAACAACATAGTATTCGAATTACTGTCGAATTGTAGTATAACTAAGTACCTATTATTCAACGCCATAACCTATATAAAGAATTATTTGTAAGTCTTGATACTAATATGCATGACTCAGAGCCTCACCCGAAGAGTCCCGAAGAGTCCCGAAGAGTCCCGAAGCTTGACCCGTGATCAGCCGCTGGGATGCTGAAATTACCTAAGTACTTTGACTAGCTGCTGGTCAAGGACGTAGTTTTCCTTAAATTTAGAATCATATCGCTTTTTTTCCCCTTTTTTGCTCATCTGTTAATTCGCTAGTCCGCCTCATGTCGCATACCTAGCTCATGTTAGGTGCCAAGACAGGTACCGTTAGGTGAGGCTTTTTTCTCCCTCTTGAAATGTGACCGATGAGCCCAGTCTTAGGTACTAGATATACGGAAGGTAACTTATCGTAATTTAACTTGGCGAAGAGTCATATGCTTGACGTACAGGGAGTGCATTGAAGTTTTTGAAACAACTAGTCTTCATAATATACCTCGATAGTAGGTAGATACTCGACATATTTAACTTGAACTTGCCGCCCCCCTATGTCATTGTCTTTTTTTTGAATAAGAATATATTCCATCGTCAAGACATTTACACCCATCATCTCTCGAAATGGCATCCCAGAAACCTATCATAGTGCTGATTCATGGCGCATTCCTTTCGCCATTGCACTACCGGAAAATTATCGAGCCTCTGCGCTCTCAGGGATACATCGTGTTGAGCCCGCCGATGGCAACAACGGGTATCGACGACTCCGTGGCAGGGAAGACTTACGTCGACGATGTGAAGCGCCTTCTCGATTGCCTTCTTCCTTACTTGGACGAGGGCAGAGAAGCCGTGGTAGTTGGTCATAGCCAGGGCGGAATTGCCGCCAGTGCTTTGACAGAGGGCCAGACCATCGAGGACCGGAAAGCCAAGGGCTTGAAAGGAGGCATCAAATCAGTCATTTATCTGACCGCTCTTGCAATACCAATGAAAGGCGCAAGTTTATTAAGCATATTAGGCGGGGCGCCGGCGGCGGAGACGCAGAAACCTGAGGTAGGTTGCATATATCTTCATACGCGAGTTTACTGGATCAATGTTAACACATACATACCTAGGAGGCACCTCCTAACAATTTATGGGCCGAGCAGGGCCCCTTCTACGTTCTTACCGAGTCAGCTCTGTCGTCCATGAACTCCGACTTTCCGATCTCAGAAGAAGACCATAAAGAAGTGACGAGGAGCTTAATGCATCAGAGCAAGGCAAGTCTAGAAGCCCCTATACAATTCTGTGCAGCCGACGTTACTGTCCCCAAGACGTATATCGTCTGCACGGAGGACAAATCCCTTCCCGCTCCTCTTCAAGAGCAACTCGCCCACGCAACTGGGTGTGATATCGTTAGGCTCCCAGTTACACATTTCCCCTTCTTTGAGAGCGGTGATAGCTCGAAGAAGGTTGTCGATGCCATTGTGGATGCCGCTGGGAAGTGACGGGTACGAGTTGATCATACGGGATATATAAGCAGTTAGCTGCCATAACAACCTTGTATGCAAGAACATCTAGATATGTTTCGTCTCTCTCCTCAGTCCCTTGTATAATAGCTTTAATATAATATTCAAGAATATCGAAGACAATTGGATATCAAAAGTGTGGTATTAACAGTCGATAGCTATTGCTGCGCAGTAAAAGATACTCGACCTGTGTAGGCTGTCAACATGACGCTAAGTAGAAGGGTAAACAAGATATACTTGTTGTTCTAGTTAAAGAGTTATTTTCTGTAACTTGCTTACAATGTTAAATGAGAAGCCAACTCTTCAAGTTCGGCTCCAAAAAAGTCAAAAGTCATTATAGCGCTGCTCAAGTCACACGCGGGCCTTTATCATAATATTAGGTACCCAGGTAAGTTTCCCTCCTAGTATTAAAAACTTATTTCCAAGGTCTAATCTAATGGTATTGTGTATGATGACTTGGGAGTTTTCTATTGGTTGAGCGAAAATTAAGTTGAAGGCACTCTCATCCACGCTTCCGTATAATACTTCCCTTATTTAAGAGGCTACCTAGGTAGGTAGTTAAGGGCCTTGACGGTGGATTGTCACTTTGGGATTTATCACTAACGGGAGGGGTTGGCCAATGCATCCTATTCCGGTATATACGCAGCTCAAATTTAGAGGCATTTTTGTTCTACTGTACAGACATTCCCTTCTTGGCTAAACTCCCTGAACGCCTATTGCTGCGAATTGTGATACAGCAACCGCAACTATTCATCATCAGCGAGTTCCTCGATCTTTGGTGCTACATATGCCCGTTGCTGTGGTTCTGTTTGGATCTGGGTTTCAGTTGCAGTGGTAGTAGCTGTAGCCGGAGGCTGGTGACCTGAGGCTGCAAGCTGAGCGGCCGACTCCACGCCAGCTGCTTTGGAAGCCTTCTTCTTTTTCTTGGGCTTCGTGGTCTAATAATCAGTTAGCCAGTGTTTATGATTACAACATGGGATAACCTACCTCATGCCAAGCCCAAACAGGACGGAAACTGTCCATGAAAGAGACGTCTTCCCAAAGATTGGGGTATAGCCACAGTCCAGGGGGCACGACAAAGTAGGTAATGCAGAATAAGATGACGCGGAAAATGGCCATGAGGAAGAAGAGTCCAAGAAGCATCAAAAATCCCCAGCTGAGATAGTAGACGCCTTGTCGCAAAACGAGCGGCCATAGAGGGTACAAAACTACGGTGAAGATGAGGAGCAAGGCGAGAGCAGCATAAACCTTGCGCATAATCTGACTGCCCTCGTACAACCAAACATAGTACATGTCGTCAGCGGCATCTTGCTGCTGCTCAATCTTGACCGTCCACAGTCCCTTGATTCGCTTGCCCTTCTTAGGAGGGTGGTTGTGACCCTGGTGGGGATCCATCTTGCTAACACGTAAGGCCAGCATGGACAAGGGTAGCAACTTAAAAGTGTTCTCAAGTGAGGCGCGATCGGTGATCTCGGGGAGCGCTGGGTTCTTCGCACGTGCCTTTGCGTAGGCAGGGGACTGAAGAGCTCGAAGGGCTCTCTTGACTGGAAATAGAAATGTGAGAACATGTCACCTCCAAAATAGTAAATATAAATAGTATGGACATACCTCTAAACATGTCCTTGCGCTCTCCATTAAGGATGCAGGTACGCTGCTTCAGAGGCTGGCTTCGTAGGAAAGTAGCAAGGGCAATTGCGACGGGATTGGGAGGGCCGGGGCGAATAGGTTGTGGTTGACCTTGGGCTCCCGGAGGAGAGCGCGGCGGTCCTTGAGGTCCTTGCGGTCCTCCTTGCGGTCCTTGGCCACCTTGCTGCTGCTGTTGTTGTCTCTGAGCTGCTTGAATCTGCGCTATGCGTTGGGCTTTGATGTGCTCAACGAATTGGGGGACAGTCATTCCATGCTTCTGTGCTTCAGCGGCCAGTTGCTGTTGCATCGCGGCAATCTGCTGAGGCGTCGGCATCTGTCCACCAGGTCCCATCGGTATCGGGATAGCTCCCGGAGGGACGTTAGGGTTTTGCATATTGATTACTATCTCTTAAGGTTATTGCCAAATATGGCTGAGAACACCGAAAAGGAAAGCTAAGAGAGAGAAGAAGAAAATTAATTGAGATAGTGTGAGAAGGGACAGTGAGATGTGGCCGCAAGGTGCCAAGTCAAAAGAAGGTTGTAGTAGTTAGTAGTCTGATAATTTGGACTGACGCAAATAGAACAATCTGTCATTCTCAGCCAACCCTTAAGGAAATTTTAGCCTTAAGGATTTTGTACCCAAGTACCCGATAACCATACCTTCCATGGTATCCATCTAGTGTAACCTAGCGTGCGGCGTGCCATGCGTTGCTAGGTACCCTAGTATCTACCCAGGTAGGTTCTAAGGCTGCTAGGTAACTAGGGGCTTACTTACATAAGCTTTTATAGATTAGCCGATAAGAATGCACGGATCATTTCATCCAAGCGCCCTGTACTTTATACCTTAGCTGCTTACCTTAAGTACCTCGAATCTATATTTCACCTTTCCCACCTTTCACACCTTTATGAGGTTGAATATATTTTTTGTAACTCGACCTCATATTTCGGCATATTGACATGGCTGAGCTTCGTCGACAACGCCGTCATGGATTTTTATGAATCCCGGATCTCGAGTCTATCAACGAAATGATTGATGATGATATTATATACCTACATGACTCCCTCCTCATGTGTCCTACTTGGCACATGACAGTTTACTTCTCAAACACGCGGATACCATAGACGTCCTTATAGCATTATTATACTCGACCCGAAAGAAAGATAAATGTGCCTCAAGTAAGTATTAATAGAAGGCCGAGATGAAACATATGGGCAATCAACAAAGGTTACCTACCTCTGGGTAGGTAATTAACAAACAAACAAACAAATAAACACACCTCAAACACACCCAATTTTCGGACTTACAACACCATAAAGCGTCTATCGCCTCTATCTGCGGATATCCGGCCAACCCTAAAATGGGCACCTCGTCAACAACAATCTTGTAACGTAAAATGGCGTCTAGTTCCCCAAACATGTCGCCGAGTGGAGACATCCGTCTCGCGAAAGACTATATGGAGGTTCTAGTACCGTTTCTAGTCCGATGAAACCATGGCTTTCTCAAAGAGGACACCCTTCGCTATCCATTGAAACTCGCCTTGTCGGGATGACGGGAGACAAGCTCATACTGGCTTCCGTATTCACGACCTTAGCTGCTACATTTAACGTCAATCTAAGGCCAATCTCTGCGGCCCACGAGACACCCCTCAACGGGGTTCTGTGGCAATGTCCTCTCCAAAAAACATTGCGAGGGTGGGCGACCTAAGTCCTTCTAGATGGATCACAAAGCAAGGAATTCTAAGACAAAAGACTGGCTGTGCAGAATCGTTCATATTACAAGTGGTGGGGTCCTGCAATCTTGGTGTGTGCCGCCAACCATCCGAATCCTCTTTAGGACCCTGGCTCGTAAGCGCCCACTGGACCACGACTTTTAGACTACAGCCTATCAAAGTCACGGACGTCTGCATCTACCTACTACTAGGTAGTAAACCATCAAAGCTCGAGGTCCCATCTCAAATGTGTACCTACGAGGCCAGAAACGTCAGCGCGCCTGCTCAGTTACAATGGTTGAGCCGGAAAAGGTACATACATCCGTGGATGCAAGTAAGTAAGTAAGTGTACAAGGTAATTTTTTTTCACGTCTTCCATAAAGGTGTTATGCATCTCATGACCTCTTGCTTTCTTTGCTGCTCTCTTATTAGCTCCCTTATATCCTACCAACCGCTGGTCGTTTTTCCTATATATATTCAGCTGGACATGAAGTCATCATGAAAGCCTTAGGTGGGATGCTCGCTGAAGCTTATGCGTCATGGTCCTTTTCTATTTCCGAATGCTGTTCATCTCTTGCTTCTTCTCACTCAGATGAGAAGCCTCGTCAGCTTGGTAAGCCTTGAAATATGCAGAAACAACAGCAGCTTTTCCTCTCTCTAACTATGCTAGGTACTCCTGATTCATTCGGTATTGTTTATCAAGAACCTTCATTCATCCCGCCTCCTTCAGCAGCGTCTTTTAGACCAGATACAGAATTATCTACTTTGGAGCGGGTCCCCAAGAAAAGGCATAATTCTGGACAGGGCAGCTTCTCTGTGAGAAAGCTCCTGCTGCGGCCAAGTTCATCATCATCATCATCATCATCATCTCGCAGGCCGCAAATATCGGCTCCTACCAATTTCCGTCATATTCATTCGGAATCTTTCCGTTTCCCGGGTCATAGGCCCACACAAGTGAGACCGCAGCCGGCTTCTCTTCGTCCACTTGAACTCAGTATCTATATGTCTGATAATCGACTTTCTCCCATCCTCCCTCACTTTGGCCCCCCTGAACCCCCAGTCACGCCGCCTCAGCGCGTTTTTACTCTCTCAACCCGTAGTGAAGATAGTCCACGTATTTCGCATTCGCGCAGCTACTCATCCATGTCTTTCCACATTCCCCGAAGGCCAGTTAATGATGGTTCTGTTTTCGATTCTCCGCAATCAGACATTGGCACACCTCGGCGACCCCAACCTGCCAAGCTTAAGGATCGCTCATCGCCAGCATCATCGAGTCCTATGATGGAAGATCTGGTTGAAAGAGTTGCGACTGCTATGCTAGAACGGGACAAGCTTCAGGAGCAGATTGAAGATGTCATTGAGAGGCAGAGCATATATATTAGCAGCCGACCATCAACTGCTCATGGACAACCTGGTCAGTGACCTCACATGCCCTAATAAAGCTAAAACACGCACTGACTGACGAACTTATAGAAATGACGCCCATGCCAGAGATCCCAGCACTGCCTCCCAATGCCCCCTCGTTCAGTGAACGTCTTAGTTCCGATCGCCCACGAACTGCGCTATCTCAGATGTCAGCGCGTACTTCATATCAGGCAAATTCGTCGCGGAAGGTGGAGAGCAGAATTCCTCCTCCACCGTTACCACTCAGGCTAAGACCGCCTCTTCGCAAGAAGAAATCCTTTTCGCGGGTTTCTACCTGGCTATTCTCTGGTGGAGAGCCCAACAAAGATATTAGTCTCGACTCTACCACCAACGATCGGAGACCAATAGCCGATACCGACGGCTTTTATGAGGTGGTCGATTTTGAAGAAAATCGACGGGGTAGCATCGATACCCTATCAACAAGTTCTGATTGGACTGTTGAAGAAGAGCAGACTTTGCCTACAAGTTTGTCACCTAGCAGTACGACAACCCTCAGGGCAAGGTTGGAGACACCGATGTCGATCGCATCTGGACTACGCCAGCCAATGGTCGTCCCTCACAGACAAAGCGTTGGTGTCGCTGTCTAATTCCGATTCTTTCTATAATAGTATTTTATGATACCAAACGGTACCAAGGGACCGTGCATTTGTTCATTTCGTGCCGGAATACGGCATAGTTTTAAGCGGGACGTATATAGATTTGGGTCGGGATTTAGGTATCAGCATCTAAAGCGGGTCTTGGTCAAGATGCTAGGGGTAAGGATAGAACTGGGGACCATTGGGAGCTTCTGGGCTCTGGGAGGTCTTAATGCAGGCTGGTGGCATTCTGTGGATGATACCCAAATACTTGGTAGGTAACGAGAGCAAGGCTCTCTCATATTTTGGACTGTAAATGGTTTAATCATAGGTCAAGTCTATTCTGTTGATACTTGGTTCTTGATGGTGCAATCTGTTCAAACATGTTCAAGTTTGGTGCCACATCCAAGTACATGATACATGCATGCATGTAATCAGAATGACAGATAGGTACCCAACCATAATCAGGTAGGTAATAAATATATATTGATATGAGGTACCTAATACTGCTACCTAACAGAGCCAGGAATTGCAGCAGACTTATAGACTTACCTAATATGGTATAACCTTGGGAGGGCAGGAGGGTAGGAGGGCAGCAAATGTTTGCGGGCCGGCAACAGCTGTTATCACGCTAGGTAGATACCAATCAACTGCCGTCTTACAAAATGCATAGCAGGACGGCTGCGCCGAAGTGCAAGTTCCTGTGCAAAAATCAGCAACTCATTTTACGTACAATATAATTGCTCATTTGTCTCCTTACCTTTTTTTCTTTTCGTCATTGCAGCGTTACGTATAGCAAAGTATTGTTATTATTAAATCACTGGTTGCACTTTCTTCACAGATCGTCAGGCATATGGCGATGAAGAAAGCTCAGTTCTTTCACTCTTTTTCACGATGGTCTTCACCGACTTGAGACGCCAGCTGACGGCCTTCGTGGCCCGAGGTCCATACAAATATACATTACTTCCCGAAAATACTTCTCGAAGTCAGATGCGAATGCGCGCGACAGGATGGGTTAATCAGCACATTTTTAGTATTAGGCTTGCCCTATGCGCCTTGCTTTCGATCGTGATAATTTCCTTCTCCATGACATTCATGTATGTCAAGTACGTCTTGGAAGTGTTTGTCATAAATAGCTCACTTTTGCTGACCACGAATATTTACTTACCTAGGCAATCTATCTCATCACAACCTTGCAGAGGCTTTATACATGACCATGACCGTCACTGTAAAAGCGAGGTTTCTCGCTTATGGGGACAGTACTCATCTGTATTTTCTGTCCCTTCAGAAATCTCTCCTGCCATCCCAGAAGGGTGCGATGTTACTTTTGCGCAAGTGCTTTCACGCCACGGTGCCCGTGACCCCACAGAGCATAAGTCCTTGGCTTATGGGGCGCTTGTTGAACGCATCCACAACACCGTAGTGAATTATGGGAAGAATCTTGAGTTCATCAAGGACTACAAGTACACCCTCGGTGCTGACCAATTGACCCTCTTTGGGGAACAGCAAATGGCGGACTCTGGTGTCAAGTTCTATGAGCGATATCAGCATCTAGCCAGCACCAATTCCCCCTTTGTGCGTGCTTCTGGCCAGGACCGTGTTGTCGAGTCTGCCCAGAACTGGACTCAAGGCTTTCACCTGGCGCGATTGGCAGATAAGCATTCTCATATCCCGGATACATACCCCTATGATATCCTTATCATTCCCGAGAGAGACGGGTTCAATAACTCGCTTAGCCCTAACCTTTGTCCTGCCTTTGAAGACAGTCGACATGATAATCAGAGCAAACAGGATACTTGGACAGAGCATTTCGTGCCGCCCCTGACGGAGAGGTTGAACGAGAACCTGCCTGGTGCTGACCTAACCGACGAAGAGGCCATATACATCATGGATTTATGTCCTTTCAATACCGTTGCTGATGACAAGGGAAAGCTGTCACAGTTCTGCTACCTATTCACGGTTGATGAGTGGCATGACTATGACTACTATCAATCTCTGGGCAAATGGTATGGCTTTGGAAATGGGAATCCCCTTGGTCCAACTCAAGGTGTCGGCTTTGTCAATGAGCTGCTTGCAAGACTCACCGGTCAGCCTGTTGTCGATCACACCACCACGAATTCAACCCTGGATGGATCCAACACTACCTTTCCTCTTGACCGCGTCCTATATGCCGACTTCAGCCATGACAACGATATGATGGACATATACGGCGCTCTAGGCCTGTACAATCTAACGGACCCACTGCCTGGGAGCCGAAGAGTTAGCCCAAGGGAAGCCAAAGGGTTCTCTGCTGCATGGGCTGTCCCATTTGCTGCGAGGCTATACGTAGAGAAGATGTCGTGCGGAGGGAGCAAAGAAGAGTTTGTGCGAATTCTGGTTAATGATCGAGTGATACCCCTGCAGAACTGCGATGCCGACGAGTTAGGTCGCTGTACCTTGACCAAATTCGTTGAGAGCCAAAGTTTCGCGAAGAACGGTGGGCACTGGGACCAGTGCTTTACATGATACCTCTAATGTCGTTCACCTTCCTAAGATCTGCCATAAATGGAAGTCTGCATCCCACATCTTTACTCTTTATACATCGTAGACATGTTTTAGTTGCTTTGCTTTCATCGCTTAATTTGATGTATCCAATCGTGATTCGAGATAGCATCAGATCAATCAGATCAGGGGGGCCGATTTGAGTACCTAATGAAAAACAATGCGGGCTTCCAAACAAACAATATGTTCGATAGTATGGTTCTGCTTGTCCCCCCCTCTCCCCCCTTTCCCTCCTCTTCCCCCTGCCCATATCTAGATATGACAAGTCAAAATCCTAATAATAGTTGCAATCAAATTTCATGTCGTCAAACGCTTTGATGGCCTGATGGAGATTTGTCACCGACCGTGAATATTACTGCTATAAGGCAGATTTTCTGCGCAAATCGTAAGAGAAGTGAGACATCCAGCAAGGCTTAGGAGCCATACAGTAACGTGATGACAGGTTTGACAGGTTTGATAGGCTTGGGTAGTGAGACATAACTAACTTTTATTGTGGCTTATCGGCAACGAATTTCTTCAATGTTCCTAATGATTTATCCTTTATATGTGTGACCCGTATCCTGTATGTAACCGAGTAACATTATATGAGGTACATACATAGGCTGATAACCTATAGGTTAGGTAGGTAGGTAGTATGCACGAGCCATAACCGTTTAAGTCCAGGCTACTTGAATACTTAGGTACCTAGGGTACATAGCATGTAACGTCATGTTAAGGTGGATAGCTCCTAAACATTCTGGATCTTCCCCAAGCCGCAAAGCCCGGCTCCAACTGCAGAAAGGCAGGGGCCAAGCACCTAAATTGGGTACATACTTAGCCCCACCAACAAGACCCAAAGCTTCAAAAGAGACCAGCGCAAGGGAAAAAAAAAAAGAGACCCGCAACCAAGCACCTGATGGCAATCAACAACGCCGTAACCCTACCAGAAAAAGAATGTCATCAGCCTCAACTTCAACTTCGCATTGTGAGACATACTAACGACAAGATTCCACCTCTCTGCATTTTTCTGTCGTCTTGTTGCATACGACCCACAACGATTTCTTCCTTTCTTCCCTCTTTCCTCTCCCTTCTCTACCTTGTCTCGCAGGTCTCGCCGGTCTCGCCACTCTTTTTATTTATTAATTTTCTTAATCATCTGATTTTCCCTGGCCTTATCGACCACATATTTTGTTTTTCCTAGTTTATAGACGATCCCTAAACTGATAAACATCCCGGACCACATCCGCGACCGAAAATGGTCAGCCCTGTCGGAACCTTCTTCATAATCCTATTCGTACTGCTGATCGTCGCTGCGGTCGGCTGGATCGTCTTTACCCAGCTGCGCGCAAGGCGGTTAGGTGTAAGTGCTCCGTTTTCTCTACCGTATTCTTCCACCCAACCATTATCTCTCATCCACACACTCTTGTCTCCTCTCCCCCTCAACACCGCATCATGCTTGTCTTACTTGCCGGACATAACCGGAGCAATACTTTATACTCCAGCTCCTCCTCCTTCCGCAGTTAGCCTATCTACTAGTTAGGTACCTATAGGACGAGAAACTAACATTGCCCTTGTCGCAATAGCTTCCTGCCCCACCCCTGTCATCCTACATCCCTTTCGTCCACTCTAAACCCTCGTCTTCATACGGACCACCGCAACCGGCACCGGGCGGCGTTCGTGGCTGGGTAAACGACAAATGGCGCGCCCTTCGCAATAGCGGGAACAGATCTGCGAGCGGCGCGTACGAGCGCCCATCCCGCCGGGGCTTCGGACCCCTCGATCCGGACGAGGCCTGGGACTCGCGCGTCGGCAACGAGGCGGACGGGTATTATCCTTACGGGTACGAGGAGCAAGAATTGGGTCTTCGTGGACAAGGACAGCGCTTGCAACATCAGCAGCACGAGCATAATACCAACACGGGATACAACAACGTCAACCTAGGGGCCGATGAGCCGAGAGGTAGGACCTTGAGCCGCGACCAGGGACTGTCTGTCGGAGGCAATGGAAACGCGGACCTGGGCGTGGGAAGAAGTCGCAATCCGTTCGACGACGAATCTGCTGAGCCCAGCAATATCAGCATGCGGGGCGTGAGTCCCCGCCCCATCGACACGAATGTCGCTGCGACCAGGGCCATGGCGGGAGGCAAGCACGACAGCCCGACGTCGGAGCGAAGATCGATATTCAGGGAGGAAGTATAAGGGAGCTTGCGGTTTTTCTTGTTACGTAATGCATTGCGCCTTGTGTTTCTACTCTGTATTTGCGGTTTGCGGTTCACGCCTACGTTTGAGATGAGATGTTTAATGCGATGCACTGTACAGGAGCCATACGGTATAATATATGTCTGTGCATGCCACAAACTAACTTCTACTTCGTCAATGAAAAGGGGGGCGACAGATTAATTTCTTCTTTTCCTTCTTCTTCTTCTTCCTCTTGGCAGAGCTGGACTAGGCACGATCACGTAGGGGTGTCAAATACGGAAATTCGTTTCTTGGAATGGATATCGTGGTCTGAAGGGTACGAGGCGGCCTCGGGTCGGAAGCACGAAGAAAACAAAAAAGGAGTTCGCGGCGTTTTCCAAGGTTTCGTCGATAAGGGAAAAGGTGCAGGGGAGTTCGCTGCTTCATTGCTGCTTGTGTACGATTTTGTTCTGGTATCTCCCCCCGAAAAAGCCATAGGCGTTTACTGGAGGATGGTTCGATCCAATATGCAATACGAATGCAACGTTGCAGTAGAATTGTTGTCTTGTCTTGTCTTGCCTGCTTATTGGCATTGCGTCGTTTGGTGTTTTGGCTTTGCTGGTTGTTGGACTAAGTTGCTTGCTTTCTTATTAGCATGAACTAGATTATGTGCATATGATAGCAATTGGACTTGCGGCAACATGAGGTAATGAACGTAAGTAATGATAATAATCACCGAGTTACTTAATATGACCATGTTTCATTTCAAGAGATAATGCCGTTGAAAGCAGAGCTTTCAGGTATTTAGTGATATAAGGTCCATCGACAGTGCTATTATATATGTTCTCTAAGTTGCGTGCCAAATAGACTAGGATGATAAACGTATGTCTTTCTGCTGTCTATAAAAACATCACTGCTCAAAGGCACTAGAAAATAAGGGGCTAACGTGTCGTTTGTTAGTGACATCTTATAGCGATACTAATATCTGCTTCTATTTTAGGCATATCATATCAGGGTATGGTGGCCCTAGAGTCTAGAGACTAGAGCATCATAAGTCTTACGAGACTTCACGGCTCTATGCTGTTTACTACAATGTCCATACAGTATCTGCTTACTCCTTAGATGGCGTACCTGTTTCCACGGTATCCTGTTTTCTAACTTTATTCTAAGGATTTCTACAATCTAACCAATACGCAATTTGCTAGGTACCTAATGTAGTAGCAGCTCCAAATCTTGCCTTTCTAAACGCCAGGAGCTAACTGAAGACTGTCCTCTACTCTAGTACACCTTCACAACCCAAGATATGACCAAGTCTAAGTAGTTAACTATACCAACCTAAACTCCGCCAACTCTCTCCCCTCCCAGAACGCTTCGTCGTATTTCTCAAATACGAGCGGCCGGGTCCGCATATCGCACTGGCTGAGAAACGTATAGCTGTCCCCCCCGCACGGTCGCAGCACGCTGGCTTGCGCCGCCCCTTTGAATAAGCAGACGACGTCCCCCGGCTGGGCTTCGACGTTTTGCCGCAGCAGTCGCGCAACGGACCCGTCTAAAAGCAGCACGAATGCGGACTTAAACTCCTCGTTCATGAAGTATAGCTGACTGTACTCGCTGCCGCTGATTTTTCTTTTTCTCCTTGTTTCGTAGATCTTCACCGTGGATATCACATAGGTACTTGGCGGAAGATATGGCGACATGGCTATGCTTCAACTAAGAACCTCACATAAGCCTTCCACCGCTGTCATCCTCGTCAAGCTGAACATCGTAACGCTATATCCATACGTGGAATGGAAGTCTTCACGGATCCTATTTACCTCTTGTCCTTCTTTTCTCTGTGGCCATTGAGGTGGGCATTAGACGGGGCCTATGTAGAACGTAGAATATGGGACCAGGCAAGCCCCTGAATACCCCAGGTGCTTGAAAACTATGACCTCGGTAGAATATTGGCTGTTGTTTTTGGAATGACATCGTATAAGCTGTTGGATATTCTTCGTGAAATTTTTTAATTGTCGCTATTACGGTCAGGCAGGCATTGAAAGCATAAAATATTAATACTTTTAGAGCTCATCTTCCATCATACCATCCTCTGTCGACCCTACCAGGTTGATAATGTCCTCTAGGTTCACTCCTTTCTAACCAAAAGCTTTGTGCGATAGCATCTTCGGGGTCAGCTTTCCAGTATGGTTTTCACCAGTCTGCAGGCTATGAATGACAACATAGATAGAGTGATAGATGTTATATCCCCATTCATCCCTATCACTTCGCTATACCAACTTAATATCCTGTATATCCGCAGTAGCCCAAAAATCGTCATCCAATTTCTTCTCAAGAGGACCGCCTCGTATGATACACATGCCTAGAAAGATGAAGTTTTCGCCACAGGCACGCAGTAAGCCTGGTTTGCCAGAACCCTTGAATATGCATATTAAATCACCAGTTTTCACTTCAATATCCTCCCTAGTGGATACGAGAATCGTTCCATCGTGAAGTAATAAGTAGTGAAATGTGAAATGGTCGACTATAGTTTGTTCCTTGAAAACTATGTTTCTCGTCCTCTTTTTCTTTGCTGTTCTTGACCTTCTAGTCCTAATTGAATCGCGTAGAGTGCTGTATACTTCGTAGAATGATGATGCAGTGCTCTTCACAGGTAAAATCTTGGTCGCAAATTCCATCATATTGTTGAAAGCCTCTTCGATCGTTATCTCTCTCGCAAGTGCCGACGGTTTAAGGATTTGCTCCTCGAAAGCTCTTAAATGATTCGTTAACTCCAACGGTATCTTCGCGCGGCGCGGCATCATCCCTTCGGGGTCAACTCTAGGGAAGACACAGCGGAATGTGCCCAGTATGTGGCCCTGTAAATGCAAAACCTTTTTGTCGGGTGTCACGTATACAGATGGGTCAGGTATTGAAGGTCCCGCAGATAGGTAACGGAAATCAGGTACCCAGGAGGGTACATCGTGAAGCTCGTTGCGCCTACACTTAAGTAAATGCAAATCCCCGGTTGATTGAAAGAGAAAAGCAGCATAGTTCCAATAAGTCTCCGTGTAGGACATATGGTAGTTTGGCGATAGATCATCGGGGAGGTCTCCTCCTCTCATATATTTAAGCATGCTTAATAAACCGTAGATCTGATCTCGAGGATCCGTAGACTTCGCGGCGCCTGCGATCCCCAATATTTTGGTCAAGACTTCGCCTACCTTCAGCCCATCGCCGTCGCTCGACCTAATCGTTGCGAGTAACTCATTCATATTCTGTATAGCGAGGACTCTCTGGACTCCTGGACTGAGGTAAAGAACCCTGTTACGTAGCGCAAAGTATTCAGTAAACTCCAGGAAACGATACAGGGATGTGCTGTAAGGTCCAAGATGGACGGTCAGCCAGGAGTCTAAGCAGGCTTCCTGAAGCGTCCATATTCTCCCAAACCACGGCCGGTGCAAGATTTCCGTCATTATATCCAGGACCGCCTTGTATGCACGGCCGAGGCATCTATTTATGACCAACTTATTGTTCTCGCCCACAGGCTCCCATTCATCCCCCATCGAATTTATCTTCTTGAATAAAAACTCGAATGCTTCTTCTGATGACATTTGATGTTCGGGCGAGCAACTGGAAGGCCCATCCGCAGATAGTGAAACTATAGGCCCGAGCCATATAATAGTATGCGATCCATTATATATGTCAATCATGCGTTGCACTTGTTGGGACCTTTCGTCTATATCTTCTTGGTTGATACATATAGCATCAATCCAGAAGTATTCTTCGAGGGAGTCGAAGTCAGGGGGACACTCTCTCAACTGATCGAGAGCCTCAAATAAACTTCTTGTAACCTCGAAAGGCTGATTTTCAAGGGTGATAGTACACCGATCCGTCACATCGCCCCATACATAAGACAAGGAGTGAAAGTCTCCCGCTTCCTCGATAGGGATCTGATGAAGAAGACATTCAATATCGTCGGTTTCGGTTCTTGGTAAGATACGGAGTAGCCGAATATCTGATCCCTCTAACTTTCGATATGGATATGCTGGCTGTCGATACAATTCCTGTAGAGAATCGTCTAGCATTATGACGAAGCGTCCTAGCAAGAGTACTATGTCCTTAATTTCCAACGAGGAGGCATGGCACGCTACAACCTATATTCGAACTACCATGTTGATTTCATTAAATACCTAATCCAGGCCGCCTTACAGGTACGTGACGCAGAAGTGGTTGGCAGTGCACATAATGTTGATAACCAATCATCTTCCCTGTATAGCCGCTACTCCTCTATGTAGGGATTATGGCCATCCAGCCTTACCCCGTCTTCGAAGTTGGAACCAACAGAGTAAATAAAGTAGAAAAAGTCATGGAATAAGGTAACCAACTGCAGCTAGAACATGGGGGCACCTATTTAGGTACCTACCTGGGTAGGTGGTATCTTCGTAAGGCGTAGGTCGTCGCCTATTGAAGATGTATAGACTTACACGAATAAAAACGTAAATACCTAGGTACTCTTATTTATACCAATACCCAGCTTATTTATACCAGAGCATGTGTATCTTATATATTGAAAATACGTCATAGCATCTATAGGCTAGATGAATCTAGAGCTTATGTCGGACTTTATCTTATACATTATTCAAGCATGCATATATATAGCGTTATGCTTAGGTTATACACTAGACATAACTCTTTGCATTAAAACTCCCCACTATCTTTTTGCCCCTCTTCTCCGTCATATTGACATGTCACACAAGCTCCCAAGTAGCTGACGAGACGTTGTTTGATCCGTCCCCGTGGGTAAAGTTACCTTATGATACAAGAAGAAAAAGAAAAGCAAATAACATATCAGTTGCTAGCTTTTTTTGGTCGGATCTATACCCAATTTAGCGCCATGGCGGGGAAAAAAGGGAGTGATAATAGCAAAAAGGCAGCTGGCCAGGCCCGAAAAGCTCAAACAGCTGCCAACAAGGCTGCCGCTGAGGATGCAAAGAAGGCGGCGGAAGAGGACGCCGAATGGGCTAAGGGTGCTAAAAATAATTCGAAGAAGTACGCTACTTGCCTCCTTTTCCTCCTTTTCCTTTGTTGGAGTATATCGAGGGTATCCAGGGCTTTCGATTAATGAATTGTCATTGGGCTATAGTGTATTATAGTATATACCGTACCCGTATTTGACAAAGACCAACCTGGTAATCCATATACTAACCTTTATTCAGAGAAGCACAGGAAGCAAAAAGGGCAGAGCAAGCCCGAAAAAAAGCAGAGAAAGAAGCTCTTGCTGCCGAGGAGGAAAAGAGTCTACCAAGTCGTGCTGGCCCTAAGAATTCCAAGACCGCTGTCAAGAAAACAAATCGTGGCATCGACGGAGCCTTGTCTAATCTCTCCATTGACGATGACAAAAACACAGAATACCAGGCCTCAGGTACTGACGCCATTTTGGACCTCCTCGAAGGTCTTCTCTTAAGTTCATCTGAAGTCAAAGTCGATAAACATGTCAGTAGAAGGGTCAAGGCCGCATACGCCAAATTTGAGGAAAGACGGCTCAAAGAAATGAAAGAAGACGGAAGTATAAAAGAACTGCGCTTTACTCAGAGGAAGGAGCAGCTCGCGAAAGAGTTTATGAAGAGCCCAGAAAACCCATATAACAGCAGTGTGAACGTAGGTCACAATGCGACAAAGGAAGAGATTAAGGAAACCCAAGAGCAGGAACTAGCGCGAAAGAAGGCTCAGTTTGCCTCCAAGACCTCCGAATAGGAACCGGAGTACTTGTTGGTTACGAAGGGCGAAAAGCACTGCGAATCCTGGCATATGGCGGGGGGCCCTGGAATGGAAACTCGGCAACCAGGAAAAGGTAGCGAGGGTTACATAGAACATTGTCTACAAACGAAGACAAAGACGAGGGTAGCTATATTGATACAGGCATCGAAGCTCGGTATACATAGTAATCTTTGGTATATATACTTACTATAGTAGGTATTGGGTACAAATCTTTCATAAACACATTGTTTTTAAACATTATAACTACCATCAAAAGGGCTTTCTGAGGACTGGCGCTTTAATCTTTTTGAAACATTGACTTGAGGTCTCCACTAGAGAATAAATAGTGCGCGAACACGCACATGTAAGTACCTAACCTAACCTACATACGCCAGCTCATAAAATTAACTCCGATTCAAAGCATATTGTATTAGCGAAAGGTCGCGTGATAATATTTGAAGGTGTAGCCCCCGCCGTTGGCTTAAAAAACTTATCGGGTAGACGGGCTAAGCTTCGGCAAGCCTCGGCTTGGGACTCGGGGTATTTTGACAAGGGTGGAGATAATAAAAAGGAACCTTGGAAGTGACGTTCGCGGCTGTTCTCTTCATAGTACCTATGTAATAGTTGGTAGTAAGAGGTAAAGTGCTAGCCTAGTAGATCGCTTCGTCAGCGCAAAATCCGGGGCACCGCAATCTCCATCCATTTTCCCACCAACTTTTACCTTCGCCGACGAAGCCCCCTCACTACATCATATCACAACTATACCTCACCATCAGCATAGACATGTACCCATAGTTTCGCTTTTACCCTTCTCACATAGCGTCTATCTGCATCAAATCGAACAAAATAAGGTCGGTGGCGCAGTGATGCCATCGGCTGCCGTAAAACATGCCACGATGTCCGAGTTCACATCTCAGGGAGAGGATAATGGCAACGCCATGGTCAGCAAAGTGGACGGCGTTGTCAGAAAAGCCAGCAATACCGTCACAGGAGCTACGACGACGCGAGGCTCAGACACAGATTCGATCGATAGTAAACCGCCGATAGCAATGAAGGGGAAACAACCAGATAAACACAGTATGGACTATGTCCTCCGCTCTTTTATTGCGGGAGGTCTCGCAGGGTGTGCTGTACGTATTCTTACATTCTCAATGCTTCAATTGGCTACACATGCTTACGATTTGTCACCAGGCCAAGACTATCGTCGCTCCTCTCGATCGAGTCAAAATTCTTTTCCAGACAGGCAATCCGCAATTCGCAAAATATCAGGGTTCGTGGGCCGGCTTCGGGATAGCGATACGCGACATATATGCGCGCGAAGGAGTTCAAGGGCTATTTCGTGGACATTCGGCGACACTCCTGAAGATATATCCTTACGCTGCCGTGAAATTTGTTGCTTACGAGCAATATCGTGCCTTGCTTATCGGCTCAAACCGAAAAAATGAAACCTGGTTACGGCGGTTCGCATCCGGTGCTATGGCCGGCGTTACATCAGTCTTTCTCACATATCCTTTGGAGATTCTTCGAGTGCGGATGGCGTTTGAAACGAAGGCTACACGACCGTCACTGATAGAGATATGCAAAAAGATTTATCATGAGCACCCTGTATCGGAGCCGCCTCCTGTGAACACGAAGCCCGGGTCAGGTATCACCGGGAGTGTGGCTGCAGTCACGGCAGCAACGGCGCAGTCCATAACCCCTCGCTCTGGGCTGATTAACTTCTACAGAGGGTTTTCTACGACTCTCCTAGGCATGGTACCATACGCCGGTGTGTCCTTTTTAACTCACGACACCGTGAGCGATCTCTTCCGCCTACCGTCAATTCGGAAATATACTACTCTGCCCAAGCCTCCCAATGCTCCGCCCGATAAGCCTGCGCCGCTTCAAGCTTGGGCTGAATTAATAGCCGGAGGAGTCTCCGGTGTTGTATCACAAACCGTGTCTTACCCATTGGAGGTCATCAGGCGGCGACAGCAAGTTAGCGGGGCCGTGGGAGATGGTCGGCGATTACGAATAGGCCAAACAGCGAGTATGATCTTTAGAGAACGAGGGATTTCTGGGTTTTTCGTCGGATTATCGATTGGTTATGTGAAAGTGTTACCTATGGGTGCTGTGAGTTTCTACACGTGGGAGCGGTTAAAGATACTGTTCAACATCTAGACTAGACAAGAGTCGTACATTTGAAGGATTTGTGGCAGCATTATCGGAGTGTAGGCGTTTATGGTAGAATATACCTTGGGTACAGCATAGCGAGCGCGAGTCCAGCTCGCGATGACTGTGGAGGTTGACATAGAAGTATCATCATGTATATCAATTCTTGGCACCCCCTTTCCCATCGCATTGTCATTTTCCCTTTAGCCTTGCAAATTACCAGTTGGTCTCTTCGAGTAAGACATGGAGGCGTTGGGGACCACATGTGGAAATATAACGGCTTTAGAGGCGCATATTATCAATTCTCTTTTCCTGCTTCTTGCTTTTTCATTCTAGACAAACGCTCCCCTTCCGTCTTGGGCCTGGAGATCTACTTCCTGAGGCTGACTCCAGCTAGTTACGGGATTATCCTCTAAGTAAACAAACAAAAATAAATAATAGTATGTTAAAAGTTGGCCACACGAGAGCCCTCGGCTTTTCCCCAGCTAGAAAAAGTTCGCCACAATAACCTTTTGTAAACTCAAAGCATTCATCCTAAACGTTCCGAATAGCTAGAACAAAGGTAATAAAAATAAATAAAAATAAAATCTTTCATCAATAGCAATCAAATATTCGAATTAAAAACTAATATAAGGGTTATATTAGTTATACCCTCACATACATACATGTATATTTTAACTCTATAGTCTAATTTCTACCGGAACTTTTTGAGCAGTCATATTATAACCGGCAAAATAGTACACAATCCTAGAATTTTATGCGTATTTGATCTGAGCTTTCAGGCCTTGCTTATTCTTGTATGCTAACTATGGAAACTCGATCTTGTCAAGTACAAATGCAACAGCCGTCCCATTGTTGTCCTTCCCTAGATCTCTCGGATCCTACTAAATCGCCCTCAAGTTCAAGGAAGCGATCACAAATCACACCACCCGACATAGAACACCCTCCTCGAAAAAGGGCTAAAACCTCTCCAGAAAAAGATGTACGAGCGTCCCAAGAAAAATCCAGCACGCTTCCCATACCACCAAGTACCACTCAAGAAGCCAACTCTACAGTACTTGAGTGGCTTGATACCCTTGAGCAAGCAGACGCGTCAGAGATAGCAGAGACCCATTGCAAAGCTCAAGGGGGGGAAAGACTACCCATACGTCCACCACCAGAACTTTGCAAAGACACGAACTTCTCACCAAACCAGAGTTTCGAACCATAACGCTTCCTCGGAATGGGATTAAAATTCTATGGGGCGACGACCCGACTCCGAACTGGGTGCAAGAACATATCGATACAGTTGACGGATACCCAGACGAAGGACCTCCTCCCAACTTTCGCGATAGATGGCTAAGTTTCAGACGTGCTTTTGAGAGTCACACGTACGGGTCGACCTTCTCAGGCGTCTACGACAAACTTCTTATGTCTGTCCGTGGGGGTGACTGGTCTTCAAATACTAATCAAGATGGTACGATATTAGACTGTGTGAAAGAGATGCAATTCAAGAGGCAATTCTTGCCTCCTTATATAGGTTACGAACACACATTGCCCCAACCGAAGCCCGACGTGGTTTGGGGATATGACGAACCCTGAATCCCCCCTCCAGCAGACACAGAAACAAGCTACGTCGGATTCAGGAGTATGTCTGCTTCTACAATTATTTGTCCGTACCTGGTTATGGAATTGAAAGGGCGTCTGGGCCTTCCGAACGAAGGAGATAACCAAAGCATTATCGGCGGTCGTATAAGTCTGGATATAACTTGGTCGATTCTAAAGGAACGGGATGTGGTTTTCCTCTTTAACGCGGGTCCGTACCTATGCAACATAAACGTGATGTGGCGGGACGTACAAGAGACCACGACCGATACAGGAGAAAGCGTCAAATCTCGTATATATCGAGTGAGAGACGTCAAGCACCTCAGCCCACTAGTGTTGGAAGACGCTCTTAAGATCCAAAATTATTTTAACGCAATCCAACGCTGGGCTCTGGAGGTCAGATATCCTCGCATTGTGGCAGCCCTTAAGGAATGGGAAGAAGGCGGCCGTCAACCACACGAGTTTAGTTCTCTGGGGCGTTAATAAGGGGCATCAATAAAAAGGCGAGGCCGGGGTACTTATGCCCGAACTTTGCTCGGGATACTGTATTGTCTCAACCCGACCTCACTCCAAATTAATAAGAAGGTTTATTAGTGGCTGAAAGCCATAGCGTCATCATATGTTTTTTAATATTACATTATAGGTATTATAAGAGGTTGGTAAAAGACATTTAAATTTTACTTATTTTATAAGACAATACCTACCTACCTAACATACCTACCTAAGGTACCTAACCTATATATGAATAATATAATATACAATATATACCATTGACAACTAACAACTCTTCACGACTTAACTCAAACTCCATACCGTCCCAATCCCTCGCCCACCATGTCGTCGTCTTCCTCCCCCCTCGCCTCAAACCCGACGGAGCACAGCCAAGTCGTCGCGGACCCCCTCGCGCATTTCAAGGCGGTCCCGTGGTGCGCAGCGCTCCTCTCCGACCCGGCTATCATCGAGATCGGCGTGCCGGACCGACGACCTCGTACGTGGTAGCACCTAAGACCCTCCCCCCCAAGTCTTTACGAAGAAAATACCTACCTAGATAGACGTATAAGCACCTAACTAACTCGCCGATCATCATCATCGTCATCATCGTAGTACCCAACGGCGACTCCAGCCTCGTGCGCAAGACCATGAATAGCCCCACGACCGCCCGCGCGTGCGTCACTTTCTACCGACTCGTCAAGCCCATCCAACCCTCCTCCACTTCCTCCTCCTCCCGCTCTCCATCTTTCGGCGGCACCGGCGAGCTCTCCCCCGCCGGGGGCTCCGCGCCATCCGACAGCAGCCGGAGCAGCAAGGCCAAGAACCCAAACCCGGACCCGAAACCCAAGCAACCCGCGCTGTCGGCGTCCGAAGCCCTGCTCGGCGGCGGCGGCAGGCCGAACGGCGAGTCCCCGCAGAACCCGTTCCTGCTGTTCAGCGCCCTGGTCGATCTGGGCGAGGACTGCCAGAGCTTTCCGGGCGTCATGCACGGCGGCATGCACGGGCTGCTGATGGATGAGGTTATGGGGAGCGCGGCGAATGCCCAGACCGGTAAGTTGGATCTTTTTCTTCTCCTCCTTCTTCTTCTTTGTTCTATTCATCTTTCTCCAAGAAGCCAACCAAAAAAAAAAAAAAAAAAAAAAATTCTCTCCCTTACTTCAACGCTCCTGAAAGACATATATACATATACATATACCTACCTAGGTAAATACTAACGGAGCCAGCACACGGGGCGCGCACGATCCGCTTCACAACGCACCACCGGCGCCCGATCTGGCTCCCGCAGATCCTGCTGATACGCGGGCGCGTGATACGGAAGGTGGGCCGCAAGATAGACGTCAGGGGCACGCTGGAAGATAAAGACGGTGAGTACCTACCTGCCTAAGCTAACCTATTCATTACCTATTCCCCTTGACTACCTATACCTACCTAATGGAAGCGTTGAATATACTCTGCGTCATACATATTGAAATACTAACATAACAACAACCCACAGGAAACATCTTGGCCGACGGCGAGGGGATCTGGATCGCCATAGTACGGGAACCTGTCCGGAGCAATCTGTGAGTGAGCAACACGCCGAGCGCAGGGGTGAATGGAATCTCTAAGAGACGAGGATGGAGTTTCAAGTTGTACGTAACTATATACTCTACGTATTCGTTTTGATTTTCATGTCACGTCCTATTTTGCGTAAGCAAGAGCGTTGTTATACGCGTTGTTAACGGTAAACAAATTTAATTCCTTATAAGGTATCCAAGATTGCTTGAAGTATATACAAACGTGTAGCAATGCTATTATGTGTTAAACCTATGTTGTATAAGATCAATTAGAGTCGCTAGGAGCGATATCTCGTAAAAGGGTCAACGTGACTCGAGACCCCGTTGGATATTATATGACGGTTGATGAACGCAGATCCAATCCAACAAAAGGTGGCGACGACTTTGAAACACTCGAATTCAAGACTTATGCCGACCTATTTGTCCGATTTAAAGGGATCGAGGCTTTTCATATGAGTGTATAGCTCCACCAAAATAATAAACGCCTTGAAAACAGCGAAATATATATGAAATATTACATCCGTCTCATTAATACGTGATCACGTTCTCTCATCGATTAAGTATTTAGTCTGCCTTAATAGCACTGCAAAAGAAGTTAGTAATGTTTCCAGCAACGCCGAGATGAACACTCGACTAAACTTACCCATAAATCCTCCTGACGAATGCATAAGCCGTCAGGAATCCCACGGTGCCAGTAAGAAGCCCATACACGCAGCACGCCATGAAGCTGTATACGAAGAACAGCATGGAACTTACGAAGCCCGATATGTGCAGGTTGGCGAAGTAGTACCAGATGCTGTACAGGAACACCCATATGGCGCTTCCGCCGCCCACGAAGAAAGACTGCCACCACCAGTGATAGTTCTCGGAACAGAGCTGGACATAGATGGTAACAACCGTGACCTCAGCAATGGTTAAAATCAAGATGACGAGAACAACAGCCAGGAAACCGAAGACGTAGTAGTATCCGCTCTTGTCCTGCCATACCGACTGGAAGACGAAGAGGAGCTCGATGAAGATGACAGCAAACGGGACTAGACCTGCAAGAAAGATCGACTGCAACTTCTTGGCATACCAAGCTTGGTTGGGGACTTGGCGGGGGATGCTCGCAGTTTTAGTGGGATGTTCCCAGGCGCCGGTGCGGACGAACCCGTACCAAGAGCCCAGATAAACTAGCGGGACCTGGATGCAAAGCCACAGGAGCGCAATAGCTATCAAGGTACCAAATGGTATGGCAGTGCTAGAAGCTTGCGCCCAGACGAAGAGATTCAGTATGAAGACTAGGCCGAACAAGAGACCGGGGAACAGGAACGCCGTAACCAGCGCATTCTTCCCAAAGTCTTTCCCATCGAAAGTCTTGTAAACTCTTGCAGAGAAATAACCAGAGAAGACGCCCGCAAAAACAAAAAGACCAAAGCCAGCGCTGAGGAAACCACCACGGAAACTAGGGTTCAAAATGCCAATGGCACTCAGTAGGACCAAGCCTACGGCCATAAAAAGGAGCTGCATACCCGACCCAACGAGTGGAGCGAGAAGGTGGCCGTACGCGGGTTTCCTGAACACATCCGCATGCAAAAGTTTCCAGCCTGGGACATCCTCTAGCGCTTCATCATCAGATGAAATCTCGATTTCCACATCCACATCGCCGTCTCTCTCGAGGACACCCAACCCTGTCTTTTCGGACTTGGGACTACGTTTGGCGGGCTTTCCTTTGCGCAACTTGCCATCTTCGATAGACACTTCCTTGTATCCCTTGATATCGGATCTGATCGTCTTGGCTAATATCATGAGGACAATGCCGGTGAGCAGACCGCAGATGATCAGGGAATTGATAATTGCTAGCCAATGGATTCTAGAGCCTTCCTCCGAGTTGACAAAGTACAGATCCCAACGACGGTTCCATTCGATCGACTCGTCTTCGCGGAAGTATACGGAATAGGAGTACGGGATGGAGATGGTATCGTCATCATCGCCCTCTTCAATCGCCGCGGGATGGTATGATGAATGAGCATACTGCGTTTGGAAATCGGTCGTCTTATTTGGGGCGATGTAGAGTTCGAAGCGATCCTCAACTTCGTGAAGACCGACGGGGCAACCGTTTTCTCGCTTGACGTCTGGACCGATACTCTTGGTATAAACCTCAAAGCCTACAACCACTTTGCCTCCTTTCTCACCGGCTCGACCTGGCGCTGTTCTGTATCGAATCACAATGGTATGGTGGTTGTTGAGGAAGTAGCGCGGCTTTCCCGTGCTCGACGAGTAATCCGTAAATCCGAGTTTGAAGCCAGCAGCGTAATATTTCCTTGACTTGTCAACGGTCACGAAGCTTGTGGCGCCGGGCAAATTGTCCACGATCCATTCTACCACGTATCCTTCCCTCACCAATTCCTTAGCCCTCCTTAGACCTTTTCTTGTAACTACCTTGTCGCAAAGAAAACTGCATTCCTTGTCTCGTCCCATGGTAAGGTCGATGTCTGAGGTCATGATTCGGTCGCCGCGAAGAACTTCTCCGAGGTTGAGCGAGATGCTCTGGCCGCTTAGCAAACCCGGACCGTGGCTTTTCCCCGTGGGTGGGCAGACAAAAGGGAGATCGTAGTAGGCATATTGCAATTGCGTATTATCGGAGTAGACTTTATTAACGAGTAGAGGTATGTGTTCGCCTTCTTTGTAACTTTTTACCGACCAACCTGTATTTGTCCAGAACTCGTCAGACGTCGCATAGCTAAAGGGAGCGCGTTTACGAGGAGCCGCCGAGGGTTAGCTTACCCGGAATATAGAAAGCATGGACTTGTGAGACTATAAGAAAAGAAAGCAGCCATTTCAGACTATTCCTGAACAGAGATTCTCCCATTGTGAGTGAATCACTCCTATCGCTATTGCGTCTCGAAATGCATCAACTCGGTTAACTGCGCAAGGTATCGAACGTCGGGCTTTCGCCTGGATTTACTAACTACTCGGCGCGGGAAATTGTAGCTAGAGTTTCGCTCATATACGATTTGCGGGTATGTCAAGTGACTGGAATTAATTATTAGATTGTGTTGCGACAAAGCCGCCGCGTCGTGGGATCCTATATTGTTTTAACTCGTTTCGAGGCTGTAAATGAAACGCCACGATGGGGGGTCGAGGGGTCGAAAGTCGAAGGATGAGTTTAAACGAGTGTAATGGGTATCAAGATCCAAGTCAAGATCCAAGTTAAGATCGGAATGGAGGACCTCGGGAATTACGGTTTAGGTACTGTGATGCTGTACGAGATAGAGATATCGGGTAAAAAGAGAAAAAGAAAGAAAGACAGATAGACAGTAGAAAGCAGTAGAAGGGAAAGAGAGGAATGAGAGCAACTGGAAGTACCTAACCCTTGTTATCCTGTCAGAGATCCCGGCCAGTCTAGGTACTATGTACGTACACTACTAGGTACAATTCGATCGCGCTAGAATTTGGTTCTTAGCAGGTTCCTATACCCCTGTCTGATACCTAGGAGGTAGGTACCTAACTTCCCAGTCTCGTCCACTGGTCTCCCCCCCCCCCCCCGGGGGGGGGGGGGGGGGGGGGGGGGGGGGGCGGGGGGGGGCGGGGGGGGGGGGGGGGGGGGGGGGGGGGGGGGGGGGGGGGGGGGGGGGGGGGGGGGGGTGT